GCAAAGCCCTTATAGCATCTCTTGACAATGGCCTTCTGGCACTGGAATGAGCTGCGAGGCGTCACAAGGGAGAGATGATGTACACGCATGTGCAGAGACGCGCAGGAACTATTGCCCCTTGTCACATGCTTGTATAATCGCCCGACTTAAGTGACCGCGGCTCATGCCACTGCTTTTGGGTCATGCGGATACCAAGAGCCGCCCAAGTGGCTTTACAGCAAGTGGAGGGCCACAGAGTACATGGCAGTGCCGCTTCGCGCAGCGAACTGGGCGCGCGATTGGCCATTTTTGGAAGTCCCGTGATTTGACTTGCACCAAGGCAGGACCAAACCCACGAAATTCTCTTCCATCATTGGCTTGGGACATCATGTTCTACGAAAACCTCGGGGTAAGCCTGGTATTTGGATTTGGTAGCTGTCGAATTCGCATTGTCAATTGTAGGAGGGGGGCTTGAGCAATTCAAGCTTTCAATTCACGTGCACACATGTGGCATATGGGGGCATCTGCAAAGACTTGCCCAGCAAGGACAAGTGACAAGGCTGACAGTGTGAGCTTCCGTCAATCGTGTTGACAAGATGCATCATCTATCATCTATCAATATATTTGTGTGGGTGATATATAACTCAACCAGCCGGTGATGATTCATACAGAGCAGAATGGTACTCCATGCACACGAGATTGACAGGGGCTCACTTAGGCCAAACGCAGCCAGTCAGCAAAAGATACGTTCACATGCGGGTGACAGTTCATGACGGGGCATCGACCAGTGGGTAAATTGTCCTCTTGTTTTGTATTTTGCCAAGACCATTGATAGCCGCGCAAGCCGTGATGTGTTTCTACATGTTTCTACTATTGTATGATGCGCGACTCGGTCCATGTATGAGCATGTTGGAGGGGAATGTTTGTTATGAGGCAGCATTGCATGAGGCCATTGTGCTGGCAGGGGACTGGTTACGTTTTTGCCCGTTGGTGGAGGGGCTGTGGATTCAACCCTATGAGCCTTGAGCCGCCCAGTGACCAGTCGTAGCCAAGTCGACCACTGCCGCCGCTACCGCAACCGCCGCCACCACCACCACAACCTTCCCTAGCACCCGACGACAACCACAACAACGCCCCACCATGACCACAACGACGACCACGACGGCGGCGGCGACCAACAACAACCACAACAACAACAGCAACAGCAACAGCAACAATAGCAACAACAGCAGCAACAGCAACAGCAGCGACAGCAACAGAAACAGCAACCGCAACAGTAGCTACAGGAACAGGAACAGGAACAACAAAAACAACAATGAAAACAATAATAGCAATAGCAACAACCACAGCGACAACGACAGCGACAATGACAGCGACAGCGACAGCGACAGCGACAGCAACAACAATAATCACAGCAAAAACAACAGCAACAGAAACGGCCAACACCAGCACAGCAACAACAGCAGCACAGCAACAACAGCAGCACAGCAACAACAGCAGCAGCAGCAGCAGCAGCAGCAGCAACAACAACAGCGCAATAATCCCCGCGCCACGCTTCAGTAAGAAGTTATAAACACGCGCCGTGTGCAGCAATCAGCTGTGGCACGCGAATGTTTCAAGCAGCGGTTTGCATGGCGCTTGAGGCCACCTCCAATGCAGAGAGCGCTTCCCGTTGGGGGAGGACTGCGCTTTCGTTGCTTGTAGTGGAAGCCTTTCTGGAGAACGCGAGTTTGCGGCCTTGAGCAAGCCAGGTTGGATGGGCTCCAAGCACCATGGGCAATGGGTTCCAACCAGTTCTGAAGCTGCAAAGCCCCGCATTGCCCAAAGTCAGACCGCGCATTTGAGCGGCACGAACTCAGCTTCTGCAGGTTCTTGGGAGCCGAGAAGCTGCGAGCCTAGCAGGAGGTATCTAAATTGGATTAAATCGGTCCAGGCTGATTGACATTGGAGTTGTGCCAGGTATTCACAGGTCGGTCTACGCTTTGCATGACATTGACCTGACATTGAGGATTCGAGGATGCCAGCTTTCTGCTTGGGGCTGCTGCCACCTTGCTTTCTGCAATGACGTTTTTCTTCCGATAGCCATTGCCAACACTTGTATTCGTGATTTAATTTGCAGAATAGCTTGTGCTGTGGGGCTTTGCACAGAGTTTAAGTTGTGCTTACATGCCACCAGCGAGATTTCTATCCATATGTCCCAGTACAGTGTAGAAGCGCCAGCAATGGAGAGCGTTAGATTGGTAAGAGTGCGGTGCTCGCAATCAAAAGTCCACTCTTCAGGAGGTTTGAAGAAGCCTGGCAGATGTTCGCATACTTTTGTGAAACGAAACCGGTGAGAGATTGAGGTCGGACTCGACGGACAAGGCCGGGGAAGAGATGGCAATGGGTGTGCATGCGTAGAATATCACTCGAGCTTTGGTCAATTCTACCGGTACCAGCTGTGACTTCCAACCTTTGTTGGAGCAGGCCAAGATAAAAATCATCGTTTGCTTCCCCCTTGGAGCACCGATACATCGTGGCGCGAGCCTGCCGATGATGTACTTGTGTTCGGTTGCCAAAATCTTCGGCGCATGCGTTGGAGCTAACGTGTTTGGTCGCAGACGGGGCATGGCTCTTCGAGTCTCTGGGCCCAAGGGCTCTCTCACTGCAAACGAATGTGGGCTCTCCATTCAAGTGCTTCTAATTGAAAAATACAATGTCCATGAATGACCAAGGACCAGGATGACAGTGTGACTCTGGGGGCTCACGCCGCAGACTCAATAAAGTTGAGTTTCCATGTCCTTTAAGTAGAAATGACCTCGGCCGCCGCGTTTTTCTCGGCCGCCGCGTTTTTGGCCCGGGCTCGATGCAGATCGGCCAGGCGAAGCCAGTTGAGCGGACTGGGAGGACCACGCCAGGGGGCCTGTCAGTGTTTGCTATGGGGGAGCTTTTGGGATGCTTGTTGAAGGGAAACAACAGCAAACGAGGCATTTGGATCCACTTGGAGCTGTCACCAATTTGGGACCTGTATGTCCTACAACAGGCACCCCGGACAACAGGTCGACTCACAAGCGCCATCTCAAGTTGTGCTCTCATTCAGTCGCTTCTTTCATGGCCCTCGAAAACATGGTTTGCCAAAATGTGCCCCCGGTGCTCGCTGCTGCAACGCGCTCGCTCTTCGATCTCTGCAGCATGGATCTCCTTGTCCAGAGTACATATACTTCTATTTTCAGGACACTCAGTGTTAACGACTCACCCTAGGTCACTGGCACACGTCTGGTTTCTCGAGTTGGTTCAAAGAAAAAGTGACTACTGGCCGTCTGGTTCGACCGGGCGCCTGAGGCCCCACCTGCTGCTGTTGGGAGATCCCGGCACGGGCAAGTCTCAGCTACTGCAGGCTTGGGGATGGTTTTGACCGCGAGGTGTTTCACGTGTTTCTTTGTTTGTTTTTTTGAGAAGGTTCTCAAGGGTCAGAAGGTCCAGAGAAGATGTGTGGTTGAAAGGTTGCGCGAGATGATGGAAAGAAGGGAACATGCTGAGTGTTCCTCTCGAGGCTCCCATGATTGAACAAACTTTCCACAAGGTGATGAGCGCACTGTACGAAACCTACCATGAGGATGGTGCCCATATCCAAACGTACAACATTCTGATTGCTTGGGCGGATAGGTGCGCTGATATTTACACATGGATGCTGTAATCAAAGCATGCTTTTGCAGGGCCTGAAGACCTGATTCTCCAATCTGCGCAAGTTACATTTGTCCTTGATTGTGGTTGGCCAACTTGATTTCGATTCAGGACACCTAACCTGTTTCTTTATCTTCTAATTGGTTCTCTTCTAGACATTCACCAACGAAGACGTTCGCTGCTCCCCTTGTGCTTCGGCGATATGTTCCTTGCTGGAGAGAGCCTCATCAAGACCTGCTGAGCAGCAAGCCAAGCCCAAGTCAAGAATTTCAATCGTCTCACATTTGTTTTGTTCGTTTTGCAGTTTCCTCGGCCCGCCCCAATTCGATTTTGTTTCCTCCAGGCCGCGCAGGAGCTGCACTGGCGCAGCGTCCGCACCAGCGGCCTGGGATGCACCAGCGCTGGGCCCGGGGCCAAGGGAGGGAGGAGTCTGTGAACCACCCAACTTGTGTCCTGACAAAGAGAATCCGCCGGGCGAAAATGTCGCAGAGTCAAGAAATCGGGAGCTGGAGATTCGCAGTACTGCGATCTGGTTTGCAAGTCCCATGTTCCAACTCCCACGGCACCCTTGTCGGCCCTGGGGGGGGAGGACAACAGTGGCTCCTAGAGCTAAGCTAGGTAGCTGGGGTTGGACGAGGCATCGATCTTGTAGGTGGCATGCTATTGCTGCTATTGCGATTTGAGCTGAAACATGAACCCGAGCTACAATGATGTAGCTTCTTCGCTAAATGCGGGTTGGTTTCGGGTTGGTTGAGACTTGTTTGGCTGATTTAGCTGGAAGGGTAGAGTTAGAGTCGGAGTGATGGACTGAAGGATGAGTGGTTGAACACTCGTGAGATTGACTGATTGAGTGCCTCAATGCTTGGGTGGTTGGTTGATTGATCAGCTGATTCATTGGCTGATTTGGTTAGCTTGGTTGGTTGATGGGTTGGTTGGCTGAGTGGCTAGCTGACTGGCTAGCTGACTGGCTAGCTGTTGACGAACTGACTGACTGATGGACTGCTTGGCTGTATGATGTGACGTGGCGTGGCGTGGTTTGACGTGATGTGTGTTTGATGGAATAGGATTTGATGGGATGCGATGGGATGGGATGGGATGGGATGATGTTGCTTTGATGCTGACGGAATGTGATGGTGGTTTGGTGTTGTTTTCATTGGGTTGTGTTGGGTTGGTAGTTTGCTCGGTTGGTTGGCCTATTGATTAGTTGAGTGGTTGATTCCGTGGTTCTTTTTCGATTTAGTGATTTGTGCCATGGTTGGGTGGAGTAATTAAGTAATCACAAAGTATTCATTGCTTGTTGGTTGCTTTTCTGCTTGGCTGCTGATTGCTGAATTGGTAGATTGCTTCGGTTGCTTGAATGCTTCATTCATTGGTTGTTGCCTTGCTGTTGTGCTTGATTGATTGGTTGCTTGCCTTGCTTTGCCTTGCCTTGCCTTGCCTTGCCTTGCCTTGCCTTGCCTTGCCTTGCCTTGCCTTGCCTTGCCTTGCCTTGCCTTGCCTGCTTGCCTGCTTGCCTGTGTGCTTGCCTGTGTGCTTGCCTGCTTGCCTGCTTGCCTGCTTGCCTGCCTGCCTGCCTGCCGGCTTGCCTGCCTGCCTGCCTGCTTGCTTGCTTGCTGGCTCACTTGCTCACTTGTCGGCATGCTTGTTGACTTGCTCGATTTATTGGTTGGTCGTTTGTGTGGTACTTGATTGCTCTGTTTCCTAGGTGGTTTCTTTATAGCTGGCTTTGTTGGTTGTTGTTGGTTTGCTTGCCTACTAGCCTGGCGCGTTTCTGTTTGATGCCTGGAGCACGTGCGCAGTTTGTTGTCTCAGTCTTTTTGTTGGCTTCTTGTTTGCATTGTTTAATTTGACATGCTTTCCATTATAGCTGGTAGGGCGGGGGATGACTATCTAGCAACGGCCCATTCCAGACAATCTGGAAAGTATAAAATACATGCCGTTGATTGTTACAAATCGGCTGATGCTGGTTTGTTTGTGTTGGCAAGTGCCAACTCCAGCCATTAGGACCTGGCAGCTTCCCAGCACCTTTGGGTCGCGGGTACTTAGCTTACCAAGGTTGACATGCGCGGCGGTGCGCGACGGCCCGGACTGGGTCCTCGAGGCTGGATAGAGCTGGACGGACCACTCTCATGTGGCTTGACTGACGCCATTGCACTTAAAAAGGTGACAACTGATCGGCTCTTCATGTTGGTGGGTTTGTACTTGTTCAAGGCCAACACGAAGAAATTCAATAGATATCAACGTGCACATTTAGAAGGTGAGGGTGCAAACAGCACTGTGTCTCAACTTCCATGGAAGACTCTAAGATGATACTAATTTGCCGATCCACTCACAGCCTTTTCTTGCCAGTCATTTGCAGATTCTTTAGGCACTCTGCAGAGTCCGCAGAGCGGCAAGCACCCCTTGCATGTCGCCGATATCAGAATTGCGACATTTGAAAGAGGCGGAGGTGAGGTTTCTCTCATCGCCAGGCCGGTGCACTGGTCCTCGCCGACGGCGGTGTGTGCTGCATCGATGCCGCTTGCGAAAAAGCCTGGGGGGAGCAGGGGTTTGGTTCCCTTTGTTTTGGAATCCCAAAGGAGTCCCAATGTTGGGACACCTTTTAGGCGAACCGGAGGCAACAGAACTCGCGCAGCATGGGCTACGAGATGTGAAGGGATGACACGAGGCATGAAGAAAGTCAGCAAGCGTGTCAGCCAGGGTGCTACCCATCCAGCAACGACTCAGCAACCCAAAGACTGCTGTGCCAGCCAGTCGCCTATGGCAAAAACTCTGAAGAAGCCCCTTTCATTCATCAAACGATTTGGTGTGCCAAGGAAGATAATCAGCAATTCCTGGATGCCCCAGGCGCAGTCCCAGCCTCCCAAGGCTGAGTCTGCAGTTTGCCCCCCGAACGGAAATTTCATGCATGGCAGAAGCAGCATGTCTCGCAAGTTCATGTCGCTTTGTTTCGCTTTGTGGCTATCGTTCAATCAAGAACCTAGTCATACGCAATCCAGAACCTTGAATGGAACGGGATTGCTGGAGGTCTTTCCCCTTACGTTTGAGACCGCCCAAAAGCAAACCGACTGTACGAAGCTGGAATGTGCGGAATGTGGCAGCACTACTTATTTTGGAAATAGACCTGCCAACAATTTGGGTGAAAATGATGGGTGATAGTGATAGTGTTCGTAGATTGTTTGTGTCACTGAAATTGTTTGTGTTTTTGTGCGGATGGATTGGAGCACTTGGTTCCATTCGAGCGAGCATTTGTAGCCAAGCCCGTTTCTTTTTGTGTGACGACCTCCTCAAGTCTCAGAGTCTTGTCAAAGCTCCAGCGATGGCCGTGCTCGCCTGAGGAGTTTTCAACGATTCGAAGCCATGACAAGGCAGCCGTCCACGAGGCGGATTGACAGCATGACAAGCCCACCTGCTCTTAGCACTTTGAGTCACTGGAGTCATGGGATTTGTTTGACAGGAGTTCCTGGTCACGTTTGGCCAAACTTACATGGTCAACCTGCTCCGCAAACACATGTGAAGCCAGAAGCTCGAGTCTTGACATCATTCTCATTCCCTTGTATGTACCTGTTGGGAGTTTTAACATCACCTTCTTGGGCCAAAGATCAATCTCCTGACATGTTATGGCTGAACCTGGCGTTGTCCATCCTGTTTTGCGGGTCTTTCTAGACGTTGATGCCCCATTCTTTTGTCAACCATGTTTGTTTTGCAAGAATCCGTTTTTGGCCCGTTTCCCGCGTTTTCTTTTGGGAAAGACGGGCGGTTTGGCTCAGCGACAGGCCATGGAGCAGCAGACAGTCTCGGTGGCCAAAGCCGGCGGGGGAGGCCCAGTCTCACACAAAATAGGGTGCCTCCTCAAAAAATGTGAAAACAAGGGTTTCAGTTAGAATCAACGACCAACATAGGGTTACTCTCGTTTTGCCGCCACTGGAGATTTGGGCTGGAAGCTCTTCAGAGGAAAGGGGCATGCGACAGTCTTGGGGCCCGGTGTGGTAGACATGTGTCCGGTGTTTGAAGTACAAACATGAGTGTTCAAATGAAGCATATCATATATCAAGCCTAGCGCATGGCAAGCCAAACATCCGCTAGCAAGCTGTGCTTTATTGTGTTGTGCTTGTATCACATGGCACAGACCGCAACAGAAAAGGCTTGCTCTCAGCACGGCCTTGCAGGTCTAATCCCGCAGGTCGTTTCTCCTGGCACGCGAAGTTTGTGAGTTCAAAAGACAGGTCGGGGTTGACAAAGCAGGATCCCATGGTTTTGTTTCTCCTGGCTTACCTTAACCATGGAGCATGTATCGAAATGGGGTAGACCCCCACAGCATAGCTGGGTATCAGGGTCCTTTGCTACACAGGACTCACTTTGGAGTTAACGTCCAGCCGCCAGGTTAGAGAACGTTAAACTAAACCGAAAAGATTCACCCCCCTTTTTGGAGGGAGCTCCTCAGCAGGAACCGCGGGTGGATCTGGCTTTTCACCGAACCCTTTCAGCCCTAGGCCTTGTGTGCCGCTTGCGCTCTCGGTGCAGTGTGGTGGCGGCCCAAAACTGCCGGGAAGCCAAACCTTCCATGGCTCGAGTCCAGCTCTTGTCCGGTAGCACGTGGCTCAAAGCATCGTCGGATTGTGAGGTTGAACATGGACCAGAATATAAAGACGTTTTTAGGTGGGAGCTAAAGCTGAGGTTGAAGGGGACATGTCAATCTAAATGGACTCGGGACGTGCCCCCGTCTGAGAATGGGGTGTTTGGGGTTCTGTTCAGCGGGGAGTTCGTCATGTGAAGCAATCTTGGATGGCCACGTCCCAAAGGTGAATTTGGCTCTCCGTGTGGGACGCCTGACCTTCGCTGTGTTCATTCCACATCCACAAATGGGGTCCTGGGTTTCTCATCAGCTGGGTCAGTCTCAAAGCAACTGACCATCGTTTGACTTCATTGTTTGTTGCTTGAGGCAGCTGCAGCATTGTGATGATTGTGGGTGTGTAGACCGAAAATTGGTATGTGCTGTGTGGCCCTTGTATCAGTAAAACATGCCTTATCGGGCCAGACCCATGCATTACGTGTGTATATGCAGGTACATGTGTACATATCATAATATGTATCATACTACATATATATATATATTACATATATATGTATATATATATATATATATTTGGTATACACATGTGTTGTATACACATGTGCTTTCGCATTGACATATTATCTTATGCAATATAGAACTATAAAATAATGTTTTTGCCCTCCCAGGTGGGTTTGTGGACATGCTAGCACCATGCCGGCAGACGTGTTAGCTATGCCAGCACGGAAGGTGCTTTGCCGCGATCAGCTGCGGCGCTTTTGATTCCACATGTGTCCCCGCCCCCTGCTTTGAGTTTGTTCGTTTGCGTAACCCACATGTCACATTATTGTTTGATTGCATTCGCCCAAGTGACAGACATGTGGATCCTGAGCGAAGATTGCCGTAGATCGGGGCATATGAGAGGATTGCATGGTGTCATGCAATTGCCACCGTATGCCTCATGCCGTGCAAGACATGCCTAAGCAGTCAGAAGAGCACACAGACACGGTGGATTTGCAGGAGCATCTTTGGACGTCCGCCAAACACATTCAACCAGCACCTGGCTCATTGGTTGCTTTTGGCTCCCTCCCAAGGCCCAGTTTAGTGAAGCCCTTGCCCTGTCGCCACGGGAGAAAGGACAGCTGCCACCCGGAAAACCCACCCGTCCGTTTCAATGTCGCATCTGGATTTCGCAGGTCGAGGCGCCAGTCGCTCGCGGGGGCAGGGCTCGGCGTATGACTTGGGCGTGCGAAACCCAGATGGTTGTGGCGAGGCCGGAAACGAATTCACCTGAATGTCCAAGAGGACGCAATTCAAATGGCTTGTTTGGTTTAAGAGGAAGCCATTGGTTCGGTACTTTGGGGCACAGCTGTTTCGAGTCATGCCCAAAGGCCCAGGGTAAAGGAATTGAAGGCACGGCAAGCTTTGCCCACATCTTGTGATGATGATGCTGATGATGAGGATGAAGGATGGCAATGACGATGACAATGATGATGCAAAGCGAGGTAGGACCATGACATATCGAGTACGTGGTTGCGAATACAAACACATGCGGCGTCGGAAAACAATGTGAATCAGTCCATACGGGTGCAGGGTTGGAGAACGAGCTGGGTGTTCCCCCGACCGTTATTGGAGGGTAACGGCCACTCCCAGCCAAAGGGTGCGGATATCCGCGTGTTCAACTCTTGAAGCATGGTTCTGGTATTCCGACCATTTGAATACCAATCGGTTTCTATTGTGAACCTAATCTCATATTCAACCAGATTCTCAGCCATTTCAATAGACCAAGCTTTAAGGATGAGTGTTCTGGATGAGTGTCCCCTCACATGGACATCTTGCCCCGATGGACGTCAGGCGGGTTTTAAGACCTCGCCCCAGCCGCCTCGAACGCCTCGAACGCTCCGAGTCCTCGGTGGCGGTGAACTCGGGGCTGCCGCCGCCGCTGCTCAGCCGCTTCGACCTGGTGGTGGTGTGCTTTGGCAGCGATGGACACGGCTTGGAGGGGTCGTGCAAAGGTCTATGAATGTTGCTTGGGAAAGTTTCCTTGGCTGGTGGGCAGGATTCCCTGTGAGTATGTGAGTGGGTGCCCAAGCTCGCCGCATGTCTTGAGATTCAGCCTGGCTTAAGCAGCCTGGTGAAGCGTCAGCAAGCCACGAGCATGGTAGGCCCCCACCTTGGGTTCAGGAAAGCTTTTGCGAGAAAGGCAAAGGACTCCAAAGTAGGCCATGTTGCTTCAGGCAAAGCTCTACGTTCACAATTCCAGTTTCCTTTCTCTGAGTGATGGTGGCTTGTGCACTCTAAAACATGTGTTCGCCTGACAACGGGCACCAATGCGCCAACTGTGACACCAAGTTGTGCATCAACAAGTTCTGGTTTTGGCTTGGTTTGGAACTGGTTTTGTGTTAAGAGCCCGTTTCCCACGCATTCTCAGAATGACACCTGCCATGAGCCGGATGGACTTGAAGGGCCTCTTGCCACAAACTTGGGGCATAGCAGGGGCACACGGCATGGCTGCGGGAGCTGGCGTTTCTTTGGGTATTTTATCGTGACGTCTGGGATCGGATGCGCAGCATCGTCCTTTCCTTTCGCTTCCCTGCGAGTGCCCCAGTAGCGTTCATTAGCTTTCCATGGCTTCGGGCTTCATCGACCTTGAGCCGCTATCAACAGTATTGCTAGGGGCCTTCAAATGTATATTGCTTGTCAGCCCCGAAGAACCTGCAACTCCATCCGCCAAAAACGGCTGCGGCAGCTGTAACACAACACAAAACGCACCGCAAACGCAAGACACAGTCCAAAGTACAGTTGACTGAAAGTACGCCTTTCATGGAACAGCCTCAAGCGACTCATTGGGCCTGATTGGACTCTTGACTCGGCGCCGCTGGCCCCAGCACTGAGGTTTGCAGAGGGCGGGAAGGCAGGGCTCTCGTTCAACGGCCAACTACTGTTTCCGATTGGCACAAACTTGCAGCCAAGGCCCGTCTGAGGGCTTGGTTGACCATTTCACACATCAAATATCATCAAATCAGAAGCTGCAGGAGTTGAATATCACTCAATATCATCAAATCAGATGCTGCAGGAGTTGAATATCACTCAACCGGTTAGCCATGGCAGCTTGTATTTCCCATAGGTTTATCAATTTGGCAGCAACCAAACCTACGCTTGTTGCGGGAGGGATGTTGCATCATATTGCCGTTTGCTGGAGACAGGTTCAGCTGTCGTCGAACGGCACCAATGATCCAGGGAGCCAGCGAGAGCGAAAAGGCGGACTTCATCATCGGCAGCCGCGCTTGGGACTCAATTTCTGCAGCGAGTCGGGCAAGGCAGTAAGGGTAAGAGTTCCAGCGGAATAAGTACAGCTTCCACCAAGGTTTCTTTCTGGAGGTTTTTGAATTTGAGATGGAAATTCTGGAAACTTGAGGAGATAAGTTGCAAAAGGGGAGCTCCTACGTTTTGCAAAGACAATTTCCAGTGCGCGCACAGGCCAAGCACGTACCCATAGCTTGCACCTCGGTATGCCTTTTCATAATCACGGATGCTACACACGCATGGTTCCACAGGAAGGTTGCCCAATCCTTTTGTAGGACCAGCAAGATGCTGAACAAGAAAGCAGTAGATACCCGTTTTATCATGAACACGGAGTCTTCATTGAAATCACGCCATGCAATGTGTTTGGTGCCGTGTATGTGAGTGTGTGTGAGTGTGTGAGTGTGTGTGTGTGTGTGTCTGCGTGCGCGTGTGTAAGTGTAAGTGCAGGTTGAAGTACAAGTGTAGTAGAGTGTGTGTGTCTCTATATGTGTGTGTAAGAGTGCGTGTGTGAATGTCCAGCATGTTGGGAATCATCGAGTTGTGCAGGGCTGCTGGTTGGGCGACATATTACTATTTGCTTTTTGCACCAGTCATTACTTTGTGCATACACGTTTTCGTCCAAGAACGTTCGTGAGTCAGCTTGGACAGACGATGGGTGGAGACAAGAAGCCATGTGCCACTTGGAATTGGGGACCCTGAAAATTGCCATGTTGTTTGGCGACCCTCCTGTTCGCTGGCATGTAACATAGCGTTCGCCCGAGAGCAAAGGAGCCTGAGAAGGAGAAGGTCACACAGACACCTGCATTGCCAGATGCAGGCCGGAAGGTTGCATGACTGGTGCTCCTCCGCCAAATCATGGACTGGCAGGGGCCTAGTTTTGTGTGGCATCCCCCAAAACAGGCCAGACGGAACAGTTCGAAGGAACTCTGGACTTGTTTTAGCTGAGAAGTCAAGGGAGGGATCAACGCTGAGTCATTGGGTTTCCAGGTCCGCGCATGGGATAGCACATGATTTGACCCGGTCAGGCGCTGTGCAATGGGACCACTCCAGGCGCGACAACTTTTGGTCCCGGGATGCTCTCAACGCCTCTGGGACTAAATTAAACGAGGATACTCGAATTTATTTGACAGCGGATCCCCGCGGCGATTATGAGGCTGCCGGTGCATCCTTATGGCATTGAAGTGCTGATCACACAATTGCCCGCCCATCCGATGGGCACTAGTTGCTATGCTCTCTCAAGATTGAGCTAGCAGACGCGTAGCTGACGCCATTGGAAATATGTGCCGTGGGGATACTGTACTTCATCATTCAATCCTGCGGCTTCATGGGCCATTTATTATTGTTTCCGGATTCGGCCATTGTCAAGCGGACAGCAGTCCGGAACCGTTACATGTTGACATTGTGCCATCACTGCAGCTCATCAGGATTGTCAACCAGATAGTGCGCTGTTTTTTTCCGGGCATGCGACTGCTCCATTTAGTGTGTTGGCGAGCGCAGCTGCGGAAGGCTGCGGGACTACGTGGCATGGGCCAAAGAGAGGCGGCTGGATGAGGAGATTGGCTTGGGGTGGGTCAGGATGGCCAGGTATTCAAACATAGAGGTCCTTGTTAGGTGGATGTGATAGATTGGCAGGGCATGGCAAGCAGCTTGGCAATCAGCATCGGCGGTCTGTCATTGATCAAGAGGCTGGCCATGCCCTCATTGGACTGGTCGCCTTTTCCGGCATGAGGAAACAAAGCATTCAGTTTAACCAGGGCAACGAGTTTTACCAGTTTTGTCTTTAGCTTTGTTTCGCCCAGCGGCAGCGGTGAGGACGATGAGGAAGGAGCTGCCACGCTGCTGCAAACGTGCCCATTGCGGACTTGTCCAGGTAGCCCAGTGGAGGCTTGAGGCTTTAGGGCAAAAATGGTTTGGACGCAAAAACCCAAACAATCATTTTCCTTGGAAGAAAAGCAGGGCTGTGATTGAGGACATGGGGCTCAGCGCTCTATGATGCAGCCCTGGCTGAACCACCGGAGAGCTTCGCCCATTGGATGTGAGTTGTTGCCTTTGCCCAGTCTCGGGTGGCTTTGACGTGCTTGCAATTGGGTTCTAGAAGCCCCCGGCGCTGATACGGTGCGTCAACCTGGAGCTTTGTTTTCAGCCAGCTGGCGCTCAGCTCCAGGTACTTCCAGAAGCTTCGGCAAAGCTCCCTGTCAGGCGGCGGAGTCACCGCGCGAACCCTTGAGAGTCGCCGCCCCAGAGGTGACTGGGTGCTGTCCTTATCCCATTCGATTCTCGGTGGGTTCCATCGAGTTGATGCTTTACTCTTCAGGCGTGCGACCTTTGAAGGGCTGGTTCCTGATTTGCTTTGTGGGCGCAACGTCCGATTGCGAGGAATGAACGTCTTGGACCAACATTTGCATGTTCGCCTGTTTGCTGTGATTGCCATCGCACGTACCATGGAAAAGCAACGCGCCCATTTGCCGCGCCGGACCTGCATGTCCTGCATTGATGAAAAGCAACCCCACCCCCACCAACCCACCCAAACAACCGCCGCCACCACCTCCTCCACCTCGACCTCCTCCTCCTCCTCCTCTCCTCCTCCTCCACCACAAACACCATTGCAAATGGTGTCATTAATTGGGTCCGAGGGTTATCAAAGTCAGAAACTGGGGCGGACTCCCTTTAGCCCATACTTAACTTGGGGGGGGTGACGTGACTGATGTACTAGTAGAATAATGGGGCAACTACAATCACTATCACCACCTTCATTACCATCATCACAATCATCGTCGCCATCATCGCCATCGCCATCGTCATCATCACTATCTTTCTATTGTCATTGGAATGCCCATACGGGTAAGACGTGGGATGTACAACACAGACACAAGTGCAACATGATGTCCACCACCACTTTGAGGTGGTTCCCCATTCAAGATCAATGTCCCCATGAGATATTGCTATTGATAGACTGGGCTTCACTAAGTTCTCACGCGTTTCGTGGCTCGCGGGGCCGTGAGGTCTGGTGCGCTTGGCGCAAGCGCATGCCAAGCTCATGAACCACAGGCGGGCTGGCATCAGTCCATTGCTAGGAAGACCTGATTGAGGAGTCTGTTGTGGTGGGGACTTTGTTTGCAGCGGTTTGAAGGAAACTCAAGGAACGGAAGCAGAACGATTGGAAGCTAGTCTCGGCACAATCGTTTGGGCGACCAACCATTTGAACAACGATTGATTATGTATTGATACGGTAGGAATACCATAAAAACCTGAGATTTTGCTGCGAAACAAGATCGTCCCGCCCCCCCAAATTAACGAGATGAAGCCAGATTTAGTCATGGTGACGGAGTTGACCTTGTCAGCTGTGAGAGTGACGGCTGTGACAGACCAGACTTTGTGAGTGTCTTGCTAATGACTGGGCCCGACTGGCTGCGACAGAGCAGACCCCAAGCTTTTCGCAGGTTTCCGCCATCGGCCCGACCTGACAGCAGTGACTCAGATAGCTGTGAGACAGCAGACAGCGCAAAAGAGATGCTAAGAACGCACTAACCACTGAGGTGCTTTTGCAAGTCTGCGAGGTCCAGGCGTTCTCAGGGCGGAGAAGAATCCTAGACAGAAGCAACAGCTCAAACCAAGCGGTTCCAAAACGGCGCAGATGATTGAAGGCACAATGCAAGAGAACAAAGTAGCCTCCTTGGCCCATAGGAGTCTTGCAGGTGTAGCGGCACGCTGTTGTCCTACAAGTGCTTTCGTGCTGGTTGACCCTTTGCAAAGCGATATGGGCCCCGCACATTGGCCGCGATGTTGTTGCGCTAGACAAATTATATAGTCGGCTGGTCATCTATAGACACATATAATACATAATACACTTATAAATGCAAATATGAACTATACATATGATAGATTTATATACGCGCTATCCCTGATACGGGAACCTATTTGCAGTAGCTTCAGAATGACACGTTCGTTGCTTGGCCCGTTGAGCTTTTCGCCGGTGTAACAGCTGGTCGCCAGTTCTTTTGCAAGCGAGGTGCATGTCGTGACTCAACATATTACGCGCGTAAGACATTGGAACATGCCTGGAAAGGCGCGCTGACCTTGTGCGTTGTATATTGGCCCTTGTTGGCACTTGCCATCATACTTTTTAGACCAGCCTGCATCTATAGGAGCAGCGAAGCGGTTGCGCGTGGTTGATAAGTAGGGTTGTTGGTTTCAAACGCGCCATTGCGAAAAGCAGACAAGCCAAACATGTTGTCATAATCATGTCTACTCTGTGGCGGTCAGCGTCATGATGTTCTCTTTCGAATGTTCCGGGAAGCTTTCAGGGCAAATCATGTGACACCCGTAGGCACACAACAAACACACAACACACAAGCAACCAAACGACACTTTCAAGTAAGCAGCCTTTAGTGGCTGTCGCACAATCACACATACACATGCCCAATAGGGCCAGCTGGTTGCTTAAGCGTTTGCGACGGTCCACTGTTCGTTGAATTCAGACGCTCAATCATGTTTGAAGCCGCTCTGCAAGTAAGTTCAAAGTCGGGAATCCCTTTTGATGGTTTGCATCGCAAATCATCGCGGATCGCGCTCATTTGTCCGATGCCCGTATTTGATCGCGCCATGTTTCGCATGCCTTTTTTGGCATGTGTTTTTCTTTGCATGCCATCATTTTGCTTTGGCGCGCACATAGAATTGGTATGGTGTTGGTCAAGATATGTCACGATTCAATGGTTCCCGCTCTGTCCATTCAGCCACTCACTGACATGAAACCTGCTTGCAAGATCTGATATCCATGAAGCTTTGTTGCTAGATTTGCCACGGTCAATTGTTTGACCATAGCAAATGATGTTTCAGCAAAGTGCACACAGAATACTGATGGGGCTTTCTGAGATAGCTTACTCCCCACACCTTTCCGGCCCTGATTTCTGGCTTGTTGCTAGGGGCGTGCAGATCGAGGATGCCGTTGCTGTGGTAGTGTTGCACCGTGCCTCTTTGCAGGCAACAGGGGGGGACGGGTTTTGACTTTCCTGAGACTTGCACCAAACAATGCTCACGTGCAAAAATTACAACAATATCACCAGGCTGAAGCCAACCCACATGTTTGGCGATATTGACTCTGACACATGATGTCGCCCTTCATGTGAATTGAACATGGACAAAAAGAAAAGTGCATTCCCCCGACTACAGAATCAGGCAATCGAACATAGCAGGTCAGTTTTGGCAGCCATTTTCTGCCTTCCGGCCTGCTTAACATTTGTCCATTTGGGTCCCAGCATGATTTTTCATCACAGGGGCTATACAAACATGAGTGTATTGTACGTTCTCCGCAGCATGTTTTGGACAGTGAATGGTGGGTGACATCCGGAAAGGGAGCGGAGAGCTGGTCTACAAAGTTAATGCTTGTTTGATCACTGCAAATAGCCCCATTGACACCCTCTCCATGAAGCAGCTGGCATGTGCCCCTGAATGTTAGCCGGGACTCCTTAAGCAAAGTCCTGAGGGCTAAGGGCCAAGGGCCAATCCCATATGCCTAGATGAGTAGAATGTGATGAAGAAAGCTTGCAGTACCCGGCAGTACCCACTGCGAGAGCATTGCAAGTGACGAACTGGTCAACTTTTCAACTGTAGCCCGCCTCAGCTACTATGATAGGACCATGTCGTGGGAGCGGACTCCTTGCTGGGACCCTAGTCAAAGGCAAGGGGCAGTTGGAGGATCTTCTTCGATAGGGCGGAAAACTAATTGGCCAAGAGTCGTGCACGTCAGTGCACATTGTTCGTTGCGGATGGTTGTTCGGAACTGATTGGGTGTAGTCTTTGTTCCCAGCGAGTTCATACTGCTTCCAGCGTCGCCTGAGCCATTCTGCCCATGGTGATCACATCATAACACCATAAGTTCTGATTGCGCTGGCGCAGTCCAATGTTTCAATTGCCATGAGGGGAGCACCCGACACGTGCACTTGATGGAGAACAATTCTGAGAAAAAATCCAGAAGTCAAATTGCTATCAGTTGCCAGCAACTGAGGTCAGAGGGCAGGGGGGCATCAAACAGCAGTTGGGAGGAGAACCGAACATGGTGCATCTTGTTCTGCTTCTTGCGTTGCGTTGGCTTAGTGTTGGGTAGCGATTAACAAAAGCTCCGCCAACGCATTGGGGGGCGGGGTTCAACACAGGAAACCCCTCAGGAAGTCTCCCGAAAGTACTCCTTAGCACTGGCTTAGAAATGGCCCAGTACTGTTTAGAATTAGTTTAAACTCAGTATTGATTGATTTAGCACTCTTGTGTGCAGCAGTGTGCAGTCATTATTTCTGGTTAAGTATTGGTCTGGTCTTCTTCGAGCTGGCCCGGTACTCTTTGGAATTGGTCTGGTATTGATTTGGTACTCCTTAGTACTGGCCCAGATGTGTTTGTTTTCTCTATATCCCACCCTTAGACATACATCATTGTTCTGTTTCTGGGGCTTCCCTGTACCACCCCCTTGACACTCTGTTTGGGAGGCTATTGTACTTCTTTGTACAAGGTGTCATAAGGGATTTGGCAGGTTGGGACCTCAGTTGGTTGTCGTGGCTTAGGATTGGCTATAGTGGTTTTCTATTGAATTGCATTGGTCCAGTATTGGTTTAGTATTAGTGCTTCTGGTTTAGCATTGGCTTTGTATTGTTCTAGTATTGCCAGGGCCGGGCTGCCATACTTTCTCCGTATTTTTCTCTCGTATTTCTCACCCTGTTTCGTGTTCAGATGTGAGACGAAATTGGTCCAAGGTTACACCAAGGACTACCTAGCTTGACAGAGAGATCGACCTGCGGTCTGTGATTGAGGCCCAGCGGGGAAGACTTCGCCCCCAACCTGCGCGACCTGCATGAGGAGATGGCGGCTTGCAGTGACCTTAGCTTTGGCATGTGGACCAGGAAGTTGCCCACGTTTGTTGCGACCTGCGCGCGTCACAGTTAAACAACAGCAACAGTGCATGATATCACGGTAGTTCCCATCATTGAACCATTCACAGAACAGGTACAGTGCATGCAGTGCAGGAAGTGGTTCTCAGTTTTTGTGCTCAGCCCTGTGGCTCTTGTTCCCTCAGACCGGGTATCCAGCAGATTGCAGCTGCCGCCATGTGCACAATGCCGCATGCGCAAAGCTTTCGACGAATATGGGTGTGCCTTTTTTTGTCGAAGCCCCAAAATGGGTTCCTTTCTGTCCGTTAAGCCAGCCCCAAACAAGGTACCCGGTTACCCTCAAACTTGACAGACCCATATTTGCGCCCAGGTGGTGTGCACGTGTCCCTGGAAGGCCAGGAGGCATTGGCTTCTTGGCGCTTGTCGCATTGTGTCAGGCTTGGAGCTGAACCACGGCTCAGACATCTCCAGCAAAGCGATCTATGCGCTCATGGAGCAGGCAAGGGTACGTTCACAAGGGAAAATGGTAAACCCATGGTGCAAGATGCATGCACGCATGCTTGCAAGATGTCTTAAGTTTAGATCCAACGTGATCCTGAGTTACCCGGCAGCGAACTGCCTCATCCCATGAGCTGCCTACCAGCGAACTGATGGCTTCGAGTGTCTTCTTCCGACCCATAGTACATATATACATATATATATATATATAATATACACGACCAAGATTCGCCGTATCTCTCGATCCACAGAGGAGCAACACATATGTGCGTATATATATATATATATATGTATGTATATGTGTGTCTGTGTTTGCTTGCGGCTCTGTGTGTGTGTGTGTGTCTGTCTGTGTAGGTCTCCACTTCGCCCATGATTTCTTTGCCCATTCTGAGATGTTCCCACATGTTCCCCCGGGCTTGTCGGGCTACCTGCCACAAAGAGCCGCAGTGCGCCATGGTGGGCGCTTCTCTGAGGCAATTCTTCGATCCCTTCGGCTGCTCCTTTGCTGCAGACATCGCTTGGAAGGAGTATCTGGGTTCGATGAGGTGAGCTCTCTCAGGCCAAGAGAGGAAGGTGAGGGAGAATCCCAGCCATAAATGGGTGCCACCTGTTTTGATTCTTTACATGGGCTTGGGCGCACCATCTTGATGCCAGGTTTTGATTATGACTTAGTTTCTTTGGCGAGCATGCAACGCTGCAAGGCCAGCAGCAGGATTAAGAAAGTAGGTAGAACGTTTGGGAGAGCATTCAACGTTTTTTGCCGTTTGGGTGCTGGGTGCATGCGTCATCGTGGTTGTGAAGCGGCACGATTGTGATCTGGACTAGTCTTTGCACACCAGGACTAGACGAGTCGTCAATGAACCTACCAGGTTCAACCTCTTGGAATATATTAATTGAATTGTGATTAACTTGGGGTTATTGTGTTCCTTGCAGTAGCAGCTGAACTACAAAGCGGAGCACACGATCACCTGAATGTCACATGAATTGAGCACTTCATCCAGAGGCGTGTTATTCCTTAAGTCAAAACAGCTCTGCTGGCAGTGCCAGGTACATGAGCCACAGTCGACATTGTGTCGCGCTAATGGCCACCCCCGTTTCAGCTGTTGAGTGCGCCCCATGTCATCCCCTTTGCTACAGTACATGACGATAAGCATTGGCTGTTGCCGATATATCATGACTGCGCACGTCGATGGACACTAGTTCGGCTTCAGGCTCGTCAGCAAGTTGTTTTCCGATTTTAGCATTTGATGGGAAGCCTGCAAATTGAGTCAGGACTACCCAGAAGCACAGGAATTACTGCATTCTATGCATTGTAGCCGGCGCTTTCTATGATATACTATTGCCGGCCCGAGGTGCCGTGCAAGCAACGACCGCCGCCGTTTGGTGCGCCTGGAGCATCAGGCAAGGCGACATGCTTGGGCCTTATGTGAAGTCATTTTATGATGTTGGGCATTCGAGCAGTTTGCAAACGAATTCTAAGGATGTGAATAAGCCCCCCCAACCAAAAATAAGAGATAAACAATAAAAGCAAAAACACAAGCATCAAAATGAGTAAGAACCAACCCTGTGACACTGTGGAGCCAAACAGGTTGAAGTGTACTAAGCCTTGTGAAGGCTTACTCAGCCTTGTTACAGCTTATCAAGCCTACTTACGCCATTAAAGTCTTATATTTTTGTATGTGGCTTTACCAGGCCAAACAAGGCTTAATAAGCCCTGTCATCTTCCTAGCCTAAAGGGCCGTGACTGGTCTGCCGCCGCAACATCTCCGCAACTAAAATTGTGCGTGAAGTAGATCCAGAAGGTGACATGTGACAGTTTGCATCGAGTTGAAAGTCATATGAACCAACCAACCGTGTTTTCATTTTGTTGAGCAACACATTACATGAGTGGCGTTGTTTTTCCCGCTCATGCAAACAGCATAGATGTTGACATATCAACAAAAATGTTCGCTCCGCACTGGTTTGCGGAAGTGTTTTTCGCACGGAAGCTCGCGGAAGGGACGTTGTTGATTTGCGCATAGTAGTTGATTTCGTTTGGGTGGTTGTTGCCAAGCACGTTTACTAGCACACCGTGCGCACGATTTCCCTTGCGGAAGTTACCTTCCTGAGCTTCCAGAAGCAACTTGCCTGTGGAAGGCCCGCGGAAGCACTTATATGAGCTTATATAGAAAGATGCTCGCGGAAGGACCCTTCGCGGAAGGGTTTGCGGAAGGGTTTGATACGTCAATGCATATTTACACACATGACATACCCGTGATGGCCATCGCAAAGTTTCGTATTGGACCCCCCCGCAGGTGGCGTTCTTGTTGTAAATTCTGTGAAAAACACAATTCAACCCCGTCGCCAGGCTTCACAGAACATCACTCCAGCCAAAAAGGATTCCAGCAAATCTGTGGGCCAAGTGACTCAGCAATAGCTGACATCAAGGCGAAACACTATGGTGCGGAATGCTATTAGCCACCTGCAGCCATGCCATTTTTGAAAAGCTTGAGCGCCCTCAATTTATTTTGGGGGGGAAGCTTTTACGTCATGAATCCTTCATTGCCGCGGTCAGATGGCTTCAAAGAAGCTGATAGGAAGGGCGTATAGAGACCTTCAAATCATGCAACACCTGGTGGGCATTCGGGAGGCGTCTCCATTGGCCATTGCCGACGTGGCGTTTTCGACGGCGCAGGCGGACGTATTGACACTTGCACATGTGCATCTATTTGCGAACGACTGTGGCATCAGCTGAGAATTGCTTTCAGAAAGCAAGGGCCTTTGCGCAGCATGTATTGTGAGCCTGGTTGGCCGAGCGTGTTCGGTTTGAATTTCACGTTTATGACTGACCAACCAAGACTATGTATACATGTTATGTGGTCTTTAGTGATACACCACTACACATTCACGTACGGCTCGGCCGCTGCGCAACTCGAAAAAGTCTTGTAAACTTCAGCTTCGGTCTTTAGACCAAGGTCCAGGGAAGAATCAACAATGGACGAAGTTTGGATTAGGTGACTGGCTTTCTGAAACAAGCTTCCCAGCGCTTCTCGACTCATTTGTCAGAACGTGCCTGGCAAGCGGTCCTTTGTGCTGTCGGGATCTCCAGGCCAGCCAACATATTAGTTGGCTTACTCAACATACCAGTGTTTGAAGGTGAGCAATATTGCAAGTACTGAACCATCTTGATGCTGCTAACATACGCAGACGTTCATAGCACAGCCTACAAGGTGGTAGATGAGCTCATCACCTGGTGCGGTCCCAACTTCAAGGAGAGACTGAAGGCTTTTGGAGGTAGAATTTATATTTCAAGGACTCCCATTCTTATCCATTGTTCAGATAGTTGCTTTTAGCTCTGTAGTCGACATGAAACAGCCAAAGGTCGGGCGGTGTTACAGGACTGTGTGCATGTTTCCAAAGTGGTTTCATTGGAACAGGTTCGGAAAAGGAAGCAGGGGCAACAGGCAGTGAGTGTTTCATAAGGCAGTGAGTGTTTCATAACCCGTAACGCCAGTTCTGCTCCATCGATATGCTTGACCTTGCGGCATGCAACGTTCCCCGCCTGGTCCACACTTTTGGACCTGCTTGGGACCTAACTTTCCTTTTGTGCTTTATTCTGACAGCTTGGAATTCTCATATGGGTATGGGTCAAAATTAAACCAGGGGACCGCAGGTTGTGGTCCGTGTTTCCACTTACCAGGGTTCCATTTGGGGTGCCTATTTTTGACCCGCAGCCATATCGCTACCAGGCCAATGTGCAGAGCTACATCTCGCAATGCTCGCAGGCGAAAGTTTTCGTGGAATCGCGGCGATGGCCCTTCGCATTTGAACAAATTGCTTGCGGGTGGATTGCCCTCCCGCAAGCACAACTATGGCACCTGAATTGACGACGGTCCTTTTCGACTTCTAGGGCCTTCTCCGGATTCTGTGTGTTTTTGTTGAGTGAGAACAGTGGGCTCTTTGTCACGCACAAGGCCCCAGACATGTTGGCGAACACGTCTGCCCTGACAGCGAAGTTCAAAACTGATGGCTTACCGCCCTACGCGCCATGCGACACATCGACGGCCAAGTTGCAAATGCCCATGTTCTTCTGCATGTTTGTGCACTGGTTGTAAGCCATTCGCAAGCAGCACATTAATGCACGCGCACGCAGATATCACTGGAACAAACACATAAACACACAAACACGCAGCAGCACACGCACACTCAAAACAAGTACACAGTGACAGGCACGGATACATGAGACGCGCACGCACACACACACTGATGTCATTTGACTTGTTATTCCGTGATGCCACTTAAGGCTGGACTTTAGACCCAGCGTGAGGAGCCTGGCGGGCTTCCCGTGCAAGTCCTCGAGAGATCCAGGGTTCCTTGACGAGCAAGTAAAGTTGGCAGACAAAGAGAATGGTTCTTGCTGTTTGGATGGGGCCCTAAGTCAAACCTCGTCGTCGCGCAATTCAACAGAGCAAGAAAAGGAGTTTCGGCGCAGCTCACTCGAGTCATTTTTTGCCGGGTCGAACATCCTCATCAGGAACGCCCCCGTTCGACCGCAGTTACTGTATGCTCTTGTTCGCGGCGGGGGCGTCCGACTCCAATCAAAAACAATTGCGACTGAAAGTCCATGAAGAGGTGCAAAACCCGCCAAGTGCAAAGTCAAGCCAAGTGCAAAACAGCTAAGCTGCCCCTTTCCGGTCGTCAGGGGTTTCACACACACAGACACACAGACGCAGAGACCCACACAGACCCACACAGACCCACACAGACCCACACAGACCCACACAGACCCACACAGGCCCACACAGGCCCACACAGACGCACACAGACGCACACAGACGCACACAGACGCACAGACGCACACTGACGCGCACAGACGCACACAGACCCACACAGACCCATACAGACCCGCGCAGGCCCACACAGATTCACACAGACGCACACACACGGACGCAGACGCACGCAGACACCCGCGCAGACGCACACAGAGACACCCATGCAAACGCACACAGACACACCCACGCAGATGCACGCAGACACTCCCACGCGGCCACACAGACGCACACAGACGCACTCACACAGACGCACACAGATGCACAGATACGCACACAGACGCACACAGACACACGCGGACGCACACAGACGCACACAAACAGACACAAACAGACACAGAGACACACACACACACAGAGGCATCCACAGATCAAAGGGCTAACTGTGCTTTCTTTCGTGCCCGCGCATGCTCAAGCACCCGTAGTAGCACTGGTTTGCGCGAACATGCGAGCGTTCTGCGCGTACCCTCGCCAAATAATTACGACTATGCGGTACTCCAGGCCGCGCCCTTGTCGAAGAGGTTCGACGACCCGGCACAAGCCTCAGCTGGCTTACTGTTGGGTTTGATCCAGAATATCAAAACATAGGTTCGTTTGGCAATGGCATTGCAGAGCATTGGAAGAGCAGGCAGCAGGCATCGGCATGCCGCGATCCTATCAATGGAGCCCATGTTCGCTCCAAGGCCGTGAGTCCCCAATTCAAAGCTGCGGGCGTTTTTTGCGCTGTGGGCAAACAGGTTGGAATCTTCAGGTGGCCGCGCTTGATTTTTTGAATCTGAGGATGGCACAAGGTTCCAATGAGTCGCACTTGTTGAATACCGGTTTATAGCCGTTCGCAACTCTTCCACTGTTTGGAAGCCTGTCATGGATCCTTGGATCTTCCAGTTTTGCAACTGCCGCTGCCGGCCAAGGCTGGTGTACGGGGCCACACTGGGCAATTCGACCCATCGCAGTCCGTTGCACAGGCTGGTGAGCATGTGAGCATGCTGGAACAGTCGATTTTGCGTCAATCCTGCCTCCACATTAATTTCACATCCCACCACAGTTACGAGCGGCAGACAGCACCAGCTGCTGATAATTCACTCGTCCAACCAGACAAAGAGTTGGACTCACCTTACATCCTATCTGGTTCTTGGCATCCCGGAAGTAGTGCGCAATAAATGCAACAAGTCTGAGGCCGATGTTCAAAGAATGCGGATTGCACTGGAGCCGAGGGAGCCATGCCTGCATGAAATGCTGCTGTTCTGACTTCTTGTTTGTATTGTGAGACCTGCGACCGCGTATTTTGTTTGTCTAACGGGCGACAGGCGATGAAGGCTGATTGCGAGAACTCTGTTTTTTTGCTGTCACTGTCGTAGTTTACATGAATCCGCAGATCATGCATGGCTGGTTGATGTTTGACGCATGCGGATCCCTTTAGCACGTCTTGATTTGTTGATCGGCCTCAGGGCCATATGCAGCATGTTTCTCAAAGAGTGTCTTGAAAGTGCAGCGCCTTTGTCACTTGTTTTCCTGCGATTCGCGACCCAGCGCCTTCTTTTGGTTCTGTTCCTCGTGAAGCCGTATTTGGCAGCATTGACGTCTTTCCTGTTTGCAGCCTGGGTGTGCCGCTGGCCGAAGGTGGCGACTCCCAGCCGCGTGTTGGGCTCCAAGTTTGACGGTCAACCGGAAACCCACTTCGTTTGTATGAGTTGATCACTGTTTTGAGGCCATTTGATGGGCTAGAAGCCTTCACGATCTTTGCGAGTTTGACAGAGTCAACTCGCCTCGAATTGTTGCTGGTGTATGCTAGTGTTTTCTTTGGAAGCTGTGTGGCGCACCAGCCCACAAGGCAACAGGGGCGCAAGAGCGGAAGCCTGCTTTATGGCAATGACCGCATTGAATCCATGGCAACCTTGAGTCAATCAATGCTCACAAGTTTAGACGGTACACCAGGTTGGCCAATGGGATAGCTTAAAGGCCATGAGAAACAACCTTTCACGCCTGAAGACTGCATTTTCCTGCCATTGCTCCTCTTGGATTGTGCTCTTTCTGAGACACGATTGAAACCGTTTCCGCTTTTTCGGTATAGAAGTACGACCCTTTTCCCCCCCGTCGGCGACTGACAATCCTGAGCCAGCCGCGACAATTCATTCAGATGCCCTCAAATCGGATTCCAGGCTGATTGCCAGGAGTGTGTTTGGCCTTGGCCTTTGCCCTTCCCAGGTGCGAGGCAAAGACTCGGGGGAGGCAACTTGGGCTCTGTGGCCCAGCGGGAGGGCGAGGGGCGGGGCGTACGGATGACCAATCAGCATCCAGTATTTGTGTTGTCCGTTGTGAATGTCGCCAAACGACAGGTTCCCAATTTCCACACATTCCGAATTCCCACCTGAAGTCTCTCTTGTGCTTTGCAAACCGAGGAGCAAGATGTCATGGAATCCTGCACGCGTTTTCGCCGAAGCCGTTCACTGGTTTGCAAGAATGAAGGTGGCCCCATGGATTGGTTGGCAAGCAGTCATTAGGGGGGCCCTGCGAGATGACCGGCTGAGGCTATTCTACTTAATTCATGCTATCAATTACTAAGCATGCTCTTGCCCCTCATGTGCAAGACATGGTATTATTCCCGCGCAGGCTTTATTCGAATTGCTTTTGCTGGGTGTGTTTAGCCTGCGAGCTCAGGTGCCGTTTGCGATGACGCCATGCACGAGGGGAATGTGCTGCTGAGACGGGGCTCGCAGCAAAAGGAGCGCTTTGTGCGTGCCCAACATGTGCCGCTGGAGCTTGTTGACATGTTGTTCATATCAATGTGTATGTGTATATGTGGTGTTTGTTTGTCCGTGTGTGTTTGTGGTTGTGCTGGTGTTTGTGTTTGTGTTTGTGTTGGTTTGTGCTCGTGGCTGGGGATGTCTTGTGTTTGTATGTGTGTATATATGTTGATTTGTATGTGTGTGTGTGTACGTGTGTTACTGTTTATTTGTGTCCGTGTTTGTGAAGTCGGGTCGGAAACCGCCAGAACTGAACGTTCTTTTAACACCTTTTGTGTCCAGCATCATTTTGGCGATTGCACGATTCCACGCATGGCAAGCGCGCCTTCCGGAGACCCGTGTCGTGGCTGCCGAACACCAAGCGTTGGGGGACTGAATTGCATTGTGTTGTCAATTTGTGATTGCGTATTTGCTTGCTTCCTTCCTTGCTTGCTTGTTTGCTTGTCCATGTATGCGCTTGCGTGGTTGGTTGTGTCTGTGTGTTGTTTCGTGCACGAGTTCCTCGCCCAAATCGGTTTGGTGGCATCACCACTGCATCACCACTGTTGTTTCATGCATCCACTTTGTGTGTTTTCGGTTTGGCAGCGATCCGGCGCAGGTACTCGGAGCTGTCCCCCGCGCTGCAGGAGTTCCTCGCCAGCGTGCTTGACGCCGCCAGGGGCACTGAGGCGAAACGGAGCCGTGGTTTCAGCCAAGAGGTTTGGGACGTGCAAGAAATGCTTTGGAGACCTATAGAGATTGGTGTTCTTGTAAATTTAAACAGCAATGGGCGTCCATTTTCTTAATATCACTTGTCATCCTTTCCGACTTGCGGACTTGATCACTTTTCTCAGAAGGCCTGATGATGAGTCGGCATGTGGATCAAAGGTCAAAACCAGTGGAGTTAAGAATTCTTTGGCAGTTGGAGCATGTGTGTGTGTGTGTGTGCACGTGGCTTTTGTTTGTTGGTTTAAACATGGCCAGGGATCCCATGGTTGCCCTTTACTTCCAGACAATCAACGTGGAGTGTGAGGTACCACTGAGGTTGTACCCCAGTTTCCCGGAAAGCCATTCCCCTCTTTGAAAAGTCTACATCACTACATGGCTATTGTAAGAGTGGTGCAGTACACCCTTGGGGGAATTCAACATGTGACAGTCCTTGATACGACGCCTGAGTGGCATGCGTCAATTTCATGGGATGTGCAGGTGATGGACGTGTGCAGTAAATGTCAATAAGTCAAGCCTCGCAGGCATTCTCAGCCTTGTCAAGGAGCAGGGCCCCGTCCCCCACCCTTGTTTGTGTGCATGCAGAAGAGCATGCCCACGTTCGTTTGGGTCGCAGGTAACAGTGGCAGATGCTTTTGAAGTGGCAGCTTGGCTTATCAAGTTTTGAAAGAGCAGTGTGGCCAGTCATTCAGCCCATAGGCCCATAGGTTCGGTACTGTTTTGCAACAGGACCCCAAGCCAAAAATGTGCTGGTTGCAGGCTCGTGTGTGATGTGTAACTTATTGTGTTCTTGTGTACTGCAATGTCCACCTGGCAGTTGCAGCTTCAAGTCTTTTGTCCGCTGCATGACAACCATGCTGTTCGTGTTTTGTTTCAATTCATCCGCTTTGCCTAACTCCCTGAGTTCATGGACGTTATACTTTTTGGGAAGACCGTTTTGGTGGTAAGCAACAATTGCAGACTGTTTTGGCCCATCCACTCGAAAGTGAGTTGCATGATTTTCCCTTTGGCTTTCTCAAGCCTTCGGCCGGTCCTCAACTATGATGCGCTATTGGAAGGCTTGATGTCCCATGTTGCAATGGACTAGTCCATGCTAAGATGCATTGCGAGTGTGTGTGTGTGTGAATTGGCTCTTTTCAGAATGTTTTTGCCAGCTGGCGATGTGGCGCTTCAGATTGTCAACAGAACCTGCCAGCTGCCATGGCTAATTCAACCAATTTCTCAACAGCACATCGTGTTCGTGACTTCCAATACGCATACCGCGCTTCCTGTAAATGTTACGGATGGCTATGCCATCAACTTAGAGCACATCTAGCCACTCGTAGCGTAGGGAGGAGAAACTACGGTTACCAACCGATACCAGGGCATTGGACTACAAGGGTTGTCTCGCATTTTTTTCAAATTTATGTTGAGTTTTGAGGAGCAGAAGTGAGGGCGACTGGAACAGCCTTGCCAAGGACACTTCGGGCACCATGAAATCCTGGCCAGGACCCCAGCTGCCTGAGGCAGACCAACTCATCCAGCCCGACAGACAAGATGCACGCGAAAGATTTTCATGGCTGGCCGATTGCAGCTGGCATGCCATCGAAGCTTCTTGTCCCAGCTCAATTGCACGTGAAATGCCGAATCAAGAGATGGTGCGGTTGGGATGCACATGCCACACGATCTCATGAAGCATGTCTTGTGTGTGTACCATGGTGGATGCCTGCACCATGCCTCGCGCGACAAAGCTTGAACTCGCCGGGCGCCAGGTCCATTAAGAACAGCAATTGGAGCCTGGACATTTGGACATCAGACAAAAGGCTGGGCCTTGGGATGGGCACGTGGAAAAGAACTTACCTCCAGAACAAAACATACTTCTACTGTCCCTGGCCATTTGGGGTACCACGAAATAACTCAGACTTGGGGTCAGCAGATGCTTTTACGTGTCAGCTGTGATGACCAGAGAATACCTCATAAAGCTGTCCTTTTGTCCAGAGTCTTCAGCAGGGTGGAGAAAAAGAGACTGGGGCAGCCACCATGCCCAAAAGGCGTCGCATGACTCAAGCGATTGCTTTGTGCTTCGAGAAACATCTCGCTGGAATGGCAGCACAAGTTGGCATTCCAAAGCGCCTTTTGTTTGTCCGGCTGGTTGATGGTAATAAATTCTGGTCAGCGCTTCAGTAGAATAGGCTGAGCAGGCGCCGTGACTTTTGCTGGATGTGCTGTGTACAGCGAAGAAAGCCCCCGGGCATATCGGGGAGCCCCGACACGTGCCCTTTGCAGCGGAAGCTACGTAGTACTGCTACAATTATGGAAGAAGATGATGATGGCAACTACTACCAGTGCACTGCACATGCCGGTTCTTGTCTTCTAGACTGATACCCTAGGAAGGTGGTTGACTGTGACATGGGCAGTACTTGAAGGCTATGGCCAGAGCAGTATTTGTTGCACTATTTTCAGGTTGATTTCAGCACAGCCCTCGTTGCTTAGTATGTCTCTGGTGACACGGAGCGCTCCTCGGAAGGTTCCTTTACAAGAGCCCTGCTGGAAAGCAGCCCTCGGTGACCATCTCTGAGAGCTGGGCAGCAGGGTGTCCCAGCTGGATCATCCTTGGGCTGGGGCCAAGCAAGCGCCGGCCGCCAAGCCGTTGGATTTGTTTTGTCAACGTTCAACTCCAACAGGCTGTCCATTTGTGAGGCAGCCACCTTGCCTTCAACTTGAGCATTGTTCACATCTGTCACAATCCAGTCACAACGGATGTTATAGAGGAACTGGCACCACAACTATGTCACAAGATGTGAAGAAGGAACTGGCATCTCAACTGTTTGCAAGGATTTGCTGGATGCATCTCCCGTGTATTAATCATGCCCCAACCCCCAGGCGGTTTCTGAATGAAACAGAGAAGTGCGGGTTCCACTTTTTGAGGAACGCCTGGAAGCCTTGGGACAAGCTCAGGCCTTTAGGGCTTTAGGGGAATGCGCACATGCTCCGTTCGATGGGAAGTTTACTCAAACATTGCACGCTTGACTGAAATAGCAACCCCAAGCCCAAAATGGCTGGTGTCCCTTGCAATGAGAAGGGGTTCTGCATATCTACATGATCGCACGTGATTGGCCCAGGCTTGGCTTGGCGCAGGAGGTGGCTATCCTGCTCAGGCCGGGGTGAGGCAGGTAGAGCTGGTAAAGCCTTCAAATCAAGGGAAGCCATGCATTGATCAAGTGAGCCACAAACAATATCCAGGGAGTTGACGGTCAGATGGTTTGGGGTAGGCTCTGACGCTCCAGGTCTTGGTTGTGGTGGTATGTGGTGGTGTGGCGGTGGTGGCGGCGGCGGCGGCGGTGGTCGTGGTGTAGCTACAGATGATTTTGGTTCAAGTTGTGCAAGGATCAAGTTTGATCAGCAGGTCAGAAACCAGTGGTTGGTGTTTTTTTGGCAAGTGGGGTGCTTAGTCAGCATAGAATGCTTGTTTTTGAACTGGGGAAAGGGCGGGATGCATATCTCGCAAACCTCGCAAATGTATTCACTTGCAGACACGTGCAAGTGCTTGCCATGCGTGTAGGCTTGAGGACCCTTGCCATGAGCGGATGCAGTGTTTCACCTGCGTGCTGCGCCAAGAAGCGTGTTGAAGAGGCATTGCGATGCAGCGTTCTTGCCTGTATATTCATGGCTGACTCGAGCGCAATGCATGGCTGACTCGAGCGCAATGGCGTGTGCAGGCGAACAGACAACATGTAGTCAATGGCTTTGCCCATGCTCCAGCCCCCCAAAAATGCTACCTTGTTTTACATCCGATGCATTCCGATGTAGCTGGCATCGTGCTGGTGCATTTGTTGCTCAACGACTTGATGGGCATCATGCATGCCTAGCATGCTTGTTTGGGCAGGCTGGCTTGGGCCCTGCAGTTTGGTCGGCCGCCGTTGAGTGTGGCTTTCGGATTGTCAATGCACAGAGAGGGCGCATCTCCTCTTGCATCGCTTCTAAAATTGCGTGCTGCGCGTCCCGCATGGTCTGGCCATCGTGAGGGTTAATTCCAATATGTTGCAGGTTTAGCTGCCATCACATTCATGATTTAGGCAACGATCCTAGAAGCAGTGCTGGTTCAATATTGTCAAAGAACTAGCCCAGACACAGTTTGTTTGACAAATGTCAAGCAAGCGGCAGACTTTCAGTCAATTAGCATGAGTCATTTTGTCTCTTTGAGCCTAGCCCACAAAATGCCCTGAGTCAAATAGCGCTCACTGGATCCCAATACTGCTGAATGGCGCTGTACAGTACTTGCAATGCAGAAGCCTTGTATGGCTCCCATTCGCTCCGCAGCGCTATTGCTTCAGCCTTCATTCGGGCACTTTGCTTTCCCTCACACCTCGCAGCTTCATAAGCCTCGTGTGAAGAAGTAACCCTTTGCAGACCCAGCAGAAAGGCCTTGAAGCAATATCGCTTTTTGTCCTTTTTTTGGAAGACGGTGCTGGCCTCAGAGTGAATTGCGGTCTTTCGCAGTTTGTGGTGTGACATAGTTGTAAATGTTAGATGTACTGTGGTGTGAGTAAATATATCGTTGCATGTGCTATGTTGTGTATTTTCTTGTGTGGGTGTGCTGTTTGGCCCAACACTTGCATGGTCGCCAAGCGCAAGAGCCGTAGACGGCAGGTCTCTTCAACGATGCCAGCAGACGGTCCAAAGCAAGAGCAGAGCGTTACAGCCCTTCGAGGGCAACCCCGTCAAACCCGGCTTGAACTCATGCCGGGTTCTGTCGCCCGAGGCCATCAGAATACACCCAGAAACTTGGCTGCAAGATTGCCCTGGGGACTGGCACCGTGGGCCCGTTTCCCACTGTTTGGTTATCCCCTATGGGGAAGTGTTGATCAAAGGCAACAGGCAGCAAGTTGCAGTAAACATATTTGCATCTTTTTTGCGAAGCGGTCTCGTTTTTTGCTCATTCCGTTTGTACCTGCTCCGAGGCAGTCTTTGTGATCCCATTCTTTCGTTTTGATCATGGCCCACACCGGCGTCGTGAAAAAGTATGACAACCTCAAGGCAGGCGCTTCAGAGTTCGCGCGCGATTGAGGGCACCATGCTCAAAGGGTCAAGTTATTCCGGCAATTCGGCCAAGCATTGAACTGACAGTGGCTAGTTGAAAGACCTGCTGATATCCAAGGATTATGAAACAGAAGGTGTTTGACGCGTTTGATGTTACCTGCAGGGAACATGCGTTGCTTTTAGCATGACCATGCAGGATTCAGTAACATTTCCAACCAATGCAATCGGTTCCGACTAGCATTGGGGGGTTAAGCACAGACTGAGCGAATACGATGCAAAAACGGTCACCTCATTTCTGGCAGGTTTTTGGCTTGGGGCCTGCAAGGCGTACCTTGAATTGGGGTGGGGGGTTTTGGCGAGGCCCCAAAAATGATGGGGTAGGGTTTTTGTTGGGGAAACCTTCCATTGTGGGGGGTGGGGGTTAGTAATCGTGCACTGACATTGTGCAGTCGGCGTGTGTTTGTTGTACGAGTGTGTTTGAATCCCTCCAGCAAGGAATGGTGCACGCAGCAAGAGCACGGATGCTTTGCTGCTGGGAAGCGGGGTAGACCGGCCAATCAGCAGGAACTTTGCTCACGTTGAGGGGCCACAGATTTGTCAACTGGCCGGTTTTGCACTTTTCTCGTGCAGGGCTTCGGCTTCATTGTTCCAAGTGGAACCAATCAGGCCGGATCGGGATATTTGGCTTCGCTGTGTTGCCTGTTTCAGGATTTTTGGTGATACTGAAGAGTCACGGGATTCGGGGCCAACTGCGTGAGTTCCAAAATTCAAGATCCCTTTTGACAGATACCCCCACAAATGTGACTGACAATCATCCGCAATGAGTTGTACAGCGGTCACAAGCTACTATGGTTGAAGCAGCAATGAATAGGCCGTGGTCGGATAATTTATCCATTCTAATGCTGACGTTGGACTGTGAGGGTTCCTTGCTGAGAAACATGACTGTTTTGGCATTGAAGGTGAGGCTCAACTTGTGAGCCCGGAGATGGACAAAAGCCCACTTGTTGCTCAACAGGCAATCACGCGCTTCAAAGGCGTGGTGCTTGCAGGAGTTGTTTGGCAGCGGCCAGGACCTCTTCGTGCTCCGAACCGATGTCATTGGTGGATCACTCCAGGCGGGTGACAAGGCAGGTCCGCAATGCTGACGCACCGGGCAGGGGAATGCTGCGTGGCTCAAGTGCTCCCATTGCACAGGTTGTCCAAGTTGTTCCTGTATGATGTCGAAGACTCCTGAAGCTGATTGTATTTTGGTGGCAGGCATGGATCAGTCTTATATCTTGATAGGATGCACAAGCACAATTTGCCACTACATGCGGAATTTGGAAAATTGCTTCTGTAAATGATGAATCTCAGATAAGGTTGAAGTTGTCCCCAGATGTCTGGGTCAAACCAGTGGTGCCCGTTTCAAGGAACTTGTTGTCTCGCGACCATAGGTAACAAGCAAAACAGCTGCCTTCAACAGACCCCCCTTTTGATAAAAGGGCTATTGTATTGGCACTGCAGCGGAAGGCGAGCCCCAGCGAGATGCATGTAAGCCCTTTGAGATGTCCTTGATTCGACCATCATTTTGAGGTAAAACACCAAACCCACGTTGGGGCGCCAGCTTTCCATTGCTTGACCGGAATGCAGGTGGCTTTCGATGAGGGGCTGAACGAGCGCACAGGGAAGCCTAAGGCGATCCACGTCACTGGCGGAACTGGGCCTCAAGGCGCGCGGCGCTCGATTTACGGGAGTTGGATTTCCAAACTCATCAAGGCCAGTCACGCCTTTTGGTACCCTCAGTCCAGCATTTTGACATATTTTGACCCAATCCCTTTTGGGCCTAGGAAGAGACTTTGTGCCCAAGATCCACCACTTGCTTTTGTTTACCTTATGGATCCGCCTTGGCAGGGAAGTGTAACCTGAACGTAGCAACATGTTGAGGTCACTCGAGGTGTCCAAAGGCCATGCGGAGGAAGAGTTGTTGGAGCCGCTGGATGATTTGCAGTTCTTTTGCACTCAACAGTGTTCATCCGGTGAAATGAGGCACACAGCTTCAATTGGTATCATGTTGACTTCAGATTTGAGGATGTGTGTGTTGCCAATGTTGCACTGCGCAGCAGTGTTCTTGCAGTTGTGAATGTTTGTGCGTGTGTGCTCACTTCTGGCTGTGCAAGGTGCTGCATGGGATGCATGAATCCTTTGCTTGGGTGACTGGCCGCAGGCAAAGGAGATGGCGAGGGCGAACGAGGCACCCTCCTGAGATAGAGCGGAGCGGAGTTTGTACCGCCTTGGGGTGACCTGAGCCACTTTTGGCAGCGCGACGCTGTGACAGTCTGGGCGCTCACAGGACCGCAGCAACTTCATTCTCTCAGAGTTGCTGATGGTTGGGATGCCGCTAAGGTGGTAAAGGAAAGGGCAAGAAGAGCGACAAGGGAAAGGGAGGCACGCCGGAGCCAGGGCAGGAGAATGAGAGCAAACATCGCCAGCAATGCTGAAAACACGACGTGCAATGTTTATGTCAAGCTCCACTGGGGACCCAGCATGAGTATCATGAGCATCAGAATGATGGTCGACTCTAAAGTTACAGCAAGACCCCAAGCAGCAGTTTCTGTTTTGTCTCCTAAAGGTTGCACCAGTCGCAGCAACTGTCAGCAGCAACGTTTCTGGCCAGGACGGTGACTCCGCGGCATTGCACACATTGAGCTGCTAAACGCAAAGGTGCTAAGAGTTCTCGTGGAACAGTCACGAGCCATTTCCACCTTCCAATGTATTTTTTAAGCTTGCTCTAAGGACTGATATGACATCAGTACAGTTTCTCTGTGTGTGTGTATGGTTGGCACATTGTGGAGAGACTGCAGGCATGGTTCAGCATCGACGTACAACATGATCAGCAAATGATCATGACACGCATGCCCCCAGAAGCTAAATGTGTGGTGAGACAACCAGAGTCTAAATCTGAATGCGGTGGCATCGAAACCAGTGCAAGGACATGCGTCTCTACTGGCAAGGAGCTGCGCTGGAACTCTATGCTAAGACCTTGAGAGAACAGAACCGGAGCGAATGATGAATGATACAGCACATAGGTGCACGTGTTGACTTTTTTGTCTCTACGTGCGACTCTTCCCAGAATCTCCGCGTTGGTGCCAGGCCCGAAGATGGCAGGCTGGGCATGCTGAAACGCTGGGCTGATCCTGCTCGTTCCATCCCTCCAGATCCGCTGTGAGCCAGGCCTCGCCGGACCGGTGGCTGGCATGCCCTGCCCCTGTGGGCCTTGTGGACCCTGTGGTCCTTGCGGGCCCTGCGGGTGCTTGGGAGGTGCCGGAAGGGGCTGGGATGGGCGGAAAAGAGTCTAAGTCGCTGTGGCAGCTCCAAGTGATGGTTTCTTTGTTTGCTTGTTTCTTTGGTTGTTTGTTTGAAAGGGAAAACGGATGAGTGCCGGTTGTTGTTCCCGTTCAAGCAACAATGTCTAGAGGTGGAATAATCTAGACACAGAAACAACGCAGACTGCAAGAGTACGGAAGCCTTCCGTTTTTGGAGACCGCCCGTGTGCTGTTCACAGGGACCAGCTGTCTTGATACCAAGCCGCTTGCGTAGGCCCAGCCTTAGGCCACGAAGTCAGCTGGCTCCGTTGTTGTCAACGATTGGATGGAGTGTTTATTTCTTTGCCGTGCCAATGAATGAAACGGCTTTGGCATGTCATCCTTTCTCCCTAATAATAACCGTCCCGCCTCTCCCCCTCCTCCCCCCCTTCCCCCCCCCCGACCCCTTTAATGTGCAGAAAAGTGGTCAAAATGCAATTCCCGAGTAAAACTTGTAAAGGGAAGGCACCTTAAACAAAACAAAGTGTTTAATGTATACGAAACCCTTCTCAAGGGAACGCAGTGGAGACTTAGTAATAGAACCCTTGTCACGCAAAGCAACCCTTTGGTGATTCCTAATAAGCACATCCGCAGAGTTTTGCTGACTGGATCTGGGTTCGGAACAGCTTTGTATTGGTGTTGTGTTGGGTAATGTAAGTATTGGCAATTTTTAGGGTTGGCTGGGACGGGGGTGGGATTATTAGGGGAAGGTTTATTAATAGAAAGAAAGGACTAGAATGATGCGGGGTTGCTTTGGAGGATTGCCATGGATTAGTTCTGCAGACTTGCATCCAGAGTAGAGGATGAGTTTCCATAGACTGGGACGTGAGCATCTCGCATCTTTGAGTAGTTCAAAAGTGAATGCATGTTCTGAAGAGAGACCCTGTTGTTCAGTGAGTTGTTCGCAAGCCTCCTTGGCCATAGCGCAATCTTCGTATTTCGTATTCCTCTTCTGGCACAAGTATGTGGTGCGGGCAGAAGCTTGTGATGCAAGAGGCCGATGGTGTTACACACAAAAACTCAGCAAGCAAGCGATTTGCGGCGAATTTGGATGATCTCTTGTGCTCGGGAATGCGCACACTTCACAGGTGTGACGCAAAACAGGGGTCCATCAGCTTCTTTATTTGGACCAGCAAAAGTGATCAACAGTGAGAGTTGAATTGGAACCTACCAGTAGCTCTAACCTACTGAAAGGGAAGCAAGTGACTGTCCAACATTGAGACGTTGAGAACTGCGTTAGTGGCAACGGATGGAAACTGCACGGCACTCATTAGCACAGAGCCAGTTCTGCAACCCTCTCAGGGCTAGTCAGTAGCGGACGAACATAGAACTTTACAGGGCCCTGTTCAGAGTGCCAGCCTTCCCCTTCTTTCACCTGGGATATCTTTAGCACCATGGTTGAGAGCCCCCTTGATTTGCTGTAGTCCACTGATGTTGTACATCGCAGAGCTTTACAGGCTCTTCGCTGTTTGTTCAAGGAACAAGGCGCAATCAGGCCGATAAGCTCATGCTATACCCACTGGCAATCTGCAAGGTGCAAGCCTGCCTGCCTATCACCGGCCCGTGTTGAGTATGGGAAAGAATCACTCGTGCCCGGTCAATCACACCGACTCAAGCCTTTTGCTCAGGTGGCGGCTGCGGCTTGACAGGCCAACGGGACACCCCGAAGCCCTAACGTGCTTCTGTTGCGCGGGCTTCTATATTTATTTGTGGTGAAGGTGGGCGACATTTAATCAACATATTTAAGATGCATGTGTATACATACATATATGAGTCAACCTCAGAATTATCAAAGACCACTTTATCAACGGCGTTTCATTCAATACTGGTTTTTTGCATTTTCCTTGGAGAACGATAGGGGACTCACAAAAAACGATACCCCTGAACATGGTTTGTGCTGGACCTTCGAGCTGGAGCTGCCGAAGTCTAACTTGTGTACCGTGCCTGTACTGAAAGCTGCGACTTGCGACCTGGAGGTTGCTGCCAGCAAGCAAAAGCCGCTTAGACTGACACGTGACCGCCGCAAGCTGCGACCTTCGAGCTGGAGCTGCCGAAGTGTAACTTGTGCACTGCGCTTGTGGTGAAAGTTGCGACTTGCGACCTTGAGGTTGCTGCCAGCAAGCAAGCCGCCAAGACTGATATATGATTACCGCAAGGCAGAGAAGGCTATTGTGTGTTTGCTTGGCTCTAACAGCTTATGGAAAATTGTGAAAATTTTCGTCACGCGACACACGCCCAGAACGATACCCCGGTCGATACCCCGTCGATACCCCGAGCATTGGCCCGAGTTGCAAATGTGAGGCCTAGTGCATTTGCTTACGAGTTCGCGCGGCGCTATAGGGGTTTGCGTAGAAAGTTTGTTGGGCACGCGTGGTCACCGCGAAGAGGGTTCACCGGGCACTTTCCAAATTCGCGCGGAGTCGCAGCGAGGGCGCTTTGACACGCGCAATCCTCGCAGAGGGTTCATTGGGCACTTTAATGCACTTTACGAATTTGCACGGCGCCACAGCGAGAGCGCTTGGGCGCGCAGGATCACTGCAGAGGGTTCACCGGGCACTTTCCAAATTCGCACGGCGTCGCAGCGAGGGCGCTTTGACACGCGCAATCCTCGCAGAGGGTTCATTGGGCACTTTACGAATTTGCACGGCGCCACAGCGAGAGCGCTTGGGCGCGCAGGATCCCTGCAGAGGGTTCATCGGGCAGTTTTAAAATTCGCACGGCGTCACAGCGAGGGCGCTGTGGCACGCGCAATCCTCGCAGAGGGTTCATCGGGCGCTTTACAAATTCGCACGGCGCCACAGTGGGAGCGCTTCGAGGCGCGCGATCCCTGCAGAGGGTTCATCGGGCACAGCACGAACACGCGAAACGTGGAGAACGATAGGGGACTCACTAAAAGTAGAACGAATACACCCCACACAGCAAATATAGACGCTGGCTCATATATATATTATTATATTTACATATGCGTCGTTAGATTACGGCAGTCGTGGTTTGTTTGTATGACTACAGTCAATAATTGTCTTATCATGATGTCATGGTGGTTGCTTCTGTTTCGGAAGTGCATGATATTGATAGTACTGCTATCGCTTGATTAGTCAGTCCTACGTTTCGCTTTCAGTGGCCTTGATGTATTTGTGTTTGCTGAGGCTGAAAATTGTGTTGGCACCGAAACTGTTACCTGTTGAACTATTGACACCACTGCTGCTGTTCCCTTTCGGGGTGCCAGGTCCTTGTAGTGACACTAAACTGCGGCGCTAGCGGTGTGTTGCGACATGTCGTGGTCCTTTCCCTTGCCCATGGTTGCATGCGTTCTTTCTCCCGCCCTTGTCATGAATGTTGTTTCGATTTATGAAGGTTACACGGTAGTTAATTGCACGGATTTAAGGGCCTTGTTGAATCCAAGTTTTGAACAATCACAGAAGAGGCCCTGTGCACTTTGCAGCAATAGTGAGTGAGATATATAAGTCACTTTTCCTCACTTTCTCCAACTCTTCGCTTAGTCTCAATTTCAATATAAACACGGCACAAACGCACTCCCTTGCGTGTGTCGTGCCCACATGATTATTCAGTACTTGAATTGAGCTTGTTTTACGCAAAAAAAAACCTGCAGCTTGATAACAGTCAACCTTTGACTTACACTTTTGGTCCAAAGCAATACGTTGCCTACCTCATTTCGAGCAAATCCATCCCAAGCCCAAGTTTAGTTCAACGAATGCGCGCGCGGCAGGTAAGCCAATGGCCATGGCCGAAGGCCTAGGAGGCGCCAAGACCGGCGTGGTGAAGCGCCTTGGCGTCTGTTTCCTGCGAGTTTCAGCAGCGACTTGAGAGCCGAGCCGCTGAGATGTCCTCAGGTGGAAAGATGCCCTTGGAAAGTTGGCTGATAGGGCGGCCAGCATCGGAAGGCACTTGCGCAACAAACAGCTGTATATTGAAGCCAAGACATTGAACATTCGCTTGTTTGTCCATGAAAAAGACAGGTACAGTAGGGACTACCGACACATCACAGGACATATGACCCAAATGGGACCAGTGGGGATGTGCATCAACTGCCTGGCACAATCAGTCTCGGCCGGGCCTGGCTAAATCGTGATCCAGCCACCTCCCGTGGGCTGGGTTGGACAGCACCGCATTTAGGAAAAGCCACAGCTGGGCAGCTCAACCAATGCCGCCATTCCACAAACAACACGTGAGAAGCTGGGGGTCATTACGCATACTTCCGGCTGGAGGGCTGGGGTTCGACTCACACGAGTCATCCAATGGCCAAAGGTTTTTCAACGACGAGAAGGGCTTCGGTTTCATCAAGCAGGACGATGGCGGCACCGACCTTTTCGTGCATCGCAGCCTGCCGGAAACCATGGCCATGGCACTGCACAGAGAGAATAAGTACACCCACCCCACTCCACCCCAGCCCACCCCACCCCACCCACACCAAACACCACACCGCACCGCACCGCACCGCATCACACCACACCACACCACACCCAACCAATCCAACCCAACCAATCCAACCCAACCAATCCAACCCAACTAAACCCACTTTTGGCTTCAGGCAACGACGTGGTGGACCAACTCCTCAAGGAGGGGGACCGTGTGCAGTACTCCGAGGCCGTGGACAGCCGCACCGGCCGCATGAAGGCGCAGCAGGTGGCAGGCGGCACTGGCGGCGCCAAGCCCCCAGAGAAGGGCAAAGGCGGGGAATGGGCAGGAATCATATTGGGACAAATGGGCGACAAATGGATAGAAGGTGTGGACACGCACCAGCTGGGGATTTATGGTCTACCATGTTTAAAGGTGTTCCCGAATCGTTCACACGCATTGTCAAATGGCTGGTCTTAGTTCATGCAAATGCAATGCCAAATGGTTAGTCTTCATGTCAACCCAGGATTCATACACCCCCAGTTGAGGGGGTTCCATTTGGAGAATTCTTCACTTTTGGGGGGAACAGAGATGCCCTCCTGCATGCTTGCCAAGCCGGGGTTAGGGATACTGAAATTGAGAACGGCAGAAGCATATCCGCGCTTCGCCTTGAAGGCCCATGAAGCAAAAGTGTTTGTTTGTTTGTTTGTTTGTTTGTTTGTTTGTTTGTTTGTTTGTTTGTTTGTTTGTTTGCGCTTGTTTGCGTTTGTTTGCGCTTGTTTGCGCTTGTTTGCGTTTGTTTGCGCTTGTTTGCGCTTCTTTGCGTTTCTTTGCGTTTCTTTGCGTTTCTTTGCTTGCTTGCTTGCTTGCTTGCTTGCTTGCGTTGCTTTATTTTTGGGTGGGGGGGAGAGGGCTCAGTCTTGCTTGTTTCCTTGCTTGTTTGGGCCAGACAAGCTGCCTCGCCCTGGCGTAAGTGGGCCGTGTTTCCACGACTAAAAACCAAGGGATGTTCGGCAATGTAAGAACATGTAACATGGGCAAGACATGGCACGATTCAAAGCCTGGAGCTTGGTTCAAGAGAGAAGGTGTTTTGTTGGTCCCATTGACATACAAGTGTAGTACTTGCCGTGAGGACTTGGATTTTGATACTAGTTCTTCAACATGCCTTACGTTCAGTGCAGCACAGGGACATCATATGGAGGAATCTTCAACCTGTGAGTGAGTAGGATTGAAACATGCTAGTCAATAAGCCTCTATGTCTAAAGCGTTGCCCCTATGGCTTTGATATTTGCGGTGGTGCTTTCCTTTCAAGTGCTCTTACTTTCCACTTGGTGCATTTGGGTCGCATGGTTGTGATGAAAATGACCTCCACTAATTCGAACACCTTCGGATTGAATGAAAAGGATGGGTTGTTGTTTTTTCATCTGCATTCGGCATGCTTGCAACCGGTGTCATGTTCCTTGGAGCCGATTACAAGGGACTGGTGTCCCTTTGCCTCCTTCGCCCATGTGCGCCCTATGGAGGCAAAGGCAAGAAGGGCAAGAAGCCGCAGCAAGATTCGCCGTCCCCAGCAATCAACTTGGACGTTCAGATCGGCCAGAAGCCCTTCCCCAGCGGTCCTGGCATCCTCATGGGCGACTTGGGCGAACGGACTGCAAAAGATGGGAATGGTGGCCGTTTCGCTTTGTGAGATGTGGTTGGATGAGGGGTCGTTTGGGGGACACAGGATGTCATGATAGGATTTGACCACTTGTTGGTGGAAAATTCAGAGAAGCCGCGTTGTCGCTGTTGAGCTTGAGTTGGGTGATTGCATCGACTTTGCTGTCCCTGCATTTGCAATGAGCTGGGTACACCACTAGGACGAATATGGTACACATGTTTATCATTTAAAGAAGCCACTGACCCCGATTTTGACAAGGCAACGTATGCTGTTCCCAGGGTTCTTAAGGGTCTCGGTTCCATTGCCGTGGACCTAAGCTGATCCGGAGAAAAGGTTGTGCTCTTTGACCATCCACAAGTCAAACCGAGGTCGGGATGGTTTTGAACCTGCCAAGAAACATTGCGACATAAACGCTCGTGACATGTACATATGGCAAAACGGGGGGGGGATGGGTGTGCCGGTATGCCTAGGCAAGACAGGCTTCCCCGGCTGCGGTGCGACCGGCTGCGAGGCGGGGGGGGGGGGTTTCCTTCACTGTCAATGTTGCCCGACTTGTCACCCCCGAAGTATCAATAACATTCAATAAGGGGGCGAAAAGGGAATCCCAACATGAACCTTGGAACTCTGACAAACAACAACGGGGCGTCATGAATCATGGGGTACTAGCAAAGTAGACCAAGGTGCTCTTCAGTGAAGATTGCGGTGTACAGGCCTTGTTTGTGTTTCTTGCCGCTAGTGTCGACGGAGCCACTACAAGGTACATGACTGTATAAAGCCATGGCAGGTCATTGGTACTGGCATGATGCATTGTCCTCATATGTCCTCATGATCATAGTATGACGACATGTTAGGTCCAGTGTTCAGTGAAGCCTGCTTTGCTCCACAACAATTTGTGTGTGTGTGACAGGCCTTCCCTTACTGCTTTCAGCACATGGGACTCCTTCAAAATGTAGCAAATATAAATAGACTTGTTTGTAATGTCAAGCATTTCGGAGAAGAAAGGAATGTTGAATGGCTTGCATATGGAAATTCTGAGCTGGACGTAGTATTGCCTTGAGATCTTACTATTAGAAACGAAACGAAAGCTGAGTCTATAATATTTTTAAGATAGAACATGGAGAGACTCAGCCTTTAACCTCAAATGCAAGCGAATCCATGATGTAGTCAAGATACCAACAGAAAACATAGATGATTTGAGCTATATAGTTCCCAGGCCGCTATGCCACCTCCATCCGCTGGCTTCGTTGACCGGTGTAATGCTTGGGTTGGAGGGATGGAGAAGCGTGCAAAGCAACGGACTTGGCAAATAATTAATGTGAATCAATATGATTGCTTTCCTCCGTCCACCTTAAGCTGGTTAGCTGGATTTGAAATAACTGGTGAGCACACAGAAGTGATTCTTTATGAGATACGGCTTATAATCATATCGTATCCTGTTCTGCATACTCTTCCATCCTGGATTTCTCAGTTTAGAGATGATTAGAGATTGAAAGTGGAAACATACAGGATCTTATCATTACAACTCCAAAAGAGAAAGAAAACAGGAGAAAACAATGAATACCATAGGTAGATCAAATACATGTAACAAGCTGATTTAAAGGAAAGAAAAGACATTATCAAGCGTGTCACCAAGTAACATTGCGGGAATGCGACATTATTTTGTCTGGAAAGCAACAAACAGAGAAGACAACATAATGTCCATCAAGTGAACATAATACGATGTTTGATGACCGTTCGTTATTAAGACCATTTCATTACACAAAAGAAGCATATGAGCAAAAACCAATTCACAGCTTCTCCTGGCCACATCCCTGAAGTTGGAGAAGATGATAAGCGACAGATGTCCAAAAGAATATACAAAAGAAGAGCTTCAGAAACTAACACACTTCCAGAAACAAGAAACACTTATTACTAATACTTCATATGTTTTAGTTGATTGTCTTACTGAAAAGTCTAGATTTAACACTATGAACACTACAATATGAACTAGTATAATCACATAATTCTATGAGAAGTGGATTCCAGTCCAACCATAAATATTTATCTTTACAGGATAGCCTGCCAGAGCCATTAATTTGAACGGTTGGACACCCTCAATGCTTGAACATAGATACAACTCTTCATGGAAGTGATGACCTAGAGGGTTTCCAACTAGCATTGCTCCACTTCGAGAGCTTGGACAGGGCAGTGACTCCGGTTGCGGCTGCGGGGGTCTTTGCGGCTGCTGCCCTGGCTGCGGCTGCGGTTGTGGGTGCATGGGCCTTCAAGGCCAACACGTCGTCGCCCGCTTTCGACGTATTGAGCAAGGGCTGCCAATGGCCGCGCCTTTCATTGGTTTCATGCTGGCCGACTCATTTGACGTCCCCAGGGAGAGGACACGCATTGCTGATCGTTGTTCATGCGTTCTTGCTTTGGCACCAGGATCAGATCCCCAGCTCCGAAGAACGGTCAGTATGTTCACCGCTTTTTGTGGGTATGAAAGGAATGCCATCAGGTGTTGCACAGATACACTTACCACATCACTTCCACACCCAAATCTCATGCAAAAGGACCATGTTGGGCGATGGTCGTGGCCATGCTCAGTGCCTTGCGGGTCAACCAGGCAACCAGCCAACCAACCAACCAAGCAAGCAAGCAAGCAAGCAAGCAAGCAAGCAAGCAAGCAAGCACCAACCAGCAAGCAACAAACCAGCCAACCAAACCAACCCAAGAAGCAAGCAACCCACCAACCAACCCACCAATCAACCCACCAATCAACCAACCAATCAACCAAACAAACCACCCAGCCAACCAAACAAGCAAGCAAGCAAAGACACACACACACAGCCACGCGTGCAGAGTAGATTCCGCCTCGTGGAGTTGAACTATAACATGACTGCTTCGGTGTTGGGATTTGAGTGCCTCAGAATTTGTGTTGCAGTGCAGAGCCCCACAGGCTGTGGTAACCTTCAGATGGGCGGCGGCTGCAACGCAGGTTGCGGGAACTGCGGCGGCAACTGTGGGTGCATGCCTGGCAATGTTCCTCAGCTGATTGTTTGGAAGAACCGCATACGACTGGCGAAACATACCTGTTGTAAATGCTGCCATCAAGAGTGTTTTTGGAGGCTGTTTGTGAAGGTACTGCTCACAATGCTTGTGCGACACAGTTCCTGCCAAGGATGTGGTTCTTGTAGTTTGTGACCGTTTGTGACGTTGATCGAGTGGATGCCGGCTCTGCGTGTGCTTTGCACACCGCGAGTTATCTAACAAGTGCCAGTACAACCGAAGGTGAGCCAAAGGTCTTGTGCTTTTGCGGGTGTTGGTGAGCTGTCAGGATGCCACATTGTGCCACCCTGAACCCCCGTTCACCCTCTGTCATGTTATGCCACCTTGTGCTACCTTGTGCTAGCTGGTTGTGCGACACTGACCATTGTCTGCATATGCGATCTGAATTGGGTTTGATTGCCACTCTGAGGCCAACAACTGTTTGGGTGGTGGCTGCGGATGCGGAGGCTGCGGTGGCTGCGGTGGTTGCTGCGGCTGCGGATGTGGCTGCGGCGGCTGCGGCTGCGGCGGCTGCGGATGCGGCGGCTGCGGTGGCTGCGGTGGCTGTGGCTGTGGTGGATGCGGTGGCAGCTTGGGTGAAGGCCAGGACGTCATTCACGGGGCTCATTGCTTTTCTTAGCCAGACAGCTGAGCCTCAAGCAATTGAAGCAGCGGCAAATAACCAGTGTTTTCCCCACACACACAATTTCATCAGTCGTGCTTTTGTTCTACCCATGGTGGTGATTCAATCTATCACGCCACCATCTCACAGCATGTCAGGTGGCAACTGCTTCAACGCCAACACCGGCTCGAATTTGAGTGCTCAGATGTACGAAAGGCAGGATCAGAGCCGACTGATCAGGTTTGATATTGTGCGGGCGCAATGGATGATACCTTTAGGTGGGCTCAGATATGTTTTATGTGAGCGCATGTTTTCAGCGCAATTGGGATGGTGCATCGCCCAGAGTACAACATCCTTTGCTATAACTGGCACTTGTTAGATGGCCTGAAGATCTTGTGGCAATCACGGCATGTGCCTATTAGGGTTCAGCTGGTCCTTTTGCAGCAGCCTTTGATCCCGCTTCCGTGTTGCTGGCAGTTTGCAACCCGCATCACTTGGCCCGGAGCAATTTGCAGAAGGATGGCAGAAGTCAAGTGCGCACACTGGCAGAAAGAGCAGCAACGCCGCTAGAGTAGCACCAATACTTTGCGAGCCCTTTTCCTCCTTGAGCGCAAGTTGGAGCATGGGCTGTGGAAATCAGTTATCGAGTGGATGACCTTCTTCGAAGGGCCATTGAAACCAGAATTTCCCTGACCTCCAGCAAAGTGTCGATCACCTGCGCCTTGGTCACAATCAACATGAATCAAGCTTTGATCTTTTTTGGTACCTAGAGCCTCTAGTGGACTGAGTGATTCTGACTCTTGGGGATAGTGTGCAGTGCGGTCCAGTGCGCCAGGATTGCTGCCAATGCATCGGCAGGTGGCCGAAGCTGCCAGGCTGCCATTGCAGGACATGTGCAGCATGGCATCAGCCGGCTGTTCTTTGACGCCATCGAGCTATGGCAACCGTGCCTGTTTGATCCAAATTTGGTTGCTTGTCACTGAAGTTCATCCGAGAGTCGTCCACCTGTCCCGAGGCTACGACGATTTCGGTGACTATGGAGGCCAAGGCAGGACTGGCTTCCCTGCGCCGGGTACGGAATGAACACTGAGCAATTCTTCTATGTCTTAAGGCTCAGATTTGAGTCGCCAGTCTAAGGCCTTGCGTGGTCTTGCAGAGACAGCGCTTCTGCAGTAACCAGACGCGAGTCACCCAATTCAATAGCTTACGTTACCTGTCACCTGTCCACAATCCTCATCAGTTGGCCAATCACAACTCAACAAGCCATCACACCACCAAGGGAGGCAGCTGTGCCTTCGCCGCCAGATCCCAGCAGAGAACAGCGATAGCTTCCTTTTAACAAGCAACTGTTCCTTGTAGGCCCAGTTATTGTTTTCAGGGCAGCATGATTGAGCGTACAATCAAGGACTGGCAAATTGCAGTGAAGCAAACTGCATAGTTGAGTCTTTTCCTCGCAGAACTTTGAATGTTTTGAGCGTTGGGCCGCCACAGGGAACACAAACCACGAAAGAAGTGACCGCTACCCATGGTGCTTCAGCCAAAATGGAGCGACTGCCCTGGGACTGATTTCAGCCTCCAAAGCAAGTGCCAAATCGATGGGGCAGCGATGGAGCCGATTTGCCTTTGCCAACTCCAGGCACACAAAACTTGGCCCGGGCGGCCTTCGCCAACCTCGCAGGCGTGGGCAAGTCTGAGGGCATGTGCCACCCAGTCCTCTAGTGGGACCCCCACCCTTTCCGATGTTTGGTGGCTTGGTCTGCCTTTCAGTCACATCAGCAAGAAAGTTGTTTCTGATGGCTAATTACCAAGTCTGGGATGAAAAGTCCTGCTATTTCCGGATTTGGGTCAACAAGGATGGGCTATCACTCCTTGAGTCTGCAAGCCGTTTGTGGCGAATCAAGGGGTCCCTGTGGGGAGTAATCACGACTGATATTGATTGTGGGCGCTGGTGACAATGGATGCATGTACAGAAAGCACTGAGGATGGGAATGATTGGTGTATGCATCTTAATCTATGTCAGTCCCTTCTCGAAGCCAGGTGCTGCCATGCATGGAGGATGCATTCGAGCCCATAATTGTTCAATGTACAAAATTGGCACAGGATGACACTTCGGGATGGATGGCATGTCCTGTAGGCAGGATTGTGCAAGGGAATGTCCAGATATATGTACATAAATGTTTTTCAGTATCGTAATATGAGGTTTGATCCATTGGGAACGGCATGGGGGGGGGCCTCTCCAAATTTGCACGAAGTCAGGAGCTCTCTATTTTGGCCATGTCCATAGAGGGTTCCGCAAGTTTTTGCCGTGGCCATCCAAGTGATGTTTGTTCAGCATGTCCAGTTGCCTATCGACAACTTGGAGGGGCACTTTTTTTGCAAAATCAAGGGGACTCAAGCAGCATATTTTGAGCGTGACCCATATGGGCTGCTTCGGTTCTACAGAGGGTTTCTGCAAAACACAGAAGGATGACCTTTGTGTTGGCTCGTGCCCGGGTTTTGCAAGCAGAAGGATGTGGATCAGCGATTCATCCATGGCCACCGGCAAGTTACACAAGGTTTCCATGGACTGAGGATCGCACAAATTGGGAGCTTCCCGCACCCAGTGATGTGGCTATTGAATCAATTTATGTGTTTGTCCACTAAGGTCAGGTGATGTGATAGAAGGGTGTTGTTTTTGCGGGGTGTTGCAGCTCTCCTCGTTTCAAGCATTTGTGATGGCTTTGTTACTGTTCAATTCAAGATTCTGGCAGAACCCGCGAAGGGGCATGTCTTTCAGCATGGAGTGGTATTGTGCCTGGTGACCGGAGCGAGGCACACTTGGTGCTGGCAACCAAGGACAAGGCACGGCAAAATCAAGGTAGGACCCTTCAACTTTCCTTTGTTGGACCTCCACAAGTGGCACTTTGACGAGAACCCAGTTAATTGCAATGCCGAGAGGGATTCTTTGAGGCCCTTGTTGACGGACCAGAAGATGCGATCGCACTGAGAGTTGTTTTCATGCTGTGGAAAGCAACAGCCGCATGTTATCATCACCGGCATACCAGATGTATGTTGGATATTCATGATGGGACTTTGGTGTCATTGCAGCTAAGGTTTGAGCGGTTTAAGACTGGCAAACTGACATGTCAATCACGATGCAAACATTTCGTTGTTAGAAACAGACTATGCTGCGCGCTATGTGGTGATGCGTTCTCGACACGTCTTGTCTCATGTCCACAAGGTATGTTGACCTTATGCCTTGCATCAATGCGAGTACAACTGATAGCAAGATCGCATTGGAACTCCCCGCGATGCACTGTTGGCACAAGCGACGCGGGTTGTATGAATCATGACCCTGGCTACAACCGGTTCACTGGATGTCCATACCAACCAGTTGCTTAGGTGGCATGGCTGGCTGCATGCCCAGCGATACCACAAGCCGTGGCCTGAAAGACAGTGGATGTCTCAACCTCTCAGCAGGCCTTTTGGGACAATTTCCTGGAGATACGTAAATCACTGTGCCTGGTTGTTTCTTGTCATTGGTTTGTTTGTAGTGAAATGATCGCTCACGCCGCATTCACGCTGCAAGCCATCCAGCGACGAATGTCCGCTGAAAAAGGCACTAGAAGAACGATGCCATTTGTGCAGTGCTTTCCCGAAAAATCCATACCTGGGTCAGCATTGGCATTCCAACTTCACAAAAAAGAAAATACTTGCGGAAGCATAGAGTCCATTTGAAGCATTCCGAAGCTGTGTTGTTTTTGTCGTTGGAAGCATTGCTGGTTGGCATGATGTTTGCTGGTATGTGTTGAATTGTGAGTGTTTATCAGGATATGTCAACTTCTTGTGGAGTAGGTGTGGCTGATGAAGGCAGTTTCGTTAAGCTCACTCAATGTTTTGTTCATATTTTGCTCAGCATGGATTTGTTGTGTTTGCACCTGTGATGTTGATGTTAGATCAACAAAGAGGTTAAGTTATGTCATCGTGTACCCCGATTTCCTGATTCTATGGAATTGTCCTTTCCTCACCTCCATTTGTTGCCGAGTGTCGTTTTGCATTGTTTTGCCAAAGACTCAGGCGGCTGCTTTGGCAACACTGGAGCCAACGCGGCTCTGACGCCTGCCATGTACGAGAGGCACAACTGCTTGGAGGGGAGGAGGACAAAACACAAAATTAAGAGGAGGAGGACACCATGAGAACGGAGGACACAACAGGAGTAACAACACCAGAAAAAAGTGGCAACCGACAATGCATATTGACAAAAAGAGGTGCTGCCTCATGTGTGACCGCTCAACGTAAATCCTGTTTGCAGCCATGCACAGACGCCCGCGGTTGCCGATTCCATGAAGCTGTTGAGCCTCAATTTTGAAAAAGGAATCATGCAACTAAGTTTTTGGAGTGTCCAAAACTTAGGAGTCCCTTGGGGATGGTGTTTCAAGCCAGAAGGCAACCAAGTTCTTGTGTTGTTTTGCTTACTGAAACAAGCGCACACCATTATTTGCAGAGGCTGAGGAGTCACGAGGCAGACTTTGAACTACCCTAGATGTCCTTTGGAATAAAAGAAAACTCGCTGAAACCAGCGGGATCCATCTATTTTCAATCACACTCACCTGCAAGCAAACCTATGACGACCTCATTGGAGAGAAATGGGAAAATCCGTTGTGGGGATTCGACGTCACCCCCAAGATGGCCAAGCATGTGAGACCTAATCTTGGACCTTTTTACACCTTTTTCCCCCCTCGCTAGGAGTGGAACCAGTCAGCTGGACCCTCTTTAAGTAAACTCCTGGGGGTCTGGGAGGGACAGTACTTACTTTAGTATTGCCAATTCTACTTTAGTGTTGCCAAGGCTGGCTCTCAGGATCCCAGTACTTACTTTAGTATTGCCAATTCGACTTTAGTATTGCCAAGGCTGACTCTCAGATTCCCAGTACTTGCTGTAGCATTTAGCATTGCCAATTCTACTTTGTCATTGCCAAGGCTGACTCTCAGCTTACCACTACCAACGTTAGTACTGCCAGCTCTACTTTAGTGTTGCCAAGGCTGGCTCTCAGCTTCCCAGTACTTACTTTCGTATTGCCAATTCTATTGAAGTATTGCCAAGGACCGTTGTTTTTCAGCAACCCCCAAACAGGTTAGACACTAAAGAGGACCCCAAAACAGTCACATAGAAGAGGATCAGGGCCCCTTGTGGGCACCTGTTTGCCCGTACTTTTTTGTAAAGATGTTATCTTAGATTTGATGGCTTGGGGGCTGGCAAAATGGACTTCCTAGATCCCAGGCCTGTACCCTTTGAGCGCTTGGTTAGGTGAACCCAAATTTAAAAGGCTAAGGCTTGAGTCTAATCATTTCAGCAACCCAAAAAGCCGTTGGACACTAAAGAGGACCCCAACCACAGTCACATTAAAGAGGCTCAGGGCCCCTTTTACAAACCCCGTTTGTGTGACTGTTTGCCCGCACCTTTTTTGTAGGGAAGCTATCTTAAATTTGATGGTTTGGGGACGACTTAAAAAGGGGACGACTTAAAAAATCCTAGTTGCCCGGATTTGTTTGCTAGTTTTGTTGCTCGATTTCTTTGCCAAGTTTGTTTGGCCATTTATTTATTTTTTCGGAGGCTTAGTCCCGGACAAGAGCAGGAGAGTAAACAACAAAATGTGCGTTTGTTTTTTGGGGAAACAATTTGCCGCAATTGAGGACAGCAAAACAGTCACAAGATTTGACACAAATGCTATAATAGAGGGTGATATTAACAAAGGTGGTGTAGCATTACTGTGAAGCTAAACCCTAAAACAATGGAGAAATTCCATGCATTCAACCGGACTTGGCCCTCTGTGGGAGAGCCGGCTGCACCAAGAGCTCAACTGCAACCCTAGAAGCCGACTTAGCTACATGGGCAGGTTGACCAATGCCACTGGTGGAGCAGGCGCAGGCGCGAGCTCCGGGGTTGCATGATGTGGGATTCGCACAGGTAGCAGGTATTGTTCCTGGAAGATCTTACTTTTGCAGTTCAACATGGACCCAATGGCCCTAGAGCCTTTTACCTATCTTTCACTTGAACTGTTTCCGCAGTGGCAGTCAGCAACGCCTGGCATGCGCGGGTTGAGTGTCAGGCAGCAACATGCTTGCCGCCTCAGGCACGGCCACGAGTGTACCGCAAGCGCTTCTTGTTTTGTGCATTTGTTTGCACCCCTTCCCAGACTGGGCTTGATAACTTACTGTAGCCAGAATGTATGGCAAGGCTTACCCTTTCCCAATGAATTTGCCCGCGTTCCCTGACAGACCGAATGGGATGGCTAGCCAGCGCTGAAGGTGCTGAATTTATCTAGAAATCGGAAGCACTGAAGACAGCACGTACTGGGGGCAAATGCAAACTTGCCCTGCCAGCCAATGCTCAGAGCACTAGCACATATACTATATGAACAACAGCGGACGGAAATGGTTGGCTGATAAATGCGAGCGTAAGATAGCACCGGCACAGACACAACCAGACACACGTGTTTGTCACCACAGGTTGATCTTGTTCGTGTTAGCTAAGCAAGTGTCCGACTTGTGCTAAGCGTGAAGCAGGTCAGATCTGTAGGGACGGGGCCGCGCCTGAGGGCAGAAGCATGTTGGATTCGGCAGCAACTGTCGAGGAAGAGCTTCGATCATGCTGGATCCGGTCCTGTTCAACTCCGAAACCAGTTTGTTATGACATACATGGCTGTGTCCACCATCACACGCTGACATAAACAAACGCATACAGGGTGAGTTCATGCTTCATCGCATAAATCGGACATGATCTTCAATCCATACCCATACCTAGTCACCTCCAAGCATTTACTGGTGCAAGTTACAAAGCTCTGGCAAACCGCTGCCACATGTTGGGCTAAGGTACTGTGGCTAGTTGCATGTCAATCTCCCTGGGGCGCTCTTTGCTCAGCTTCCCAACAGCAGAGATTTCCGCTGCTTTAGGCCCATCGACAACATATGTGTCGGCTATTGCAGCACGAATCATCAAAATTGGATCTGTCATGACTGTGGGTTGTGAGTGGTAGTTGGGAAGCCACTTCCATTGAGTCAGCACTTGCTTTGCACGCGGGGCTTAGAACATGTCTTCATGTTAGACCAGTTGAATGCTGCACCTCTGGATTCGAGCTGCTTCCATCCTAGGCATCATCGCCCCTCTCCAAATTGTGTGGTGCCTGGCATCTTGCTGCCTAGGTTAAGTGTACCGAAATGAAGGCTGTGGGAAGGCTCAACCTGCTTTCAGAAATGCCGGTGAGCGGAGTCATTCGCAAGGCAACTTCCAGGAATATGACGACTACGCCAGCCAAGGCGGGTACTCGAATCCAGACACATGGCCACGAGAGCACACAATTGACCTCGGTAGTGCCAAAGCTGATTCTTTTGCATCGGAGGAGGGAGGCGGGAAGGGGTTGGAGTTGCGTGTTGCACGAGCGGATAGCTTGCTGAACACGTTCTGCTAGAAGTTTACACACGTCGTTGCAACTTGACTAACTGAAACTAGCGATCTCAGAAGCATGCTGGGCATACGGGGGGTCAGAGTTGTGAGTTGCGCGAGTGGGTTGCCCTGGACATGTCAGCTGACAAAACCAAGCTGAAGCATTCTGGCATACACTCTTTAACATAGAATATGGCACGGGCTTGCAACATGGGCTTGCAACATTGCAGTTGCATACAATTGAATGCATGATGACAGCTGATGTTGATTATGGCGTCATCCAACGGTTTGGTTGTGACTACATCCAAATACCTGACAGATAGCCTATCATGGGCACCACAGGTCAAGAAGCTTGCCATGCACAGACACGCATGAGAGACAGCTGTCGCCCAGTCAGCCGGTCAGGATCGAACCTGGCACGCGCGGGCTGCTTGCCAAATTTCGCAGGTGCGAGCGAAATCAAGGAGGGAGGTCGTTCTCAGCTTGCAGCCCAAGAATCAGCCGCCGGCACAAAGCTTGAGGTTGGTTGAGGGTTTAAGCTGTGTTGCATGAGCTTGACCTTTGCCTTCGAGCAAGCTTTCGTCCACTTCTCAGTGGATGATGCTTTGTACTGCCAACCAAACATAAGTAGAATGGTGAGTCTCACTGACTCGTTTACCACACTAACTAGCGCGCTAGCAAGTTCACCACCCAACAACCAGCTAACTGTTTGTTTGTTGGAAATTCAGCGCAGATACTCTGAACAACTCAGCCATCGCGAGCGAACCCCGCAAAGGAAATCGCTTCTTGCAGCACAGAGTTCTGAGCCAAGTCTGATGCAAGATTGGAAGCAGAGCGCCTGAGAACCTCTTGGGTCCAGCCAAGTGTAGGCAAGAGCAAGGGGCGTAGAAAGTGACTGGGGAAAAAATACAGGCGCTCTACGAGTTGAAGCAGAATTACCGGCAGCCCGACCAATCTGCGTGAAAAGCCCACAGCCTTCAACGAAAGCAAGGCGCGCACGAGCCTCTTTACAGAGCCGAGGCCAAGCGGGCGACCGGTCATGTCCCCAGGCCACGGATTCAACGCTGGTCATGCGTGCTATCCTTCGCAACAGCCGCTGATAGGAAATAACATACGGCTTTGTACAACCCGTGTGCCAACTACTTAGCTAGCACAATTGCTACTTGGCTAGTCAACTAACTAGCACGTATGTTGGTCGCATGCTTCTGAACGTGTTCTTTCTCCGCGCCGGTCTCTGGACTTTGTCCTTGGCCATGCGATGGCTCGCTCAAGGCATCAATTGCTGGTAGTCGCTCAAAGACTGGCGCGTGATCCCAGTGGCTTTGGCGCAGACACGTCGGCAAGACGCGACAGCAGTCCTCGGGGAGCTCAAAAGCTTTTGTGAGAGTAAAGACACTGTCGCAGCTTCCAGTAGTTCGGGGTACCGCCGGAAAGACTTAACAAGCGGATTGAACAAGTAGTTTGGGTTTAAAGATGTACTTCGCTTAGAAGAAAATATTCTTTCGCTACACCCTGGAAATTCAAGTTCAAAGTGAGAAGAGCTGTGCTTGACACAGAACCAGCGGAATTGCGAGCTTCAAGTTGAGGGCCGAATGAAACACCACGGCCAGTAACTGGCTTTCTCATGATATTGTTCATATGCAGTCATTCCTAAAAATGAGCGAACTAGGTATATCTAAGTTCAGTAGCAAAGTAGCCAGTTGGAAAGGAACGCGTCGTTGCAGCGACCCCCATGTGGCAGGGAGCATGCCAAGTATAGTTGCTCGCAGGTCTGACTTGTTGCTCATCCTTGTGTGCCAGCTTCACTGGAGTTTGCGCGTGAGTGTAATGTTTGCGCTATCTATTGAACCTGATTTATCAGTTTGGCTGCTGCATGAATGAACTACTGTTTGGATTGATCCGGTCAGTGATGGCCCCGGGTGTTGGTCTTGCAGATGCGCATGTGGAAGACAAAACAGCAAATGACACAGGTTTGGTACTCGTGAGGCACTCTCAAGGGATTCGAGCCGTCCGCGCGTATTTGGCTAGCCCCATGAATCAGGTGAATCCAGGCTTTCCTTTGTTTTGGGTATGAAAGTCCCTCAAACAGTGCTTTTTGGAGACTGCCAGTTTCAATTTATGATTCTTGGTGTTGGGTTTGGCATTAGGTCGTTGAGGCAAGTTTAAAAAATGTATTGTTTCCAAATTGGTTTTGTTGATCCCACTGTTGCACTCTGCAAGTGTGATTCCTTGATTTGTTTGATGCATCCTACGGAAGAATCAGGCGGAGATGCAGTGACATGATCAGAAGCCACGTTGAGCTTGAGCCAACCATTTGCAGCTCACTGCATCGTAGTTCCGATCTTTTTCTGATACTGGGCGTTGTTTTCCTCGCGCAGGCAACACCATGCTCTCAGCCTCACAGGGTGCAGGCGACGGGGTGGTAAGGGTTAGTCAAGAAGGGCCCTTGGGCTGTTGGGTTCTATTCCAACAAGTTCTATGAATTGGCGTCCTCAGGGAACGACTGGAGGGGCACCATGGCCACTGGGCAAATCAAATTCACCTTTTGCAGTCGGACCTCTTGCGACTCCCGGGCTTTCGGTTTATAGCTGGGATCCAACCAGGCGACGCTGAAAAGCCATTGCATGCGACCATATGAACGGGGCAGAGCAACATATGTTTGGCCGCATGACAGGTGGTAGGACCACCATCAGGTGCCCAAATGCAGAGAAGGTTAGTGCGGTGCCATGTAAGAAGCCGCAAGCAGAAAACGGATCAATAACTTGAAGGTTGTGCACCAGACCCATGGCAAAGTCAGACAGTGTCTCATAGCCGACAATGCGGCTTTTGATAGCTTCGAAGTTCCTGAATGGACTGCTTTCGAGCAGAGGCCTTCTGTAGCTCTGTTTTTTGCGTGGCATGAATCGCAATTCCCGCTTTCGACAGCCTCACTGGGAGCTGCTTCTTGCGTTTTGCAGGTGGAACCTCGCTTGGCGGTACCGGACAAGGCCAAGGCGAGACACATCCCCGAAGACCCCGGGGTAGCTGATGGGCAGAGTACCTTGCCGCGTTCTTGGTTGTGGTTGGTTGGCTCAGACAAACAAGCCTGCAAATTATTTGGAGCCAGCTATTCTTCACTAGAGGGTGGCGATTTGTCCACTCGTTGTTGTGCCCTCGCAAGTGGAACTGTGCGCGCCAGAATTGCCGGACAAAAATACAGCGATGAATTGGGCTATGCGTGGATTGGTACTATGTTCTCAGCTTGATTTCCAGTTGTTTGTCACGTGTGTCTACTCTGATTGTCCCTTTTGCCATCATGTTCTTTGAAGAGGTGCTCCTCATCCCACGTCACCGCTGCTATTGCTGAATGCCATGAAACTGGGGCGAATGAAGTCCGGCAAGATTGAATGACTGCGTGGCCTTCTTTGGAGTTGGCTCTGCTACTGATTTGATTGGGCAGTCAGGAGAAAGACAAATTAGTTCCTCTCACGCAGCATCGTTGCATTGTCTTCCAAAGGACTAATTCATCAGAGACGGCCAGGGATTGCAAGCCAAGCCGAGCTATTGATCGATTGATCAGGCCGAGCTGTTTGGATTTCTCGTGCTTGCCAAGTCCCAAGTCACATTCTAAGACCTATGGCCTATAACATAAATACATACCGCAAACCTGCCGCACTTTGAGCTTCATTGTCGTCCACTGGTTGCTTCTTCTGTTTGGTGCCCTTCCCTTGCCAGGCGTCGGCGTGGGCAACATGAGTCAGGTTACCATGAGCCAGATGCAGGTGGGGAGACTTGGGTCAGCCAATCAGACTTTGAATGGATAGCCTTGCCACTTCTCTTCCGGCGTCTTGAAGCATGTCGAAGGATGCTCTGAGCTTGCCCAGAGAAACTGCGTTTCAGCTGCTTAGTTAATGCTCTCCCCAGAAGACATGGCCGTGCCACCAGCAGCAAGGCCGTTTGGAACCTGATTCAAGCATGTCGGGAAGCAGCTTTGTCGGCCGGCAAACCTTCACAGCTAGGCGATGATGGCGGCGAACCCCAATGTTTATCAACAGATGAATCCAGGCAGCTTGGCATTTGCAGCAAGTGTTTTTTTATGTGCACTGCGGCACGGAGGACACTGATGGAAAGGTCGCAACAACCAAGGGCCGACTGCTCAGGGTCAGTTGCGTTGTGTTCACTAGCCGATGTCTGAAAGATTGGGCGAAAAGTCAGCATCATCAGCAGCATCACAGCGCTTGGTGACTCATGTGTAAATATTGGTACTTACCTAGTTCCCATGACGTCAGTTCCAGGCACTCTGAGTACAGCCTGTTTTGGTGTGGCCTCCTGTTGCTCAGAGTCGATTTGGGGTTCGTCTAGCAGAATTCAGAGTTGGCTGGGGTTCGGATTGGCTTGCCTACCCTTGGTTTGGGTTTGAATTTGGGTGCAGCAAACTTGGTGACCCCACCATTCTGGTCCATGCACAATCTCAATGCACAATACACTGGAAGCGCAAGTGGACATATCTCTTTGTATATATACATATATAATATAGATATTATCTCTTTACATATGGCATCTATGCATCAAGTCCGTCTGCTAGAACGTATGCCAACGTGCGTCAAGCATGTTCGGCACAGTGTGCCCTGTGATTATTTTGTGCGGGGCGGGCCTTGCTTTGTTTGCAAAGCTTCTTGCAAAGCCACCTGCCACAGCAATCTGACTTTCTCCAAATCGCAAGCTTCACAGATTCCTTGCACCTCATACCCATGCTGTGAATACTTTATCTCACAATATGAACTTCAAAGCGCTGGCCCTAACAAGGGTTGGCCAATGCCAGCCCAAGACGTGGATACTTGGTAGAGGCAGAGTCGCTGGAGATGCAGAATCCACGTTTTGCAAACTTCCAGTGAATCGCGCGACCGGAAACCCATTGACTGAGGCAACGTGTCACAAGGGGGCAGCCTTTGAGTTCGGAATGAGCGAGGCTTCCGGTGGTCGGTGGCAAATTGAATGGCATGTGTCAGAATGAGGGCCCGCTTCGGTAGGGATTAAGGAGCGCTGCAGCAGTCCTATTGTGGGAGGGTTAACTGAGGCACAATCTGTCACGCTCACATGTAAAATGTGATGCACACCTGGGATCTTGAAGGGCAGGATGATCCTCATATCACTGCGGGAAGAGTGTTGCAGATTGGTTGGCGTTTGGTCGCTATCATTCATTGATTGAACCGGCAGAAGCCGGCGCCCGCTATAATTGGTCAATGCTGACATTGGCGGCATGAGTACGTCTTTCTCAACAGACACTATGTGTTTACAAGCATCGTTTTAGTCGATGCACGATTGAGCAAGAGCCTGACTGAGCAACCAGTGACATGGGTTGCGACGAACTTTGTAGCCCCACCATGGCTTGGCCTTTCACTCCTCCTTTGCTTAGAGCGGGCACACAAAGACACCTACTTTCCAGACCAATTAGCTGCATGTCTTTGTCTTCTTCTATCGTGCCTCGACGTGGCAAACATTGACGAGATAGCAAGCAAGACAATCTTAGGTAAAAGTACATCCCACCGACCGGAAGCCTGTAAGTGAGATGGAGCATTCTTGACCGTACGTACACGCATGTTCGCCTGCCAGCACACATGTGTAATATTCATCCAGTTCACCGGAATACATTAGTCTACTGGTTGGCTGCGCGTGCGAAAGGTCTCACAATTCATCTCAGATTTTGAAGAGACAATCGAGACAGGCGGCTTGGGATTGGGTTTCGAAAGTGAGTCATCTCCATGGACGTGGAGTATCTTCGATTTGGGCCGGCTTCATCCGGCTGGGAGCTCTCACAAGTTTTCAGGGGGGAAGCTCGTCAAGGCACACTGCTAGATGGTTCAGATGTTTGGAAGTGCGCGGATTTGCTGGTGTGCCTCTGGCAATATTAGCCCTCGAAGACTCAGTGTTTGCCTATCGGCATTGGCTGCCTGTGCATGGCAGAGGCATCTTCGAAGACATCCAGCTGGCCGCGAGTGCCATAACCATTGGGGACCCCTGGCTAGCAAGCGGCAGTATGAAAATTCATTTGACGGGCTTTGCTGAAGCTGTTACTTTTCGGGGTGAGCACAAGTTTTGAAGTCGGAGGCACAATACTGAGATGCTGTGGACAAATCTTACTGTGGTTGTAACAGCAACTTGGTCAGAGGACGTGACGTTAGAAACAGCCCATGGCTTGATGACTGAACTGACTTTGCTAGCTGGTACTGGTTTCAAGCGCGCGGCTGGCTGGATGTAAATTTTGCGGAAGCAATGGCTGTCCAAGGAAGCAGCGGCATGGGGTCACAGTGATGGCTTTTGGCTGGGATTGCCGAAATGAATCGCATGGATCTCAGTAAGGCAAGCTTTGCCAACCCACCACTGGACATTAGGCTTTGCTCTCCAAAAGAAGTGCCATTTCAGAAAGGGATCTAGCTCGTAATTTGTGCAGGCAGTAGATGTTGAATGGACTGAGTCGAGGAGCAATTGCTGAGTAAGTAGCTAGGCGCGCCAGGAAATGATTGCCCCATTCACAGATTCCCACCACGAATGCAGCATTCCTAGCAGACTTTGGTCACAGCGTTCACAACATGTTGGTTTCATTTGGGACTCCTGCTGTAGGCCTTCTCTGAGATCCCATGACACATCATGACCAACATTTCAGAAAAAACAAGCAGTACATAGCCAGCGAAAGAAGAAAGGTCCAGTCAAAGCTTGTGGCCCGCCTGTTTGAAGAAAATGCTCATGTGCAGCTAGTCGTTAGCCCTGGTTTTTGTTTTGGTGTTCAGTACACGGGCCTCAGGCAAGATTATTTCGAGGTTGGGAAGGCACTTACAGTGCCCATCCTCTCACGTTTGTAAGACTCCAAACACACACATCCCGTCGTGCGGTTGGCCTCAAACCTCTGGAAAGGGGTTGAGAGGCATAGGTTTTCCGAACGACAGGACAAGCTCATGCTTTGGGAGAGGCAATCTCTTCAATCGTTTTGTGCCCGACCAGTGGTGCGTCTTACACGCTCTTTGTGCTTTGGCGGGCAAAAACACTCAAGAGGCTGAGCCTTCATTTCCTCCAGCGCAAGCTGGAAGGATTACTGGAAATTGGACTCTGTTCTTATGCAGTCCAGTCACTGAGTTTTGAGGGTCGCTCAACTTTGCGGCCCAGTCTTGCCATGGCAGGGCTCCTGGCAGCATGAGGGCGCTTTCGAGCGCGGCCTGCTGGATTGGGCTCCTGCCAGGGCGAAACACGGCGGTCCGTGTACGGACCAACTCGTTAGCAATACCTGGCCCCGAGGAGTCGATGTGCTCAGCGAGCGCATGTTGCGTTTCCCCTAGTCCATTCAGTCTCCGTTGAGATTCGCTTCTTGAGCTACCGGTCTTTTTTCTTGTTTCTTTTTTTTGCTTGCTCAGTCGTGCGCACCTCCTCCCTCAGTCCTGAAAGGGTCCAACCTGCAGGAGTTCAGCTGGTAGCTCCATTTCGGTGCGGTGTTCCATGCGGCAAGCCAGCCATTTATTTCCTAATGTGCCATTTCCACTGCAACAAGTCATGCCTCCGTGAGGGGACCCTGCGGACAGAGGCCAGACCTTCTGATAGTCGTCTTCCGCACACAACATCTGGCTTCGATCTGCTGCTTCCGATCAGCTTCCGTGATTGCTTCCCCCTCGTCTTTGGAAGGTGCCTTTGAGAATAAGTGCTAGCTGCGTGCCCCTTTGTTCCTGTTTTCTGTTGCTCTCAGCCTGTAAAAGTGAAGACACGCAAGAGATTCCAAATTCCTGTGTGGTTCTGGGCGCAGCCTGTGGATTTGCCATGCACGGGTGGTTGGCTCTGGGATACGGTGCACGGAGATGACAAAATAAGTTTACAGTCTCCGTGTGACGTATCCCAGGGCCTTTGCAGACCTCCAATATCCGCATGATCCATGGCAAGCTGCTTCATTCAGCCTGGAAATGCCAGTCTTGTTTGCCCCGAGCCTTTTCAGTTAGATGTTCTAATATGCAATGTGGGTCTCGATGCGTGGCTTGCCTGGAGTGCTTTCTGAGATTGCTGCATGCACCTGGTCTTGCAGTTCAGTAGTCTAAGTCTCATGGCGTCTGAGTGGCAACGGTTCGTACGGCAAAAGAGTTGAGCGCTCAGCTGAAACTGAAACTGGTTCCTGGGACGGGGGCAAGCCTCATTATCTTGGTACGATAGACACTCGGCTCAAATGTGCCAACATTGCATTCAAGACTCAAGGGCTGAAGCAAGCGAGCATTGAGACTGAAGTGATTTGGCCTGTGGTTTGGTGCCATTGCCAGTAGATTCTATTCCATTGAATCAAAGCGTCCGGCCTCCCTGCGCAGCCTATGCGGCGCAATGATCAATGACCCAGTGCTCTTCTCTGCAAAGTTTCCGCCACCGGTCACTTTGCAACTTCGATCTCCGCGATTGACGCGACGCTTGGTTTGAGATTAGCATGAAGCCTGAAATCTTGTTCAGTAGCATGGACTTCATTTCAAAACCATCAGTTATGTTGCCTCAAAAGGTGTCATTTCTCGTGAAGTTGTTTATGTCATCGCTTGGGTGCACCCCCAAGCACAGGAGGCTCTTGTGGGCACCGATGGCTACAACTTTCGCAGGCCGGATACGCCTACCTTTCTAATTCCCTGCGAAAAGCATGCAGGCGCATGCGTGAGCTGGCCGCTAACTTATTATGTCACTGACGTTTGGCTTGTTCCAAGTCTTCAATAGCAGGCCCTCTTGTTGATGGTTGGTTTGCCAAGTAGGTTGCCCCCCTTCAAAGCCATCCATTCCAGATGCCCCCCCGCCAACAAAAAAAAGCCTTGAAGCCAAGGACAGCCACAGCGGCAACTCTGGAACGCTGCGGCTCCATTGGCATTTGCGGCAGCTGTGTGCCTCGGATAGTTTGCGACTGCAGAATACCGACTGGTGGATCGCTGCTGACAGCCACCTACACCTGCAATTTGACAGCTTTAACAGCCGAGGTGGTGCAGAACGCTGCCATGCCATATCTGTATATGCGTCTATATTAATACATGATGAAAGATGGATCTTGCCGTTGCGTAGAGCCTTATTGATATGTCCTGAATTCCGAAGTTCATCAATGCAACAAGCCACTGGTAGTTCTCTACATACAATTTGCGCACTTGCTTTCCCGTGTTTTGCCTCTCTTGACAGCAACTCAGGAGCGCGCGGCCATCCGTGCGACGCCTGACTTCTCGCGTGGCAATGTTCTGGCAGCGGCCGTTGGCGGGCAAGGAACTTCCTGAGCCATTACGTGCCACGGATGGTGCTCGTGCAGCAAAGTACATTGCCGGGGTCAAGCAGTTGGCCCTTGTTGGATCATTCGTGATCTTGGCTGATCATGGGAATTTGATATTGACCAGCGCCCATCAAACTCAAAGGGTCACACTGACATGTCCGCTGATTTTTGTACCTGTTCGACGTTCAAAGCCTGAATGCTGCCAAGCAATTCACAAATCATGGATATATGTATATATATATATACACTAGTTCATGCTCTTTGCAACGGCAGTTCTGAAGTGGCTAACACGCTGCTTGGGTTGGTTGTGTGTGGGATTGCTGTGGCTGTGTTGGTGACCCCAGTACTACACTGGTCGGACGATTCCAAGCTTACCGAACCTTTTCTTGTTGTATGGAGCACTTGCCAATACGGGCGGACGAGAGAGCGATGCGTTGTTTCAGCCAGCTATTGCTCCAAGGCCTCGTAGCTGCAGCTCCGCCGGAGGATGTCTTCACCCAGGACACGGTCACCAAGCGCATGCCCAAGATCCTGGACTCGGTGATGGCCAAGCTGCCCTCGAAGTTCCAAACCCCTGCAGCAGCGCTGGCCGCAAAGCACCCACTCGTAGGTGTGCAACCGTTGGTCATTGACGATGTGGCGTGCAGGTTTCTGATTCCAAGACAGGCACGAAGGGAAGGAGCTTTCCCCACAGTTGGATGCCACCTGGGTTTCGGATGCTTTATATCAATATAAATTTGGCCTGAGTAGCACGACAAGGCGCACACAGTCAGAAGCACCAGGCCCGTATTGCCCGTATTGGCTGCTCACAAAATGTGACAGATGACTGTACATGATTAACTTCTGCACACCGCAGAGTCCGGATATCAATTTCCATGACGGGACGCTTCACATTCCGAGGTAACTGAAGGTGTCAAGAAACTGCAGGAGGAGCAGGGAGTGTCTCAAGCCTTGAGAGGCACGGGGAATGATTCCCTGATTGTACTTTTCGGAACCAGGCCTGCTTTGCAATTGCCATGATTCGTGATAGAGTTGATTTCAGAGTGAATTCGATGTTAGTTCATCTCATGTTATTTTATGAAGGCAGTTGGCAGGGGGCCTGCATGAAATGTGAGGGAAGGGACGGGGAGGGGAGGGGAGGGGAGGGGGAGGGTGTGTTCCATAAGCATTGCCCAGCGCATCCTACGCTGGATGCATCAAACACAATGACAAACAACTACATCTGGGGTACCTCACGTTTTTGAACATAAGTTTTTTGTTTGGTGGTGGAGCAGATTTTACCCCCTCCAAACATGAATGGGAGGGCGCTTAGTTTGCCCTCGCTACTGTGTTGAGTCAGATGGGTCTGTCTTTTTTTGAGGACACCACTTTTGGAGTGGTTCTATAGGGAAACCAAAAGGAAAAACACCATCTTGGGGGTTCCCTAACAAAGCGACCCAGGTGGGGCTCCCTGTCCAGCTTGCCATGCGAACAGGGCACGTACTCTCCTACCACGTACCGCTGCAGCGTTTTCATGTTGCGCCTTTGTTTGTGCTGGCAGTATTCCCACCACCAAACACCTCTAACTCAAAAAAGAGGAGGGGGTGAGGTCAATGAAGAAAATCAGAGATCCAAGTCTATCAGTTTCACACAGTGACACTTTGATTGGCGAACTGCGTTGTGCGGTTAGCAGATGACTATATTTGGCAGCAGGATGTTTTCACAGCTCGATGATCTAACAAATAATGCCAAAAGCTTGTTTGATCGGCGTGCCACCTTGTTTGATCAGGGAGGGATGGCTGGGTTGTTCTTAGCAGTGCGAGTTGTAAATTGAACAGGTCCTCCCCGCCATGTTTTGCTAGAAATGAAATCCCCATTGCACCAGCTGTTTCCATCGTGCTCAGAACAATCACTTGGCGGGTGCCTAAGACAGAAGCTTCAGGTTGATGCCGAAGTACGGCCACGCAGTTTCTGTTGCCAAACAAGTCCAGAAGACTAGTGACTAGGTAGCTCCTTCAAGCAAATGAGCATTGCCTGTTATGAAATTTGCGCCCTCAAACTCGCAAAGGTTCAAAGACAAGACCCTTGCAACATGCATAGCAGGTGGATGTTTTGTCACCCAAGAACTGCAGATACCTCCGAAGCGTGCGTTTTCTACTTCGGCCCTTGGCCCAAGTCGGGGCGCTGCGACTCGCGAGGAGATGCGGGGAGGCGCGCAGCTGAAGCTGCTGGAGGGCCGAAGTGCGCGGGTGGGCGCTGAGGCCTGGAACGAGCACCTCGCGGACTTTCTGGCGCGAGGCCGGAGGAGGTGAGCGAGTCGCTGTGAACTTTGCTGAAAGACGGAAAAACTGCATGTGCTGCATGAGTAAGAATTGTTCAATTGTCGCATCGATGCTCACAACAGTGGGCCACCATGAGACATCGCAATGCGAGTGTGAGTGCACAGTGCGTTGTGCCTTGAGGAGGCTGCTCTGGCTTAGTGGAGTTTGGTTCAGATTTAATCACAAGTGATGATATAAGCTCTCCTCCGCGTGTGACATGACAAAACCTTTCAAGCACCGCGTAGGTCTGCGGAAAAAGATGATCTTGATGGGAAGCATACCGTCTAGGCTTACTTTGGCCACCAAGAGGAGAGCACCGGGTCGGTCTCGCTCCTTCCGAGTTGATCCTGCAGCCCAGAAATCCGTACATCTGCACCGAAGCTTCATAGCTTGGCTCAGGGGAAGGCTGGCATCAAGCACCCTGGTGGCTGGTCGAGAATTACATGTACAAGCGCCTACTGGAGGAGGGCTCATCACTGGGTCATGTACGGCTGTCGTGTTGTTTTGTATGTGCTGTGTGCTGTGTTGTGCATGTGGGGTGTGCTGTTGTGTGCGTGCGGGGCCCTTGTGTCATGCTGCACTGGGTTGGTTATATTTCTTAGATATATTTGTGTGTTGGCGTGTCTGTTGTGGCTGTTCGATTCTGTCGTCATTTCTTTCTGTCAGTCAGTCTGTTTTTATGTCTGTGTGTATTCCTTGATGTCCTTATTTGCTTGTATATTGTCTTTTCACTGTATGGTGTTGTTATTTGTTGTGTTATTTCTTTATTTCATATTTTATGTTGTTATTATTGTAGTTGTTTTGTGCTTTCTTGATATATTTCTTTATTTATTTATGTTGTTCCTTATGTATTTACATGGTGCTTTCTTTCGTTAGTTATTTCTGTATTTGGCAATTTGGTTATTTATGTTTGTCATTATTCCGTTCTTTCATTCGTTCTTGCTATCCTTGTTTATTTAGGTGTCTTTATTTCTTCCGGTCTTTATTACGAATGTTGATCCCGACACCGGTCCGAAGCTGCCACTCCGTCTTCCAAGGCTTTTGCCTGCGTCGCTTGCCTTTTATGACCAAATGCCATCGCAACACTAGCTGAGATGTCGGCGAGTTGGGTCGCACCTCCGACCACCAGCAGTCACCCCATTTGGAAGACCATTTGAGTGGGTGTTGGTTGAAAAACCCATGCCCTGTTAATTGTCGAGGATGCAACCCCGGGTATGGGTGAACATGGGTCCTTTTCGGGCCCTCCTTTTTCGTCCGATTGAAAAGAAGAAACCCCGCAGCCATGCCACATAGCTCCAATTCCCACGGGTAGCGAAGCCATTGTAGCCACCGCCGCTCAGAGACACTGCGCGTGCAGAACGCATCGCAGCGCGGAACAGCGGCAGAAGAGCGCATTGCAACCCCATCCCAAAGTACCTGCAGTTTTTTAACAGACATGCATCGTGTCGGTCAATTCCATGTGGGACATGTCTACTCAATTTAATCCGGGTTGCCTTTTCCAGCAAGCATACAACACCACCAGTTCTACCAACTGGAGGCGTATTTGTCACCATTTGCTGGGAAGCAAGTCGGCGCCCGATGTTTTCGCCGTTGCCATGAGCCTCTCTTTTGCTGTGCTTCCAAGAGAGGGGCATCCAGGCAGGATTGGACTCAAAGCTGCGAGCACAGCCCTCGGGCCAGCCTTGGTGTGGTTTTCAGTTAAACTGACCTAGGCACTGGCAACAAATGGGTCTGTCTTTCTAGGAGGAAACCCTCCATTTTGGAAGCCAAAGGACAACTACCATGTTGGGGGGTCCCCACAAATGACACACCCCATAGTTCAAATCTTCCACTTGCCACAAGATTTCTCGACTTGGCGGCCACACGGTCCTTGTGCAGGCAGATATGCAAATGTCTATGAGTTCTTTGTGGGAGAATGAGTCGAATGAATTGCATGACCCTTTGTTCAAGAGCGTAATATCCACCGCCATCAATTGTTCTTACTCAACACATGGCAACAGCGGGGATGTGACACCTGCCATGGTCAGAATGCCAGTTGCTCGGCCGAACAGATATGGTCGTTTCGCAGGCCATGACCTGCAGCTCAGCCCTGGCCGGGCGCGCCCGACCCGCGTGGCTGGGGACGCGCGGGCCAACGGGGCCTGGCTGCCAGCGCTGCCGGTGGCGGCCTTGCTGGCGAGGCGAGGGGCGCGGGCCGCGAAGCGGCCGCAGGTGACGAGATGGAACCCGGCCATGGCAGCGTCCATGCCGGCGAAGAAGCTCGTCTATGGAAGGTTTGGCTTGGCTGGTGCCGCAGCATTGCCAAAATTTGCAGAACATGGTTTGCAATTGGGACCAGACAAAGTGTTGAAGATCAAAAGCAGGCGGCAGGTAGGTCAATGTTCGTTGGGACCAGCAAGAGGGCAAACTGCGTGGTATTCGATTCAACAAGTACCAATGAGATTAAGCGATGATTTGGGCTGTTCGTGCCAGTTAACTTTGTTATGCTGATGGTGCCATTGTCCAAACTTTTGTGTGCTTGAACGCTTGATTCACAACTCGCAAGGACACCACTGACATGTGCTGCATGTGCTGTTCAACAGGTTTGCAAGACAGTTTTACCCCTCGAACCCGATTGCGTTTGCTTTCCCCGAACGGGCTCTCCGAAGCTGTTGCTCACTGGGGGCTCCTCGGATCCAGCGGTTGGCTTTCAATACTTTGCCAGAGTCGGAAGCCAATGACAGGGGTCCTTAGCTTTCCTGCTTTAACATAAGACCAAAAGCTCAGTCTAAAGTGCCCATGAAGATGTGTTCAATCGCCCAAAAGGGGCACATGTAAGAACCCCAGAGTTGCCAGTTGGAATCTGCATCACTGCCCTTCGGAATTGGCGTAACTGGGTGCCAGATTGCTCATTGGTATCTTCCAAGGAAACCAAAGGGGTATTCGAACTTTGCGATTTTCTGTTGTTCATTTTGGTATTCTCATGATATGTATTCTCAGTTCTATCCCGAGCCAGAAGAAACACATTGGTCGTATCAAGCGTGTTTTGCTCAGGAAGCCGGAGAAGGTGACCTGGGTTGCGCGCCTCTCCGGCCTGGGCAGCTGCACCTCTCGGGCGCTTCGCTTGGCTTCCCGGTCGGAAGGGCTCGGTTTTTCCACAGCCGGCCAGGGACTCCTTGGAGTTAGCTGTAAACACCTGACACCATGGCTGATGCGGCCAGTAGCCGGATTCTTTTGGCTTGGAAGTACCGTGGTTTGGTTTGCCTTGAAGTGCCGTTTCTGAGTGAGTGAGTCGGCACCGAAATGCGTGAGCTGGTTTCCAAGACGTCTGGTGGGTGCATGTTCACGCGTTTCTACATGGCCTAAGGGCCAGAGTCCAAGGGCATCGGGCCAGGGGCGGAGCTACCGCCCGCGCAGCGCAACGTAGTCCAAGGGCAAGTTGCGCGGCTGGCGGCAGCCTGAAGCCCGTGGAGGGCTGGCAACGGGCAGGCCGAGAAGCGAAGCCTGAAGGGCTCTGAGGCGGCAGTCCTAGTCCAAGGGCAAGGGGCTGGGTGTGGGTAGCTGGAGGGTTGTCCGTTGCAGCGTTGGGGATGGGTAGGGAAGATCCCGGTGACCCGAAAAAGAGATCTGACCAACGTTGTAGAGCTCTGGAAGTACTGTTCCACAGTTGGGTGAGTCGGTTGAAAGTGTCACACAGCTAGGGTTTGAGGGGAACATCGGGGATGTAGACAAGTTTTTGCAGAGTATGCATGCCTCATGCTTCGAACAACATGTTTGCCTGAAATTTCACATGGTTGTCAATGTCGTGGCGTGTCTCCATGGCCCATTATTTTACCTCTAGAACTTTAATAATTTGGCCATGAACAAGTTTATGTTCCGCTTGGGGGTGACCTTGCACGTACTTTTGAAAGATAGCTCATTCGTTTTAGCTTTTTTTTGGCCCTGGTGCTTAGTTGGTTGCTTGCTTGTCTTCAAGCTTGTTTGCTTGGTTGGATGGTCGGTCGGTCATGCTGCCCGCGGGCTGGAGTGTCGGTGGGTTGACAAACTGATTGATGACTTGTCAACAAAAGACCCAGCCATATCTTGTACTAAAGGAGGAACCTGCAAATGGCCGATCGTGAGCGTCACACCAAGCAAACCAAACAATCAAAACGGCTCTCCCGTAGACAACCGTGCCCAACAGCAGAATCCAATGCAAACCCTACCCCCCCTTGATGAATCGGGCAAGAAACACTACATGCAAAAATCATGTTGTCTACCTCCTAACACTGTCGGCACGAAACACTCGTCAACAAACAACCTAGCAGAACGCGCCCACGCCAATCCACGAACACAGAACAGCAAACAATAAAGATGCTGTTTGTATTTTAAGTGGAAATCCAAAGGAACACTAGCATTGTTGTTTTTGGGAGGGGATCCTCTACCAAAAAGACACCCCCAGTATCTTGACTGCCGAGGTTTGGGTCACCAGTCGTTGGCTGTCCTTCAGCCTGGCGCTGCTCACGCTGCTGATGGGCGCGCTGCCCACTTTGCGGGCAGCGGTCACCAAGCGCGTCATCGACGCGGTGGTGCAAGGTGCGGCTCCAAAGCTTCCAGCTTTGCATACGATGCAGATGGACACCGGGATCCTCTTCGGAGCGCAGAACTGGGAACTCATGCAAGACAGTTTCCCTCGGCTGGTTGTTTTCTTGGTCAAGGGCCCCTTCCCTGTGTGGGGTAGGGGTGCTGTTGTTTTCAGGATTTGGGCGACACGACTTTGACCTTCAGCCATTTTTTGACGGAGTTCAAAGGGGGGAGGCATCATCTTAACAGCCCCGAGGGTTTTAAACATCCCCTGACGGCCGCATAGGTTGATGAGCATGGAGGATCAAGCGAGTGATTGTGTGCTGAGGTTGGATACACCCCGGCATGTTTTAATGCCTGTTCGCGGGCAGGTCATGGCTGTGCGTGTTAGAGACTAGTCAACGCATGGTCCTGAGTTGTCGCTGCCTTATTTTGGTATCATGACCATGCTGCCATGTTGCTCCACAATGTACGCTTCCACGTTACCCCAACCTTGCATGTTGAGGATGTTTGGCACTAACCTGTTCCAGCACATTCCACCACGGGTGTCGTTCTTTGAGAGTCACCTTTGCCTTTCTGCCGAGTTTTGGTGCCCTCCAGCCCTGTTCAGTTCCAGGCGCCAGCAGCGGTGCAGGCCCCCACGCGGCTTTGGTTTTCCTGGGCCTGGAGGCCGGCATCGTGGTGCTGCAGGCGGCGGCGCGGCGCGGCTTCGAGGTGGCCGAGTCCTTTCTGGGGACACCTGGCGAAAATGGAACGCAAGCGGAATGGACAAACGGCTTCATTGGTTTCCAGATGTGGTTTCCAGATGTTCCCGGGATGTGATTGTCCATGTTTTTTTTCTTCTGTGTTTGAGAAGACATGGCCACATTGGCCACGCTTTGCTGGGCTGGAAAAGAAAAGACACTTGATGAAGTCCAGGATGGATGTGGAGAGTGAAGAAAAGGGAAGAACTGCATGGATCGGATGGTTCCTTGGGTGAGGACACTACAGGAGTTCTCGAGGCCAAGGGGTCAGTTGTTAAGGGGGCCCTTCACTTGACACGAGTCGATGCCGGTGATGGTCAAAGTCAACCACTGGACTCGTCGAAGTACTGGTACCTTGCCTTCCGCTCAGGACCTTGCTGGGCCATCGCGTGAACGTCATGATCCTCGAAAAGGCTGGCAACCAATAAAGTCCTGCAGGGCCACTGCTTGTTGCAAGCAACTGTATGTGCTAGCCGCTGGGTGGCCGCTTGTGGCCTGGGTTTTCCCGGGCCAAGTTCCAAACCAGCGGGCGCGCCCCACAGACCACGGCCAGCATTTGCGGTCCAGACCACAGTTCTCAATGCACACACCCTTGAATCAAAAACCCCACAGTTCTCAATGCATCCCTTGAATCAGCTGGTGGTTACCCTCCTTCAAAGGGGCAAGGGGGACACGGGTTGATTCAAGGGGAAGCCACGGAAAGGCTAGCCCCGGGCTGGGTCCTGAAGTTTGAGGCTCTGGAGCTTCAGCTCACAGACTTCGAGGACTCCAGCCTCTACGACAAGCTCACGCGCGCACGCCGAGAGGCATGGGAATTGGTAAGGGCCCCCAAAAAGGGGATCACCCCCAGTTTGTTGGCCCGAATGGTCAGCGTGCATGGATTGTTCGGTGATTCGGTTGGTGAAACAGAAAACACTTGAGTTTGTTTGCAGATGAACTAGCACACGATGTCCAGTGATGTGGCTTTGTATTGGCTTCACAGATGGGTACAGGACGTTGGAAAGTGGGCGGGTCGGGGCGCTGTTGGTGGCGGCGAACAAACATCCACGTTGCAATCTTGACGAATGTAATGTGGATGGTTGTCAAAACCGGGGAGCAAAATCCACGTTTATGTCGGTTTTCTTCCAAGCTGTTTACACCGCTCCCAACTCGGTCCTGTCGTTTTGCTGTTGAGACATCGGAAATGGGAGCGAGGCGAGCCAAAGGCCTTTGTCCTTGGCGAAGCAGTCCCTGAGCCTGATCCGTGACTCGTCATTTTGGGGCGAACGAGTTCATGGCTTCAACCAAGGCCTAAAAAACCATGTGCTCCAGACTATGTGGTATTTCCCCTTGTTGGTTTTAAATGGAATCCATCACTAGTGGAAATATTTGTAGTTTTTCGAGGGGGCTGATGCAAATGGAAGCCTATTTGGTTTGCCGGTCACTTGCATATTTTTGGGAATCCACTGTAGAAGTGGCTGGTGGGAGAAAGTAGCAGGTGAGGCAGTTGAGGCAGGATTGATGAAGATGAGGTTTTTGAATGGCGATTTTGAGGGAAAACTGCAGCTGCAAGTACTGCTGTCATGATTTTGGCGAGCAGATGCAAACAATGGATCCAAACCGCGACAACAAGCTTGTATACCACTGTTTTTGGGCTGCCCAAGTGGAAAGCTCCTGCGGATGCTCGATGCCCAGCGTCCAGCATGGTTGCGGGCACTGTTAGGTTTTAAGGCCGCTGGCTGTACCAAGCGAATCCCCTTCAAAGTGACAGAGTTCTAAGGATGGGCCACAGGGTGACATGTCCCACGAGCTGAGGCAACAGCCTTTCACTCCTGGGTTACGGCGCATTGTTGCTGGGCTTCTCTCCGCTGGCGGTGGCTTGACCAGGGGCACCGAGCTGGTTGTCATAAATGGAGAGGTGGATAGAGGATGTGTTGTGAACATTGGCCACAGTACGGTCGTTGTTGGCAGCACGTTGTGCAAATTCAAGCGAATATAGCTCAGGTCGAGGTTTGCAGCTACACATCGTGTTGTTTAGGCTCAATAGAGCCAGAAGCATCAACCAGTACAAGCCATGGTTCCATCGGAGTGGGATAGGTTTGACTTGGGCGTGTTGATGGGCTCCATCATCGGGGGTGAGCCAATGGCCGGCTTTGATTGGGAACCTCCTCCCGACCAAGCTTGCCAGAAAACTCGGCGTTCATTCCTTTGAGCTTGAGAAATGTTCATCAACAAAAGGCGGGCTAGGAGAGTTCCAATATTCCAGTAGCTTGGGAAGCGCCAGTTTCTTTGGTTGGCTGAAGTTGAAGGACGACTTTGCGTGCTACGTTGTATTTTCTAGATGGCAGAATTCTTGGGAACCCACTTGTCGAACCCCTGTTTGCACTTGAGTATGAAGCCGAGGATCCCACATGGGGCCCCTTTACGACAGCTTCCAATCTGTGGCTTGTGCGGTGAGGTGGTGGTCTTGCTGGTGACTGCAGTGCCGCCCTTCATTGCCGGGGTCAAGTTTGCAGGCCAGGCAGTGATGCCAAGACTATCGAGTATGATCACGTCAGCAAAATATATCAACTCAGAAGCAACATCGAAATGGCGGCTAATCCGAAGGTACCGAATGCCTTGCCAGGACTGTGAGCTACCTTTGCTAGTGTTGAATCATTGCAAGACGAGCCATGTTCACAAGCCGAAGTGAATGCATGACCGTCAGCAGCAGCCTACGACCTGTGTTGTAATGAGCACTATGTTGGGAACCATACTGATGACACCGTGAAAATGCGTTCATTCGAGGATATTGTCTTTGCTATTACGCGTCATCCCATGATCAGCGTTGTCGTCATGGTGTTTTTCCCACAAGGCCTGAGGTTCTGACAGTTGCGATGGAGCCATGCGGGTGGGGATCATTTTGGGCAAAATGACCTCACCTCCAGGAAACAACTTCCTTTCTTAGGGGTTCCTTATTTTAGTCAGGGGTCCACAGAACTGTCCTCTGAACCATGCCCGGAGGCGACGCCTTCCAGCTGGCGCGAAGACAAACCTCCGGCTTTCGGGAGCAGACCCTGGGCTAGGGCGATGTGGGGCGGGCGTATTGAGACCTCTTTGGTCAGTTTCACGCGTTGGGGTATTTTGTTATCCAGGTATTCGGCTTGTGGGTTGCATTGCGTGCAGAAGTTCCAGATTTGGCCTGGAACCACAGAAAAAAAACATGCAGGAAGCGGGCCGGAGCCCGGCCCAGGAGGTTCTGGCCAGGTAAAAACAGAATGCTCATTTTTTTTTAAAGGCATTTGTGTTTTTGGGAAGCTGTTGCTTTCCGTGTTGCTCCTGGGTGTGATGTGTTGCCGCTTTTTGGGTTTAGTCAAGTCAGTCTCTCCACCTAAGCGTGTGTCAAGAACAGAGAAGCGAACTGCACCAGGAAAAATAATTGACAGTTTGACTTGTCAGTGTTGAAGCCCTCAGACTACGAGGCTTCTAGAGGGGTATTATTCGAAGCGGTTACGGTGATGGACAAGCCGCCCCCATCACGGTTTTGACATAGGGAACAGGCATGTTGATGGCATGTCCGACGGGTTGCAACATTTGTCAGTGATCTGGCAATGCTTCTCGTTTCTTGAGCTACACCGGATTGAAACTTAACGGCGAAATGCCTTCGCTTCATGGCAACATTGAATGACACTGCATAAGTTATATAGCTGTGGGAGTCAAGCCACGAGTTGTTGTGGAACCACGGCACAGGTTCCAGGCAGATCTCTGGCTATCTTTGAAGAACGGCGTATTCTGTATCTACGTATTGTGGGGTATTCTGAGTTTCTCGGAGGCTTGCACCAGAGTGTAGGTCGTCAATTCTAGTTTGCACTGCTGTTTGCGAAAAGGCTCCTTTGCCAAGATGACAAAGGAGGTAATGTGTATATATTATGCGCATCCTTTTGAACATGCCAACTGTCATGACACTGTGGCAAGGTGTTTGCAACGATGCACATCTGTTTTGTGCAAGGAGAGTTAACGGACAGACGTGTGGCCGATTGAGCAAATGGTTGTTTAACTGTTTGTGAACTCTGAGATTCTGGGGTTGACGCTTCCAATCCAGCATAAGTTCAATCTGCGGGGAAAGAGGCAGAATTTTAAGGCCAATGATTCCCAGCTAAACTTGAAGACTGCCTTCCAAGCCTCTTCAAGATGGACATGTTGATCTCTCCCACATGTTGAGATGATGGAATCCAGTTTCCGGCCACAATACTCTCAGCGATTCGCGATTCTGCTCGAGCTGCACTTGTTTTTTGTTCACACGCTAGCAATTGCTCTCGCTCTGAACAGGGACGTCGGCTGCTGCCCATGTCCATCCATTTCCTAACTTCTAAGACCTCGACTTAAGATCCCTTACCCTGCAACGCCAAACTTGCCTCAGCCGATTTCAGCAAGCTGTCAGGCTGCAAGCTGCATGGGGGGAGAGTAACATTCGGACAGGATCACTTGTGGGAGGGATTCCGTCAGATGTGTGATACTTGCTAGTTTAGAATGCTGTGTGTTCAGGTTTGTTTTGAAAGCACGGGAAGCAGCCTTGTAAATGTTTCCCAGTGGCCCAGCGGGTTTTGGATGTGTTCTGGAGGAGCAAAGTTTGGTTTTGCTCCTCTTTCTTACTGGCTCAGCAGTGCTATTTTGAGGATCAAGTTGGATTTCCGGTTTTGATCCGGTTTTGAGGATCTACCTGGAGCGGGTCATTGCCATGGATGCGCCCGCCAAGGAGGTGAAACTCTTCAGTTTGGGACCCTGGCTGCTGAAGAGGCCGGAAGGGCCTCCTGAAACCCAGCTGGGCCCTTCTCATCCTCGAGTTGGTGTAAACGATGTTTGTTCCTGGAAAAGCTTGCCTGGACTTCTCAGGAAGTGAGAAAGTACTTTTGATAGCCACACAAAGTCACTTGGACCCAGTGAAAGGGCAGGTGCCAAAAGAAGTCCCTCGACTTACTCCTCTATACCTTTCGGCCATTTGCCCGCAGCCCTTTGCTGCACAACCCTTTTGTGACCCTCGAGCAACGTCACCATTTCAGCGAATTCCTGGTGACTTGAGTCAGAATATGTCAGAATGAAACCCCAATTTGAGTTGATCCTTAACAAGACATGAAGCACTCTCATTGACCCAAAGCAAAACCTGACTCCCCCGATCTCAGTTGATTCAAAAGTAGAATCTGAAACCCCAAACTCGACTGGTCCTGAACAAAACATGAAGCACTAATCTCAGGTCCCTAAGAGTTGTTGACCCTGAGCAACACCTGAAGAGCTAAACCCTAACTTGGTTACTCCACACGAATGCCGCTCAGTTGAGCCGAAAATAAAACACAGGATGCCCTAAACTTAGTTGACCCTGCGCAGCATTTGAAACCCTAATCTTTGTTGAGCCAAAGTGAAATCTGACACCCGCTAAACTTGATACCCTTAAACTTCTGGCACTTCCTGTCTCTTGACGTAACATGCTTTCCATATTTCGTGCCAGCTAGGCCAGAGCTTGGCTTCTTGTACGTCCCAAGCAGAGGCATGCTTTAGGAATGTTGAAACTCTCGCATTGACGTCAAACCCCTAGGCTGGCACAATTGGTGAATCTGGGAGACTCTGCCAGTGCGCAATTGCTTGGCAGGGCTGTCCTTTAGATTGAGTTGCAAGCAGCATGTGTGGCATGATGGATTAGCCGCATAATGTGTCAGAGTAACATGCTATAGAAAACTGTAGGAACACTTCAGTCGTTTGTGAACCAAATTCCTTTGCCAGAGGCGAGTTCAAATTCCCGGCCCGTTCGCGCATTCACCGATCCTTGATGCAGTTGACTTCTGTTTCGGTTGAACGATCGCTCCTCATTTCAAGGGGAATCTCCTTGGAACGACCCGCAGTATCACTTTGGAACATGGCCGATTTGAGCATTGGTTGAAACTTCGGTGCTCCTTTGACTTCAAGACCTTGAGGTGTCTTTTGGATGGATTTGCTCTTCCCCGTAAGAGGTTGGAAGCTGTGCGTTTGCAAGATTCCATGGACACGTGCTTGGACACAGCTCTTTGCACTAGACGAAAGCGTTTGGAGGTGGCTTCAGCAATAGTCTCACTGCCAGGTTAAACCATGTGTGGTGTGTCCACGCAACGCTGTTGTTTGGTGTGTTTGATTGCGCATGTGTGTGTGTGACGTGTGTGTGTGTGCTGTGTTTGAATCCCGATCCAGAGAAGTGTGCTGAAGGTCCCCTTCCCTCTTGCCTTGCGGGTGAGCATATGCCCAGAGGAACCCCTGCTGGATGGGAGGAATTTATTCCTATTTCATCTGAGTTAGAAAGATTTGAAGAGCGTTCTACTGGAGGCGGACATGCTTCTGTCAAATAATACAACGAACTGCGTCTTGCATGATTGTGGACAGGCCAGGAGGATCCGAACCCGCAGCAGATTCAGATATTAGCTTAAATACTTGGACCCACATAGTATCAACAATCCTCCCCAGGCCCGGTGGCGTTGTTCATGTCCATTTCATGAGAGCGTTGGAGGGAGGTGTAGCATTTGCCTTGGTTTGGGTGAGTTTTCCATGGACTAAGTTCAAGTCGCTCCTGCTTTGCAACTGGTTGGGCTACCAGCCAGGTACAAGGGCATCTTCGATTCCTTCTTCAAGGACACCACCAACCTGGCGTTGCGCCAGGTGGGGCGAGACTGGGCTCTAAACACCCAGCCGACGTTCGACGTTTGCCAGTGCTGCTTCCATCCGGATTCGACCCACCAGGAATCAGCCAACGACACCTTTTTGACGAATGGTGTCCTTAGATAGTCTTGTCATCTCATTTTTTGTTGGTCACAAGGCACCCTTTATCCAGGGATTGTTGTTGCTCGTTGCACCGAGTAGATGTTACTCACTTCTCATGCTTGACACCTTGCCATGGGAATGATGCCATTTGCCAAGTCACCCAGCTGCAAATGAGTACTATTTGCCTTCTACTCCACCAACTCTGAGCTCAGACGCCAGTCTGAACAACTGTGTGGACGCTCTGGATATGAGTATTATTGTTTGTTGTGGACTGTCTGTAGTACTCAGTCAAATGTGTTTGGGCTGGATCTGGTTATGGGTGGATCAGCGTGCGGAACAGCCTTGCCATTTTTCCACCGGGCGTCCGCAAATCCCAGTCAGGTCCCATGGCATGCTCCCTTGTTACTGTTGTTCTTGTGGAGGTTTGGGCGTAGCTGTTGTAGGTGTGAACCGTTCCAACTCGAATCGCTGTCAACTTTTCTTGTTCTACTTGGATTCAATGATGAATGGCATTTTGCCACAGATCATCTTCAAACGAGTTCATATTATATATATATACCAGTCAATCTTGCACGGCCAGGGCACCTACGGCTTTCTGCTGGAGCTGATCTCTACCTCGGGCTTATATCTGGCCTTTGCCTGGGTGGCCATCAGTGCGGTGAAAGGGCAGATCTCCTTGGGCCAGATGACCATGTACCTTCTCATCTTCCAGGACCTTTTGACTCGGGGGAGTTTTTTTTTATTGGCTGACCATGGGTACAACGACCCTTTGGTGGACATTGGAGTTCGGGGAATAGTCATGTCCAACCACCTTGGAGGTACGATTGAAATTCGTTGCCTGTCTCAGCAAAGGCCATGATTGTGTGAGACAAAATGCCTGTACATATGCATGTGACACGCTCATGATACGCATATGTACTGTTCATTCATGTGTGTATGTGCTTTATATGCAGTTTATATATATATATATGTATAGAGATATGCACGTGTATATATACCCAAAGGATCCAAAGTAGTGCCTATTTGTGCACTCGGATCCCAAGTCCTTTCTCAGAACATAAATGGCTCCCAAGACCTTCCTGGGAGCATCTGGGCCGCCGCAGCTTTTTGGCCCGCTCATCCCAAGCGCTTGAAATCAAGCACGGGGGCCTAGTCGCGCCTTCTTGTCAGGGCTTAGTCCATGCGATCAATTATCATCCATATGTTGAGTCCTTAGCTAGCTTGCAAATTCCAAAAAGAGTGCCAACCCCCTGTTCCAAAAAATAAGGCTAGGCTCCACATGTAGAAACGCGTCAAGGTGGACAGCTCCAGGGTGGCTAAGTGGCAGCTTCGGGCTATGCCTCAAATAATGTTGAAACGCGGCAAACCCTCCAAACAACCCATGGCCAGTGCAGCTTTGCCACATAGCAAGCGACCATTCAGGTCTTCATCTCTAAATGTATGTTGATGGCGAGGATTGATCCCTGGGTGAAAATATGCAAAATCAACTGTCATGACCGATAGCCTTTGCCAAGGCACTTTCTGTTCGGGCCAGATAGGTTACCTCTTGCCAACCCTTGGCCGGTCAAGTTCAGCACACGCATGCTGGACGTCCATATCTTTCTAGTATAGTGCTGACAAGGGTCATGCAATTTGGGGCGAAGTGGCCAGCCGGGCTTGCCATTCTGGATTGCCAGCTTAGCCAACTGGCAGTAGGCAAAGCAGGCTGCATCCTGAGATCAGTACTTTCAACGTTTGGGCCTGTGAATGGTCTGCAAGTGTTTGGGGCCAAGTCTCACATGAAAACACCAGTGCATTTGCCTGGCATTGGTTCAGATATCGTGGCGAGTGCTCCATGGTTTGGAAGTATTCTGCTGTGAAAAACCTGAGTGTCAGGCAATCAAGGGCATAAAGTGAGGGCTGCAAATATCATGCAGTTTTTAGCCACAAGGCAGGCATTGGGCCAGAAGCTGGAAAGTCAGAACTCCTGGATTGGATGCGAGCTTCTTCAGGCTGACATCGGCCAACCACTGGATCAATAATTCCAGTATCCACATCATCCGGATTTTCAAACTCAATGTCAAGGGATTCTCGGGAGCCACCCTCCTGTCAGGGATCATAAGCTGTTGCAGTGGCTGACGCTTAAGCTCAAATACAAAAAGTGCAAGAATTCACACTGCTTGAAGATGGCTGTGGCTTCCTCATGATTGTCAGCCTCACCCCCACATGGATCGCGGCTGCCTTTGATCTGCAAGTAGAGCCGCTTGAGCACCGAGGTCTCCATACTCCTGAGCACCACCCACGGGGTGAAGAACCCAGGACAGGCAATACGGGCTGATCCGGGGCGGGGAGGGGGGGGATACTTTTTGATATGATGCAGGTATATACGTGCTTCAATTGCTTGCAATTATGTTTTGCAACAAGGCTTAGGGTTCAGCAATGGTCATGGCAAAATTGAAATAGCAACCAAGAAGCCTCGCACTGGCAGTGCGGCAGCACACCCGGCCAAGGTAGGAAGCCAAGCTCCGCAGTCGAGCTCCATGCAGAGCTGCCCACTCCTGCAACACTGATCCCACAACCATTCAGCTATATATGAGCTCATGCATGCAGCAGGTCAAGATCCTTCATCTTCCCTTTCCACCCCCTCTTCACCGCATCAGAGTCCAGGTAAAGGTGGTGCGAAAGAGCCAAATACAGCATTGCCACCTAGTGCATTAACCCTAAGCGCTAGTTCTGACCACATGGCTAATCTTGTAATAGCTCCAATTGTTTCGTGCATTCACCAGCCCCACTAGCAAGCCAAGCAACTTTATGCTCCCGGACAGTGGGCAAAGGACGGCCAGCAAATTGCACTGTGTACACCTTCATGATCTCATAGTTCCGGATAAGGTCATCCTCCCGCACCTGCACCAGGGCCGAGAGTTGCGCACAGGCTAGCACAGCTAGGGTGGTTTTGGCACCATGCACTGTGAAACATAAAATGTCTTGCACCTTTAGTTGCGCTGCTTCAAGGTTGACCACTGACATGTCCTTAGCTAGCAGGCTGGATTGGCAAGTTGCCACAAGTTGCCATGACCATGCATGCATGGAGCACTTGCTGGAACTTTCAGTACAAGCTATAGCTAGTGTGGCACTAGCTTACGCCTAGCATCTTGGCTGTTGCGGATAGCGACCAGCTGAGCAGAGACAGCCGGCAAGATCGCATCATAGATTTCCAGGGCCTCTGCCTTATACGTGATCATGTGTCAAGTCAAAGTCAATTCCGGAGGGTCCAACGCATGCGGCATAGCTATTTGCAAAACAGTTGCTGACACCAAGAACTTGAGTGGCGTGAGCACCTGCTTGCCATCACCCGCATCTTTCACTTGAATCCTAACCATTCCTGCCCTGGCGCAGGATCAACCGTGGTGCTTGAGCAAGGGACGCTCCGGGCCCGGTCGGGCGAATGCATCGCAATGCATCGATGCACGCAGTGTTTATGATCGATCTCAAATCCACTGTTCAGAATGATCAGGTGCATGCACATGCCCAACAACGCACGCACAAACATAGCTTGCACGCATTGCAGGGCAGGATGGGTGCACCATCTGCCTCGCGCGGCCGGCATCCGAAGTAAAAAGCCTGCATGCTCGAGCTGATGCCAGCCTAGTGTAAGCCCAAATGGCTGCAAGCCCTCAAAGATCTTCTGAGAGCATACTTGGCCTCCCAAGTCCACTCTCAGCAAAAGGTGCTTGATTTTGGTGGTTTGAAGCTGAGTTGTGTCTATTTTCTCACTTGGATCCTTTGGGATATATATATATATATTCATTTATACGCGCACTAATCTCATATACATAGATGGCAACAGGCCGCTGTGGTGCACATTGTGCGGACAGTGCAGGTATTCCATGTGTCTTACTTTGTTCAGCACAACTAACGTGGCGTATTGTGTTGGTAGTGTTGATACTATTTTCCAGCGACGCATGGAAACAACATGCCCTCACTTTAGGTCTTGCCCTCCCTGCAAACACCGACTGGATGCTTCGGAAATTCGCCAGGACTGGATTCACCGGACCGGATACAGCTTGCACTCACTTTCTCTTTCCAGTTCCCTCTAAACGCAAATCACACTCCTTGCCCTTGGAAAGCAAATGCATTTGTTTTTGGATTTATCTCAATGTGAAAGGGAGCTGGGTTAAAGTCGGAGTTTCTTGGAACTTTCCTTCCACGAATGTGGTTCATACCTGAGAGGAGCGGGGGCCCTCTGAAAGTAAGCCCTCCCGCCAGGGAGCAGTGGAGAGTGGTGAATTTCGGATCCACATGCCTTTGAATGAAGCTTGCGAGTGGGACACAAAGCTCTCCCCTGTAGTTGATGGGAATCCACATGAATGAAGACAGCTAAATGAGTGAGAGTAGAAGAGCATGTCTCCAAGTTTGCATGGAGCGTGCAAACTGGCAATTGCTCAATGCTGAAATGGTTTTAGTGGGGCAAGGGCACCACCATTGCCGAGACCTCATAGCCAATCGCGATGCCGAATGCAGTTTCCCGATCCTTTACAAGCTCTTGTGCGATGTGGGGAAAAACTGAGAACAGTGTTTCCTGATTTGATGGGCAACCCGCAATGACAGGATATGACATGCATCTAGTATCATCTAGTGGTGTGTGGTGTTGGCGAGAACCAGCACCACTCAGTTTGTGAATGTGGTAAATGAGTTGGCTGCCTGGAGACCTGGATTTCATGCTCCCATCCTGACGAACAAATAGGCACTTGCCTAAGGCTTGCAATTCTAAGTCTGGGTAGAGAGTTGCCTGCAGTTGGGCCAGTGGCATGGCATGTCGGCACATGCTGTTTCTGCTTGCCAAATGATTCTAAGCACTCGGCCTGGAAGCTAGGAATGATTTGCGCGTTGCACCCACGTATATTGGTTTCCTCGGGCAGGGCAAGGCTTCAATTCGGATGGTAGTCGGATGCCAGGAAGGTCAGCAGGCCTTCTCGTCGATCCTCCGTGCGATTGGTGGAATGTATTCCGACAACCTGTACTTGTCCAACCTCTATGAGTTCTTGGACTACAAGGCAGGATTTAGCAATGAACCTGGCACTTTGCGGAGACGACATACACAAATACGCATGTAAGATGAAGCCCAAAATCATCAGGCACTGCGGCTTTTGCTCAACACTGCCGTTTTGCACCATATGACCATATGTCACTTGCAGCTCGCTGTTGTTCAGAGGCGGAAGTAAGCATAAATGCCAGGCATTTCTGCAAGTCTCGGTTCAACTCCCAGAGCTGGTTTTGCTGTTCTCAGGCAGGTATTTAGTGGTTGTTTGCGATTCAACGATTGACGAACAATTCTCCCTCCGACGAATCAGTGGAGTGTGTGAAAGGGCAGGCTCTCGAAAAGCGAAGGAACCCGCCAGAAACCCAGCATTTAGTGTGTTGGCCATGAGAAGATGTCAAGCTTCTGACAAGCGTCAGGTTCAGCCCGTCGGCGGCACTGCGCGGAGCGGGCCGAAGCCCGGAGATGGCGTGCGCTTCGAGGATGTGTGGTTCCGATACCCCGGGGCCTCCGAGGACAGGGGTGATGGGCCAAATTTGCGTCGACTGTCGGAGCCTTTCTCATTGTAAATGATTAGTGATTCGTTTTGTACCAGAACTGCAAATGATTGTTGCTTGCTGTGAAGACACTGCTGTGTCATGACAACAACGAGGCGGTAGGCGTGCAGGCTGTTCGGGTGCCGAAACTAGCTTCTGAAGCACTGAAGGCGACATGTTTTCTTGGATATCCATTGATTTACAACCGACTGGAGAGGAATTGGGAAACACTTATTGAGAAACGTTTGTTGAGACAACCTGTTCCACCAAGAACATTGCAGACTGTGCAAACGTGGCATTGGGACTGCTCAGCGGTTCAACTTGATCAGTTCAGCGATAAAATGCACTGAGATCCCGGCAGGAAAGCGGTCACCATGGTTTTCCTTGCCATACGGGTGTGATTGAGCTAGACAGTTTGTGATACTGGATACGGACAGATGAGCATTCATAAGCTTCCTCGCTCGAGTCTTGGATGGGGGTTGGCCAACCTTCTGTAGATAGGCAAGATAGACAAGGAAAGATGCTTTGAAGAGAAGAACCCCCCCCATGCAAATCATCCCATGACATACCTCCAGTCTTCCTTGCATGACATAATTATTCTGTCACAAGATGATTTGCAGGTGCATGTTGTTTCCAAGGCTTCGACAGCAGAATCTTCACAAATGAAAGTCTTTCCCTGGAAGCCTAGCTTTTCCCAGGGTTTCTCCCTATCAATCCTTTGTCAAAACCATTCGGGAGGACACCATCAAGGGTGTCAGCTTCCACATCCCGCCTGGCACGCGATTTGCGCTGGTGGGGAACAATGGGGCAGGCAAGACCACGCTCCTCGGACCCGAAAACAAAACAGGCGTTAGGCTTTGGCGCGCAAGGGACGCGCGCGTTGCTTCCTTCGCAAGGGTTCTATTCAAGGCTGATCAAGCTGCTCACTGGCCTGTACCAGCCCAACCAGGGCCGGATCCTGCTGGATGGCCTGGATCTCAAGGAGTGGTCGTCGCAGGCCAGGAGAACGCAAATATATAGAGAATATAGCCCTACACCGAAACCAACGCACTTGAGACAGACTTGAGAAAAACTATATATATATATATAATGTACATGCATACTATGTATATGTATGTATGTATATATATATATATGGTACCCCCCCCCCCACAGGGACCTACCATGTTGATGAGTTCACTGGTATTTGCAGTGTGTTCTACCCTTTTTGTTGGCTTTGGGGAGAGCAATGAAAAAGAAGCATTCCCAAGGATGTTCTGGAAGCCTCTGGCTTGATTTAAACCGATTTAAACCGATCTAATTTAAATCGGGCATGGATTCAAGATTCAAGAATCCAGGCCAAACTTTTGCAGGGAATCTTGAATCCAGGCCTCGATTTAAACCGATTTAAACCGATTTAACTTAAATCGGGCATGGATTCAAGATTCAAGAATCCAGGCCAAACTTTTCCAGGGAGTCTTGAATCTTGAATCTTGAATCCATGCCCGATTTAAGCTTATATCGGTTTAAATCGAGACCCAAATTCAACATTGCGCTTTGCACGACTGTACTTTGGCACAGAGTTGTGCAAGCGTCCAAGTCCTGATTATTCATTCAATCTGTTTCAATCTAGGCCCACATTCAAGGTTGTAGGTCAAAGTTTTCTGGGGAATCTTGAACCCAGGCTCAACTGAAATTTTAGTCGGTTTCAATGGGTGTCACTCGGGCCTGAACTCGCGTTTGCAAAGAAGACTTGTCTAGAGAATATTGATTCTTGAAATGTTGAATACAGGCTTGGGTTCTGTCCGTATCAAATCCTGTTAGAGCTCTAATTGAATTGCAAGTATATATTGGGAAGGAACTCTATTTAAACTCGAAATTTCAGATTTGAGTACCATTAGGATTCTCACCAAATATTTCCGTATTGAGTCCCAATTAAATCGTGTTCAAAATCAATTGAGCATTTAGAGAGCGTTCGTTGGTGGAGATGTGAATTGAATAAAAACGCTACACAACACTGTGGTTTTACGGTGTTTTCTGACCATGGTAGTGTTAGGACTAGTGAAAACACAAGTTTGGGACCTTTGGATTATTTCCTTATGAATTCCACTTAGTATGTTTTGTCAAATTCGACCTTATTTCTGATTGAGATTCCATGGAGCTTAAGAAGGACATACTCCAGCCAGAATTTCGATTTAGAATCGAACTCAAATATTGATTGTTCTATGTCAAATTAAATGTCCAATAGAACAGTGTACTTGAAATTAAATCACTTGCAGAACTAGAGTTAGATGCGTAATCCTAGTTTGGTCCTCGTCCTAGTTGGGAGATCCTTGGTTCTAGGCCTAGTATGGTCCTAGCTTCCTGAAATAAATAGAACTTATAAAGGACATTACAAAGGAAGTTCCTTATGATTTGTAGTATATACATTTGTCCTACGCAACTGCTAACTGGACAGTATAATTTAAAATAAGGATAATATCCAGTCATAATTTACATGTTAAGTTGGAATATACAGATTGGTTAGTCTGTTTCAAACCAAATATTCAACAGGACTTTCTTCCCACCAGAATGTAAGACTTGACATCCAAGTACTATATGAAGTAGAATTAAATGGTCTAGTCCTAGTTTGGTCCTAGATGAGAGATCCTTGGTTCTGATGTTAGGTTGCTCCCTAGTTTACTGCAATAATTAGAAAGTATACAGGACAGTACAGAGGAAGTTATACTTGAAGTTCAATTCTTGTAAGAATCTGAGGTGGGTCGTCTAGTCCTAGTTTGGTCCTTGTCCCAGTTGGATCCTGGGTAGTTGAGAGATCCTGGGGGGGGGGGGGGGGGTAGCATATATATATATATATATATATATATTTCATACATATATGTATGTATAGACATACAGGCTTGGACAGAAGCATACACATAGACAACGCTTCAGCGCAAAGGCTCCATTTCACTCTGTTGAGACGTCCTTCTGCCCGTCGCATCGACGTGGCTGGGGCATACGGGCATACCCGCGTGTTTGAGTCACTTGGCGGCTTTCGAGGCGCTGAAGCAGCGCATCGGCGCCATCTTCCAGGACTTCGTGCGCTACGAGCTTTCAGTGGGCGAGGCTTTGCTGAACTCAACGAGTTCTCGGGGGCAGTTTGGCGGAGGCATTTTGGGTTCAGGCCTGCAAGGACCAACAGAAAAAGAGGCGTACCTACAGTCTAGAGGCATACTGGTTTGACTTGCCAAACTGCTACTCTTGTGCCGGATGCTGACCGAATGACATGCATCATTGTGGGCATGGGCACGGCTTCAGTCTAGGCTAGCAGCGCCTGGAACGACCCAGCCATGGCATGTCAATGTTGATGTTTATTCCGCGCGAGTTGGAGGTAAAGCGACCAATCAGTGATGAAGGTACTTTTGGTGACAGATCCATTCCATTGTACCCTGACAGACGCTGGCCCAAGGAGAACGTGGGTGTGGGAGACGTGGATGCCATTGAGCAGGAGCCGCGGCTGGTGCGTGCAGCTGAGAGAGGCATGGCAGATCCCTTCATCCAACAGTGGCCGCAGACGCTTGGACGAGGTTGGCAAGTGTCTCGTGGCCAGCTTTATGTGAAGCGGCAAGAGCTCGCAACCATAGTCTAGATGAATAGCAGTTGGACATGTGTGTGTGTGTGGGTGTGTATCAGTGTAGGAGCACATCCATGAATTGAACATGTGCTTGAGGAAGTACAGGACGCAGCTGGGCAATCTCTTCATGCGCGGACGGGAGCTGAGTGGCGGACAATGGCAGAAAGTTGCCTTAAGCCGCGCTTTGATGCGGGAAGAAGCCGACGCTTTGGTTAGGTTCAAAGGCTCACTCATGACATGCTCAGGCGCCACAGAAGTGTTTTTTTCTTCGTTTTTTTCCCCCTGCTTAACATTTGTTAGGAACATACTTCGGCGAGAGCAATTATCACCTTTTGAGTACAAAGGATCAAGTTGTGTGAGTGAGTCTCTGTGTGTGTGTGCGCGTGTGAAGTCATATTGAAAGCCCATGCGGTTTGCACCAAACACGAAGTTTGCAATTTCTCGTTTAGATATGCCGCGTTTGTGTGTTTGCGGTGTGCCCGTGCAGCGTGATTGTTTATGACTTTTGAACGGCTCGTGCCAAGCTTCAGATGTTCCTACAACAAGAGGACAAGAGTATAGATCTATCACAAAGCGTTGTGGATCCACACTGGCATTTTTGCTGCCATGCGTGTGTATACCACACCTGGGTGTGTTTGAAGGACGGCCAACCCCCAAATCAACAAAACATGCAGGCAAGTCCTTGTGCGTTTGTCATACAACTGGGGCTTGGCCGATATATGAAATGGGTGGGTGGGTGAGTGCGTGGGGTTTGCGGTGCGGGCACCTGGCTCAATGAAGCCAATCAAATATGGAGGTCCTTATTCTTAGCTTGACCTGCCACCCGCCCAGGGGTGTCCCTAATTTTGGAAAGCACCCTTCAGCCGTACTAAGGACTTGCTGATCTTGGATGAGCCTACAGCCGCCATGGATGCTGAGGCAGAGGCGGGCAGTGCTTGCTTGTGCGGCTTGTCATCTCAGGAGGATGCGACTTGCTATGGAGATCGCCTGGTCTTGCTGTGAAAGCTAGTCCCCCAGAATAAGCAGTCATGCTTGTCCAAAACATGTTCGCACGCAGTCTGGTGAATGCAGGGGAGGGATTCTGGAGCATACGTCTTGATATTGGCCTTAGCATCGTGATCAATTGCACCATGCCGCAATTTGCTTTGTACCAACAAGTCTTAAACATGTCCCCAATCTTTGTGATATTCTATGCTCGAGCAACCACCGGCCCTCAGAATTGACCATCAAAACATGAAGCGGACAAGCTCCCAACAACTCGAAACCTCACCAGCTCCATCTTCGCTGGGCACCCACTACCCGGGGACATGTTGCTGGGCCATGCCGTGAGGCTGCCATTTTCGACCGCTTGACGAGTCTGACAGCGGACCAATCGGCACTGCTGATCAGCCATCGCTTCTCAACTGTGCGCATGGCGGATCAGATCGCCGTTTTAGAGGCTTGGATGTGTGACGAACGCATGGTAGGAACACCGCCGTTGACAGTTTATTGTGAAGATGTGTTTATTTAATGTTGCGTTGCTGTCGTTTGAGTTATGGTGCGGCGTGGCGGTGTTGTTTTGCAACATCAGTTGACCTCCTGCATTTGGAAAGTGTGTACGGTTGGTGATGATGGGTACGCTGTGCGACTCTGAGCCATTGCTGGTTTGGGCATGCCTTGATTGCAGGTCCGGGTGAGTAACCTGTGGGAGATGTAGAGGTCTTTGATTTGTTTTGTCACGGGACAACGTCATTGCGGGATCTGAACTTCATGCCAAGCACCGCTGTTGCGGGAGGAAGACCAATACAGCAAGACACCTGGATTCCCTGCGATCAAACTCGCGTGGATTGAGGGATTGAGGCATGGATTGAGGGACAAGCCCTGGAAAGTCATGTCATGTTGTCTTCTTCCAAGCATGCCCAAATCTTACTGCCCATTGGCATGTCCTGAGCTCTTGTGTAAGTTGTGCTGCAACAAATCCAGAGAACTGTTCAAAGCAACGGCCTTGTGGGCCAGAGTGTTCAATGTGACACGTCACGGGTCTGGATCGGACTTTGCCTCGCGGCTCTAAATCGCACTTCCAGAAAGCCTGTCCTTTGTGCCTCCCACTTCCCACAAGTGCACAGAGTTGGCCGAAGCTATTCGGAGGGTCAAAAGCTGTGCGCGGTGCTCGAAGAGCAAAACTTGTCCTTGTTGAGACGCTGCGTACAGACTATTGACTACTAACGAGAGATTGTCGACGTGTTTGAAGTCACTCGGGCCAGGGTGGCAAGATCGCGGAGTATGGAAGCCACGAAGAGCTGCTGGCCTTGGATGGTACATATGCACGTCTCTTCAAGCTGCAAGCCAAAGGATACCAATGAAAACCCGCTGTCGGGGCTTGAGGGTTGCCACCTCTGGGAAGTTGGAGCAACGGCGAAGTAAGAAAAAAGATGGTGCAGTGTGCAGTGCGGTCACTCGCAGTCATGTTTCGCATTGTTTCGCCCTGTGCATTCGCCGGGGGCTGGGCAGATATGTATTTATGTTGTGGTAAACTTGTATGCTCTCTTCAAATTGACAACTCTGAATGTTGCAGTCTGGGTTGGAGCTGTTTTTGAGCCACGGATCAGTCGCAATCAATAGTTGGCAAGGCTGTAAATAGGCGGCAGGCACTTGCAGAATTCGAACAGTTCGTGCCACGATCAGTCATTTGAGGTTGTTGCGTTTCATTCATGCAGAAATGTTCGACCGGTCTTGAGTTCTGCTTGTGATAGGCCCAGTTGTTCCGTGCTACCTTTTGTGCCCAGTCAGGTGGCCCCCTGATCAGCAGCCAAAAACGGGCTGCCCAATCCATTTGAAGGCATTTCCTAAGCATAGGAGCTGGACAAGTGTGAAGCGGCCACCAGCTACGACCCCTTCGAGCCAATGAAGCAGGAGGCTGGGCTGTTCCACACGGTTCTTCCGTCGACAGAGAAAGGGGCGGTGCCTCATTGTGAATGTATAGATCATCATGAGGCCGGCAATCCTATGGGCTTGTTTCCTATGGGGAGACTGCTAGGCCTAAAACGATTAGTTTGCACCAGGGTTTTCTTCAAGGCACGCCTCACATTTGCCAGCGGCAGGCCTTGCAGCAGTCGGTGGAGCCGCTCGAGGCCTCTCTGCAGCCCCTCATGGCCCTGGTCTCCGCTTCGGCAGACGAGGCGCGGAGTCTTGGCGCGGGCCTCCTGCTTGGAAGCAAGGAATCACCAGGTCATGGCCTCCCTCCATAGAAGCCCGTTCAAAGGGTGTCTGACTTTTGTCTGGGGTCTATGAACGTCTCTACCCACCTAAAGAACGAACATGGTTTGACTTTCGACCATGGTACTTGCACATCTACCTGCGTTCTCAGCAGGGAATGAGGGAACCCCTCGAAACCATGGCTTCCTGTCCCAGGGAACCACGAAGTTTTGACTATGGCAATCACGGAACAGGCTGATATCGCAGACAGGCCGCCTGAGTTGTGGGTCCTGCAGAATATTGCTTTATGCGGGATGAAGGCTGACGTTTGTGAAGGTACATAAGATCCCATTCAGAACTATCCAAAGCAGACTTGGGGTGAAATGAAACCAGCTTGCAAAAGAGTCCATGAGGTCGATCTGCTGCACACGCCGACAAATCGATTGCAGCAGCCGTACATTGTGCATTCTCAGCTAGCCTGACTTTTTAGCATTGTGGATCAGTCTTGATTGTGCGTGTACGGTCACGCTGGAATTCTGGGGTGTTTCCCCAGATTGCCTGACTCCGATCGTGGTTCCTTTGCATCAAACAGGGACAAAGCTTGTGTGAGCCGCACAATGCTTTCCATTCGATGTCCACCAAGTATGTCCAAACCTGGAATTCAAGCTTGCTGGGCCCACATAATGCTCTGAGGCAAGGCTGCAAATATGACTGGGTCTGAAATGTGGATTGTTTTCTGATCCCATCCTGCGTTGCCTCCGAGCAGCTCATTGCGGCTGAGTCGACCTGAGGCGCGGTCTGCGCTCGACGCCGCGCTGCTACGGTCCCTGTGCCATGGCTATTTCTGTCACGTACGGCCGTAGAAACGGGACACTTCATCATGCCATGCTCAGAGCGCCCTACATCAAGAACTCGGCGTTGTGAGCGTGGCTGTGAGCTGTGCCGATGGGGAGTTTAGAGACAACCGTGACTCACCATGATTTGCTCTTCCCACTCTTTCTTCCGGGCGCAAACGGAATAGTGAAACGCTCTCACTATCATTCGCTGGGAGGTTCGATTTGGTCGCGCGTTGTTTACCGTTATTTGCCATGTGCAATATCATTGACTGGCTGGTGAGAAGCAGATTGAAGCATATTGAGACAATATAATGCCCAACATGTCATGCTCCGCAAGGTTTGGACGTGAATGGCTGCGAGGTTCATTGAAGTTCCTGCAGACTGTAGCGTTTGCATGTCACCGTTGTCACCATGTTGGCAAGACGCTCAGGTTCGCCTAGTAAACGCTGGTTAACATGTCGCCTGCATGGCTTTGTGGGTTCTTGGCAAATCTAGGGGGGCATTGTTTTCTGCAGAATCTGGACGCTGTCAAATGCCTTTTGATCTCGACTAGTTTGCACGTCCTAATCAGGGCCCACTCAACCTGGTTTCCCTGACCTATCCAAAGCCTGATTGGGGCACACAAGAGGTTTGTTTCCCCAAGAGGCCGTCCATTCCCCCCGTGTTTTTGTTTCCAGGTGGGGCAACCAGGCAGACCTGTCGCTGAGCGGGGGTGAGGTGATCTCCTTGAAGGGTGGCGCCCTGGAGACCTGGCGAAGTTGGTAGGTCTCATGATCAAAATGGGAATGGGTCAAAGTTAAGGTCCACTAGGCATTGGACCGCAGAATGTTCGTCCTTCCATTTGCAGAGTTAGTCCTTGTTTCCATCCAGGCTTCCATTTTGGGTTCCATTTTGGCCCACACCCAAATTTCGGCCCCGTTCGCCGTTCAGTGGGTCAAAGGGAAGCCACCGATTCCCCATTGTCCGACTTTGATCGCCGCAAGTCAAAGTCGTGATCCCGGTCGGTGGTTCATCCCGGTCGTTGCGTTTCAATCATCCTTGGGGCAGGATTTTCAACATCCACAGTACCGGTAGAAAATTTGTTGGGTGCTACACTGCACAAAGACCCAGATTTTCGCAAGGGCCGGAGAGAATAAGCATCCGCTGGATGATTCGGACTTACTGAACACGCTCCACCACCCCACCTAAGAGTGGAGTTGGGGTTATCTTAGAAGGGGCAACTTTTGGGCGCCGCGGGCCAGTGAACTGTGTTGGAGAACCAGCCAGTACTCGAGTGAAACAATGGTGGTCATGAACTCTTGATTTGGGTCACAGGAGTTTCGCTTGCAGGGTTGCACAACTATCTTGAGCCTATGCAGGTGCTCTGTGTCCCGAAACAATTGAGGACACTCCTCGCTTTTCGATGTCACTGCTGGGTTAGGACTGTAGTGGTGCCAGGCAGGCTGGGTCGATCCATTTTAGGTGGTTTGCTCTAAGCTTGGCCTGTTCCCGGATTGGGATAGGGCTTTCCTTTGTGTTTCGCCTTTGTTCAATTTCGCTTGCAGTCACGTCATTGAGGTTCTTTTTCGTGTGTTGAGATTGCTCTACTAGAATTCAGCTTCTGCAATTCTCCACTTCCACTTGCGGTGACTAGCTTTCTTCATCTTTGGCTTTTCCTTTGACTTGCGCCTTGCCTTCTGAGGAGAACCTGGTATCAGACCAGCGCGAAGTGGCGCTAGATGCACTGCAGGGTACCAAGCAGGCGCAGATGCCGTGCAGACGCGGGAACTGGAGAGTGGTTAAACAACGGGCATCAATCTCAGCTCAACAATGTTATGCTCGCAAACTCGATTAATCCTGCGCACATCAGAGAGCTGGCTGGTGCGGAGACATCTGCAAGTGTTTACTACTTCTTTGTGATGCTGGATGTGTTCTAAAACTACGGAACTAGATTGTTTGACACATGGCTGTTGCCTTGTTTCCTTGTTTCCCTGATTCACTGGGTTGTCTAGCGATCGTCACTTCCCAGCGACAGCATTGCCAGAAGTGCTTCTCGAATTGTGTTGGCTTGAAAGTTGAGTTTGCCGGCCATCTCTCACTGAGAATGGCAGTTGATTGCAGCGCTGCACACAATGGAGACCAGTAATTAGCTGATGACTTGAAGCTAGCTGGAGTTGCTACAATTTCCAAGGCAGGGCATGCACTGCAAAAACACAATCTTCGTTGCAAAGGCAGAAATGACACCTTTTGCACCGCACGCTGCCGGCAGTATACATGTCATGGCTGATTGGCAGACTTCGCAGTGAGCATGATTCCAGCGACGACGCACTGGCTACTACTGGTAAGGCAGCTTTGCTTCAGTCATTCTGCTTGAAAAGCAGCCAACCATGTTGCACTGTGATAATTGTCAGGGACTGGAAGAACCCGTTTGAGTCGTTGCTTTCATGAAGCAGCTGCAGCTGGGATTTTTAAGATACTTTTAGATTACGTGATATGCCCGGATATAGCACCATGCTGGGTATGTCCAGGGATGCCAGACAACATCCGTAGTAGCTTTGGCGAAGCTGCAGAGTAGAGCCCTGTGCTAGATTCTAATTTGAAGTCCGGTTTGTTGAATTGCTTCGAGGTGATCATCGTCTTGGACAATCACGGGTTGGAGGCCAGTGAACGTGCGCTTGGCTCCCAAGTCTTGACCCGGTGATGGATCAAATGGGTGGCACCCAGCAACGAACAGCAATGAACACTTCAAGCTCTGCGAGCAGTCTGGACTCTGATAAAGGTGGGCCTGGAATTGTCACGGGCAACACAGCGCCCACACCTATTGAACGTCTTGGTGGCGGTGTTACTCTAGAAACTAGTGCTGCATTGTCGAAGAGTACTAGCTGGACCCCAATGCCTTAGCGGAACGCGACAAGTCAGCTTACTGTATACATGTGAAATCCACAGCGCGCAAATCAATCACAAATTTACCTGCAAAAGGGCGATGGCAGAGCACTGGCTGCAATGAGGGCCTCAAACGCCGATCCGATTAGGAATGAAGTGTCCTGCTCGAGTTGAACGGCTAGAACACGTTTACACATTTGTTGCTGTGCAGGCAGGCAGAGAATCCGGCCATTCCGCGGCTTTTCCGAAAGCCGCACGTTCAATCAAATCGAGGGACCGGGATAGGAGAGGAGGCTTTGGATAGTCCTGGCAAAGTGGTGCTGTGGAAACGGATGTGATGCACCTTGTTTTGAAAGAGCCGTGCTGGCAGGTGCTCCTGTTTGCACCGATTAGGGTCAAGAACAGGATGCTTTTAGCCAACCGACAAGGTCTGACAACAATGAAGGGAAGTAGAACGTTCGCCCGCCAGCTACCAACACGCCTGAAAACCCGGCGGCTCGCAGATCACTTGGCAGGTCCTTTGCGATTTGGTCCTGGCCGATGCCTTGCTGCAGCTCACTGATGCCGCAGTGTCTCTGCATGTGAAGGACGCCCCGGTTTTCGTGTCAGATGTCACGGCCGAGGATGTTCCGCAGGCGCCAGTGGGCGGGCGTAATGAGGGCATGTGTTTGTGGTCGCATGCATGCATGCATGTCCATGTGTGCATGTGTGCATGTGTGCGGGTGCGGGTGCGGGTGCGTGGGTGGGTGTGTGTGTGCGTGTGTGTGTGTGGTGTGTGTGTGTGTGTGTGTGTGTGTGTGTGTGTGTGTGTGTGTGTGTGTGTGTGTGTGTGTGTGTGTGTGTGTGTGTGTGTGTGTGTGTGTGTGTGTGTGTGTGTGTGTGTGTGTGTGTGTGTGTGTGTGTGTGTGTGTGTGTGTGTGTATGTGTGTATGTGTGTATGTGTGTATGTGTGTATGTGTGTATGTGTGTATGTGTGTATGTGTGTATGTGTGTATGTGTGTATGTGTGTATGTGTGTATGTGTGTATGTGTGTATGTGTGTATGTGTATGTGTGTATGTGTGTATGTGTGTATGTGTGTATGTGTGTATGTGTGTATGTGTGTATGTGTGTATGTGTGTATGTGTGTATGTGTGTATGTGTGTATGTGTGTATGTGTGTGTGTGTGTGTGTGTATGTGTGTGTGTGTGCGCGTGCACTAGTGTGCTTTGCCGTGCTTGTGTTTTTGCGTTTGTAGTTGTTCTATTTGCCTGCATCTGAATGTGTGAGTCTTTTACGTGTCTGTGCCGCTCTCTCTCTCTCTCTCTCCTTCTCTCTGCTTGTGTGTCCAGCTTCTCTGCGGGTCTGTATGTGAATGTGCCATGTGTTTGTCATTTCATTTGGTTTGGTACGCATAACGCGCCATCATAGTACATGCAATAGTCAAGGGATGCTCCAGACCCATGGATGCTGCAGATGGCCTGGGAATGTGGTCATGGCTCCGCAGAAGGAGCCATCCTTTGACTAGGGGCCTGTTAACAACCGGCGACGACAAGAGCAGCCAGAGCGTGCTATGCAGCAGTGCCCATGTTCAATTTGCACGTACCATACTCACATACACGCGCACACTTACACTCTCACGCAAACAGACACATAAGCACAGAAGCACACAGGCATGGACACAAACACAGACACGCAACTAGGCATTCAGACACACACACACACAGACACACGCGGACATACACTCAGAGACAGACAGATATGCGCAAGAAAGAAAGAAAGAAAGAAAGGCGGAAATGCAGAAAGCAAGAAGGAATGTTCAGAAATACATTCAAGCAAAGAAAGCAAGAAAGAAAGGAAGCAAGAACGAAATGAAAGACGGGAAAGAAACAAAGGAAAAACAGAAGGGAACAAAAGAAGGGAAGGCAAGGGAATAACGAAATAACGGAAAGAAAACAACCGAATACGGAACGGAAGGAAGACATACGGAACGGAAGGAAGACATAACTAAAGAAGGAACAATCCAGCATTAGAAACTGCACAAACAAAACATAGCAAAAGACAGAAGGAAGAACTACTTGAATGCAAGACAGAAAGGAAGAAATAAAGAAAGAACGAAAGAAAACAGTAAATGAAAGAAATATGGAATGCATTCGATTAAGAACAACCAAATCCAGAACGAAAATGGAGCGTAATCAAGGGGAAGAAGAACAAGAGACAGGCGCACACAGACGGACCGACAAAGGGAGACAGAGACATACAATAAAACTGTTGGGACTGGCATACGGAAGAGCAACCCAAGGACACATAGACGTAGAAACACACACACACACAAAGACAGACACAAATACAGACTCGCACATGTGCGCCAATGTCAATTGTTTGGCCCAAGTCCGCACGAAATTTACCTAATCCTTCAAAATTGCTTTCCAGTCCCCGTGCCAGGTGTTGGAGTGGCTGGACTCTCGATGCGACCTCGCCAAGAGGCTCAAGAAGCACCTAGCCGATGGACGATTGAAGGCATGCAGCGTTTGAGAATGGGGCCTGAGATGAAGCAACCCTGGAAGAAGCAAGGCTAGGTGGATGAATCTCTATCCCACCAGTGCCATCCGCAAAATTAATGGTTATTGACTGTCCAGCTCCTCTTTCTCGGAACGGCCATTTGAACAAAACAATCAAGTAAACACCTTGAGATGGATGAGTTTTCCTCTTCAAGTAGGCTCGCCCTCATTGCTGTGGACAATATCCAGGATTGGGGATGGTATATGGGGTTAGATTCTTCATGGCATCCACATGCAAAAGGGGGCTGCACTCGCTCAGGATCCGCACGGGATGGCAGCCACCATGCCACCCACGAAGGATCCTTGTAGGGGCAAAAGGCAAAGAATGATGTGCTGCATACGGATTGTATTGGTATATTCTATGAATGTGAAGCAGGAGTCACAAGTGTCCCTGACATATTGTACACTTGTCTACCTTTGCTCAGACTCGCTGAACGGCCCCCCAAAACGCAGCTGGACGGTTCAGGGGCCAAATCGGCAGGTCCAGGCCCACAGCTTCTACACCAGCGCCCGGGCCTTCTGGGAGCTGCCGGAGGATCTGGCGAAGGACTACCACGACGCTGTGCCCTGGATCCGAGCCGTCGGGTCCGCTGGGCTCGGTTTGGGGGAGGTATCAAGGGGGGGTGAGCGGCTTGAGGGCTTTTGGAGGCTTTGGGGAGAGGGGTGGTTGGTTTTTCTAGATTTGGTGTGATGAATTTGTTTGCCTCTTTTTGTGGAGGTTTTGGGAAGATTCGTGGATGTGTTCGAAGGGTTTGGCCGTTCGGGTCACGACCAATGCCCTCAAAACAAGGGGAACCTAATCGATACCAGCACTGCCCACTGGTACCAAGTGTTGCAGGTTTGTTCGTGGAGTTGCCCCATCTGATGGTGCATAGAGCATGGGCTTTTGGACGATAAACTGTCAATTGTGTTGTTCATATCGTGCATACATAGCGTCTTCATATCATGATTGGTTTTGAGGATATGTCCTGTTGGAAACTGGAACGCCTTTCTCGGTATATCACAGATATGTTGTTGCCCTACTCCCCGGCCCAGACCCTATGCTTCATTCCACGTTAGCAGATTCAGTGGGCAAATCACAAGCGCCTATGTCCCCCTTCTACGCGTTTGACTTTGTACTGGGCCAATCGTCCATTTATATTGAACGCTCAATGGGGAAGGTGTTGCACGTTTGAACCCCGTTTTTAGTTTTTGGGTCTCAAGAAGCCAATAGTTAGTTGGTAGCTCTGAGCTATACTCCATCCACGGACTTGGCAAAAGGTCCAAACGAGCATCTCCCGGTCAGGTTCTATACTTAGGGGAGTTGCGCAACCCGTTTTTGACAAATACCTAGGTTACCCCAGTTGGGCCCCACAAGCCCATGCGGCCAAACCCATGGGAGGGTACCCGTCCAGGGATTTTTCCACCCGAGGTGGTGATCTTGAAGGGCGACGCCAACTACCGGCGCCTCTTGGGCGACCTGCACTGGCCCTACGACACGGAGACATGGGAATGGTCCCTGGGTGAATTATAACGACCTCACACGACCGATTTCACCCCAAATGGTAGTTTATGTGGGGAATAGCCCCCCAACCGCCTTATTTCAGGCTGGTGAAATATTATAATTCACCCAGATGGTCCTTGGTTTGGTTTCCGATGGTTGGCTTCCTTCAAAACCAGTCTCAAGAAGTTCGGTTTGGACATTCCATGGGAAAGTAAGGCTTCAGCGTGTGTGGCTGGGCTGTTCCTTGGACAACTTGAAAAGAGAAAAGCCTGCTCCGCAGGTGCGCACTTCCTGAGTCCAAGCCTGCATTCTTGGGCTTGCTTTCACAGCAGAACAGTTCAGGCAATGAAGGTTGCGACGGATTCTGTCAAGTGGTTTTCTTGGCCAGGGCCCTTTGTGCAAACTCGTGCCTGGAGGATTTCACGGCATATGCTCAGAGCTTCTGGAAAGGAGCCGGCTTCTTGCCAATGATTGGCGCATTGCAATTGTTCCTTGCGAAGACGGCACAGTGTGGCAAGGGGTATGGAGGCATAATTAGGTGTGCAGAAGTAGGATTGACTGCTGGTCGTATCTTATTAAATACATGTGGTGCAGGGTTGATTGATCTTGCAGATTGATGGTGAGTGGATGACAGTGTTGTGCGCCTTGCTTTAGACATGCGCATTCAATGCAGCCACAGGAAATTCCTCATGCAGTCTGGAGAGAGGGGATTCCGCCCATGTGTCAAGTAGGACACGAGCAGGATTGCTGTGTTGTTGGAGGTCCGTGAGCATGGAGTGAGCGAAGACATTGTTTCATGAATTGAGGGAGCGTCGTGTTGACATGGGGACTGTTTACTTTTCCAGGATTCGCCTCCCGCCCCCTTCAGCATATTTACGCGCGGCATGGGGATCCCTTTTTCATGACCTTTGGTCACTTCAAGCGAGACCTTCTTCTGATTCGTGTTCGCAATCAACAGCGCCAGTCTCTTCTGACCCTGCACCTCTCACTGCGCATCCGCCTGTCTTTCCTGCCTTCACATTCTCCAAACGCACATGCCAATACGCAGTATGTTTTGACTTGTCCATCTCTCTTTCTCACTCATGGCTTTGCCGCTCTTTGCGCCACGTTTCCACTGTTTCCAACCCATCCCTGTCATCCCATGCACAGACGACATGGCCATACATACTACATGCATGCCACGCCAGGCTTGATTTGCCTGCGGACCATGAAGAGCGGGGTGGCCCTGGGCGTCTCGGAGCAGCAGCAGAGCCGAGCTCAGGCGGCGCAGCCTGAGGATTGGCTCACCTCGGGGACCTTTGGGCAGGTCTTGGCCTGGAAGGCCTGAGAGCGCCATGCGAGATCTTGCGCGCGCGTAGATTCGTAGATGGCGCCCGGACGCGAATGAAATCGGGTGGTATTTCTTGAGGCAGATATTCAGAGCCACGGATGTGGCACAGATGACTATCCCGGGAGCTGGCAGGCCTTACGGTCGCAATTCGCGGCGGTGACTGCTTTCGACCTGGCGGATTTTTCCGATATCTGCAGCATTCAAAATGGGAGCACATCGATTCAAGCCAAATGTCAGAGGAAATGCAGCTGTCGCCAACTGACTTGCACCAACAGGTCTGAGAAAGTCAGCTCTGACCCGATTTCCAGAAGCTCATTAGGTGGCACATGGACGTAGTCGTTGTGTTTCTGGAATCGGGACTTGAGCCGAGCTAGGGGAGCTTTGAAGCTACAACCGGCTACGGTTGTGATTACTGCAGGTCTCAGTTTATATGAACACATCAGATCAGAACCGAATTGCAGATACCCGAATCAGGGGCTTCTTGTCTGCCGATTGGCCGCTGGCTTCAGCCGTTAGCAGAGCCATCACTGGGAAGAGGACTGTTGACAGCATGAATCGTATGCTGAGCACTGTACTCGATTGGTGGGGCGGGATTTCTGCAGTCTGAAGGCCTTCTAGGGTTGCAAAGCCGCTGATTCTGTTTACCTCAACAGCTTGCACTTGGGACAAACTCATACAGGGCTTTCTTCGAGGGCTAGGATTTGGATTCCGGTCTCCGCAGAGTCACCTACTGCTAATGCACGGTCTATTCACGTTGTTTGTTTGCCACGGCCCCGTATTCAGAAGGCTTCGCAAGATACAGCCCCAATGCATACACCCGGAAGCTATGCATTTTGCAAACCCCTGATGATAGATACATAAGTGTGTGATTCACCGTTTTGTTCACTGGATTTGCATAATTTGCATAGGGATAGGCAACCCAGCATCATCCATCACAGCCTACTCGGCACTAGGTGTTGGCAGTGAGCCGTTCTGTCGGAGGATAGTGTCCAAGTAAAGAGGCTGGCGTTTGTTCCTCCACTATAGCGGATAGGGGCACATTGCAAGCTGCGCAGGACAAAGATGTGGCCTTTCTTCCAGTTCCTGGTGATTGCAGTGGCGGGCCGTTGGTGACGGGTGTGGACCAACAGTTGAGATGCTGATTGCACCAAGAGTCAATGTGCGTTCATGCATGTGGCTTATAAATGTGTTTTTATCTTCAGGTCTTTGGAAAAGTGAACAAAAGTTTCCTTTGTTGCTAACTTTAATGGCTTTTTCCCATGGCCGGACTGCATCGCCGACCTCGCTGGATGTTGAGCGAGCCTTGTTGTTGCTTTCACACGTGTTGAATTCAAAGACCCTTCCCCTCTCGCTCATCCCCGCTCCAAAGACCAATGTCAGCTCGGACACATTGGCGCAGTTTCCTTGGACACTGGGACAAGGCCAATTTCGCAATGCGATGCTTGCCATCGATTGAATAGCACCGATATGGCAGTTTTGTGTTCTGATGATTTGCTTGTCGTTAACGCAACTACAATGACAGGCAGATCGTTCTTCGTGTTTATGTTTGCAGAGCAGGCAGCACTCCACTGAAATCATCTCTTGCCCAGCACGTCTTTTTGGATGCAGCACGTGTTCCAGTTTGCCTGGGCCAGCGCAGGCAGCAGCCCAAGAGGCTGAAGAGGCTGGGTGTGAGTATTTCCTGGACATGTTTGCTGCATGTAGCTCTCTGGCTCATGGAGTGTCCGCTTGTCATGCACGAATTGCGTGCAAGATCATACAAGTTTGGCTTCTGGGGCCCTTCTGATGCAAGGCACGGAGTGTGTTGCCTCAAGGTTGAATGAAGCATGAGCGTTGGCTGGTCAGTAGCATGCTCCCACCGCACTGGCAATATCATGTTCAACAATAGAGTACCTGCGTCCTTGCTCTTTGTTTGTTTGTTTGTGTGTTTGTTTGTGTGTGTTTTGTTTGTTTGTTCTTAACCAGCAAATCACAATCAGGAGGAGGAGGAGGCGGATCATGATGATGATGATGATGATGATGATGATGATGATGACGATGATGATGATGATGATGATGATGATGGAGGAACACGCTGTGTTGCCATGGTCAAGCAGCTTTGGCCTGCAGGCAGCTCCGCAGGCAACTCCGAAGGCGACCCCGAAGGCTGCTTGGGAAGGGATCCGGGAGGGCAATCCACTGCTATAGGATCGGATGGCCTGACTGAAAAGTGCCGCCAACATATGGGTGTGGAGCCCTACAGATGTTTGATCATTTCACGGTCCCCTCCAGTCATCTGACGGAGAGAGAAAGAGAGAAAGAGAGAGCGAGACATACTAAGCGCAAAGAATCTTTGCCATCCCGAATCTTTGCCACGTAGAGGCGGCGACTCGACAGCCGGTTCAAAGCGACTGTGGCAAAGGTGTGATAGCCGGTGACAGAACCTAGGATTCAGCAACATGTGCAGACTTCACTCTGATGGCAGACTCGCCGGGTTCGTGTTGCATATTTGTAGTTGCCTTTCATGCTAGCTGTGACTACCTCCACCTTTGCGGCGTGTTGCAGGCCATTTGCAGTTTCATTGCCAAGAAGCGGCCTCCCAACGAAACAATTATTAGGTAACGTTTGCACAAGAGTACACTAGTGCTGCCAAGAGATTTTCGGACGCCTTTGTCCTTCCCTTGCTACCCTCAGAAGCAGGGCTGCTTCCTAGGCACCATGAACCAATGGGACCACTCAGTGATTGGCCTGGCTTGGCTCATGGACAAGATAGCACCATATGGCTACGGGTCAAAAATAGGTACCCAAAGTGGAACGTAAGTGGAAACATGGCCCAAAACCTCCGCAGTCCCCTGGTGGTTTCATTTGACCCATATGCATACAGCGTCATGCATCGAGAATTTAGCCAGGCCAAGCCGATCATCACGACTGAGATCTTCCATCAAACTGCAGAGCTTCTCTACGACCTCTTTGCACGGGCCCTGGATGGTCATTCGTATCTCGGCCCGCCCGGAGGTTCCAATTCAATGTATTGCTTTGCCTGCTTCGTAGATTTGGAAACTGGTTTAAAGGCACAAGCAGGTGAGTTATGACAAGTCTAGCTATGGTTGTTTGCGTAGTGCGTGTCACGGGAGGTATGGCAGGCGTGCCGCTGTTGGTCTGTCACACCCAGAAGATGTTTCCAGCCTCGAGAGAAAGCACAGGTGTTGATGTTGAACATGACATGGGATATGCATTACATGTTTGTGATTGGGAATGATGCCATTGTTTTCTGGATCTTGACCTGCGGATTGAAAGTGTTGCATTTGCATTAATGCAGATATGCTGGGATTGCGAAGAAGACCGTGTGCAAAGTGTTCTTTGTTTGCAATGGGAACTTTGCCAGCTTCAAAACGCCCAATTGTGTTGGGGGGTTGCAACTTTTTGCCCATAGCATTCGATTACCCTTGTCAACCACGGATTGTGATCTTGTCATACCGGGACATGATGTCAAGGTCAGCGTGTCTCTTGTCCTGCCCGGTGTTCAATCTCTTCCATAACAAGTGCCTTCTCCGTGTCCTGCACATGTTGCTTACGGGGAATCCAATGCGCCCTACACGCGTGCGCGGGACCAAACGGTGAAATGACGACTCATTGCAGCTGCTCCCAGCACTGCAGTCAGTATGCAGTAGGATTTCTCGGGAAGCGGCACCTTGAAACGAGAGGTAGTGCAAGGATTGAGTTGAAGACAGGCCCAGGCACTCAGCCTATTCTTTCAGAATTGGAAGCAGACATGGAAGCACACCAGGACTCGGCACATGGCATTGTGAAGCCGCACGTTGAGAAGCGTGGCGCCCTGATGGTCCTGCCGAAATGCGCGCGGCATTCCTCACTGCCTTTCCACTCATGTTTGAACCAACGTTTCCTTGTTGCGCCCTGCGCGGAGCCAGTGGGAATTCGTACCTTCTGACTAAATCCAGTGACAGAAACATGTTGGCACCATGCACCATACTGGAGCTTGGCAAAATAATGCACCTGTTGGGGGAATTGTGAAGGGCAGCACAGAATGACAACCGGGTCCTGGTTCGACACATCTCAACGTCAACACAATATTTCGAAAGGATTGTGTGCGGGGACTCACCCATGGCATGCTGTACTTTGGCCCTCATATCACCCCGTCGTCCAGGAGAGTGTGTGTGTGTGTTTGTAAATATTCATATTCAAAGATGTTGACATTTGAGGCTGGGGATCGAGCACGGAGGTGACGAAGGTGACGTCGTTTGTGGCAAGTTGTGTACTCCTTTTGCGACAGCTACATGTTTGCTGACAGGAACTAGCACCTCTCCCGCGTATCACTCGGTTGGCCGCAACTTGTGAGTTGTTGAAAGTTCAGGCGCAAGGGGCTCCTTGCAACACCTGAATTGCACCAGCATGCTTTGCAAACAAAAAGCAACGTTTGCCATATCGATTTGTTTCATACTTTGCTGACTGCTGACAATGACAGCTTGCTTGAGTGTTGTGACTGGTAGGTGTGCTGACTGACAAAAGAGGGATGTTACCATAGTGGCTCACATCCACACACACACACACACGCAACACATTAAAATCATGGGTGACACAGGGCACTCAGAAGACCCATCAGTCATTCGCATGAGGCAAATAATTCGGACGTAGCCATGAACAAGCCGGGATGATTGCTACAGCCTTCCAAGTGTTTATGTGGCACTGTGCTTGCTTTGCTTCCGTGTATTTACTTGCACAGATGGCCAATATGTATCAATATTTATCAATATGTAGGTTTTGCCTACTGCGGTGCTGGGCGACTCTTAATGGCTTGTTCAGATGTTGGTCGGCTGCGTCGCGGATCGCGGCACATGGCGCCAGCGGAGGCACGCAGAAACCGTGTCCCAGAGCGTGTCCTCCATCATGCCAGCAGACCCCATCAAGGCCAGGTGCGAAATGGTCGTTGGGACTGAATTGCCTCAGGTAAGAAGCCCAAATGGGTATGATTTCTAATCAAGACCAGAATGGCCCGACTA